CCAACGGTCAATATCGGGAGTTTTTGAGTTTCCACTTCCAATACCTGCAACACTGCATCAGTCACGAAAATTCTTTTCTTGTCTTCTGATAAGGACTTACGGTCATGTATTTTGGTCAGAATGTTTCAATTGGCTATCCTCTCTTTAGCTGCCACATCTGACAGGGGGAAAATGGTAAGGCTGTCAACCTTGGGAATTCAAGTAACCTCATTTGGTTATCTTTGTGGCTGAAGAGGTGAAAATTTTGGTCTGATAAAGAAAAACATTCAAGGAGAGCGCGTAGTTCAACCCCACCATTTCATACACTATTGTTGGGGCCCGTCCCTCAATTGAATCCACAACTAGTAATTACTCATAACTTTCCCAGAATATAAACAAACTTGAAGTTCTCAATCACTCCTCATACAATTTCTACATATACAAAACTTCAAAATGGCAAAGGATAAGGTAAGATCTAACCTCAAATCTGTATGGGATAGAACGGTATAGAGCTTGAGCTGATGTTTGTTGATTCCAGGTCTGTCTCGCATACAGTGGTGGTTTGGATACCAGCTGTATTTTGGCTTGGTTGATTGAGAAGGGATATGATGTTGTCTGCTTCATGGCTGATGTTGGTCAAGAGGGTATGATAATCTACATTTCTAAGAGAGTAAGACTTTACTAATGAGAGAGCAGAGGACTTCGAAGCTGCCAAAGCTAAGGCTATGAAGATCGGAGCTGTTGCATGCTATGTTGAGGATTTGAAGAGGTATGCAAACTTACTCGTTTTTATGGGAGAACTCAATTGACATTATCTTCAGAGAATTCGTTGACGAACTTTGCTTCCCTGCTGTCCAATGTAACGCCATCTACGAGAACGTATACTTGTTGGGTGAGTCACACACATATACTATATAAGAAGACCGGAGGAGAGTTTCGAGGCTAACTGGGACGGCAATCAGGTACATCTCTTGCTCGTCCAGTCATTGCTCGCGCACAAATCACAGTCGCCCAAAAGGAAGGATGTATTGCCGTATCCCACGGTTGCACTGGAAAGGGTAACGATCAAGTTAGATTCGAACTTGCATTCTATGCTCTTCAACCAACCATCAAGGTCATTGCCCCATGGCGTCTACCAGAATTCTACGAGCGTTTCGCTGGCCGCAACGATCTTCTCGAGTATGCTGCTAAGGCCGGTATTCCGGTTAGCAGCACAAAGGCAAAGCCATGGAGTATGGACGAGAACTTGGCACATTGCAGTTACGAAGCTGGTATCTTGGAAGACCCAGATGTCACCCCTCCAGAAGATATGTGGAAGTTAACTGTCGATCCATTGAAGGCTCCTGATCAACCAGAAGACTTCACTCTCGTTTTCGAGAAGGGTCTCCCAAAGAAACTCATCACAAATGGCAAGACCATCACTGATTCAGTTGAGCTCTTCCTCGAATCCAACGCCATCGCTCGTCGCCACGGTGTTGGACGTATCGATATCGTTGAGAACCGTTTCATCGGTCTCAAATCCCGTGGATGTTACGAAACTCCTGGCCTTACATGTCTCCGCTCCGCCCACGTTGATCTCGAGGGTTTAGTTATGGACCGTGAAGTCCGTGCTCTTCGTGATCAATTCGTCACCTTCAACTACTCCAAGATTCTCTACAATGGTCTTTACTTCTCTCCTGAGCGTGAGTTCATCGAGGAATCTATCGTTGCCTCCCAGAAGAATGTCAATGGACAAGTCAGATGTCGTGTCTACAAGGGTACCTTTAGTGTCTTGGGTCGTTCCTCAGATACCGAGAAGTTGTACGATGCAAGTGAGAGTTCAATGGACGAAATAGGTTCATTCGCTCCTGCGGATACTACTGGTTTCATCAGCGTTCAATCTATCAGATTGAAGAAGTATGGCGAGGCTAAGGCTGCTGCTGGTGAAAGACTATAGATGGATGGATCTTGATACCTTGATAGCTTGAACTTAGTCTGAGTCTTGGTTTGGACCTGAGACATCCGGGAACTTGCAACATCGCACAGAATGCAGATGGTGCACTGATTGTCTCCGGTCCTCGGAGTGCAGATGGGGATGGGAATATCACAAACTGAAATGCTACACAAAATTCGCATACAAATGAAAACAAACCAGCTTGTTCTTGCCAGTGCCGCTTCAATTCATAATGATTTATGTGTTTGTTTCTAAGAAAAGACTTGATGATGATTACTAACAGATATCTGGATCTGCTCTTGGTCATGTACTACGCTTAACCCAAGTATTCCCCCTTCTTACCTGTATTATTTCATCTGATATCTCTGGTGTCGTTGCATTTCATCTCATTTCGTTTCGTGTTTTTAGATAGATGCCGAGATGTACAATGCAGAAGTTGCATATGTATGCATGCGAGACAGTTGCAGAGAACCGTTTGGGGATCTTAGTTCTTTGGTCCCTGAGTTCTGGTAAATAATGTGCAGGGCTTGTTGAGGTGGTAATGGGTCATGGGTAGGGTCTATGACGGGGGAGGATGTAGGGTTGTACATCATTTGTGTAGATGTATGAGGTAAGTTCAAGGTAAGATAAGGTAAGGTAAGGCAAAGCAGAGTAGAGTAGAGGGGGTGGAAAGAGAAGGGTGGAATGGGGAATGGGAATGGGTTTACGCGATTTTAGTAAAGGTACACAGACGGATGTATTGCTGTTTTAGTGGAAGGCTACCTTCTCTATGAACAAGCTCCCATGGGAAAGTGCATGCAACCAATGTACCCAAATACTTCGTTTAAAGGATTTCTAGGCGCAAAATCTTTGCTTGCGATTGTTATTTTAATTGACAGCAAGATAATCAAAAATTGTCATTTAGAGGTGATGAGCGTTAGGGTGAGAAGTAAGGGTAAAAAGGTGGGTTAGAAAGGCGGGTGGTATTCACATACAGAAACACATTCTATCCAGAGAAACTCTAAAATAATGCCATGTGCCGATGTTGCATTCTGGAATGCATGCAGTGTAGAAGGAATACTGTATATGTATTCTGCAAGGAACATAGATGGATGTGGGATATGGGGTGTGCATGGAAGGAACTTGGGAGCTGTGGTTTTGACGAGTTGTTGGGTATGGAGATTCTCCTTCTCTTCGCTCTAAGGGGAATATGTTTTCTGGGAGGGGGGGGGCTAAATTGTGAAGATGGGGAGGGATAGGGATAGCTAGAGTATTGATGGTTTACACTGCCTCTTTTTGGCTGATAATGGCTATTGTATGTTATTCTATACGTATATGTGGAGGTAGTTAGTGGTGTAGTGGTGGACTCTATCCATCATTATTTTGTTTCATTTTCTTCTCTCCTTTGTTTGATTAGTACGGTATAAACTATGTACAAGAAACCATGTATGTATGTTTGTGTGTACGTATGTACGAAAGTATGTCATCATCTCGCGTTCTTCCCAAAACATAGCACGTTTTTCGAGTCGGAGATATATAAGACTGTATGCTGCAAATATGTAGGGTGAGTGAGGAAGGCGGTGTGGAATCTGTAGTGGTGTGTTAAAGGGAGGGGAGGGGAGTGCAGAGTGGTATTTCTCCTACGTAGGTATATATGATAGGGCTTGGTGTATAAATGGGACGAGGGGTGCTAGCTTGAATGGGGTATACTGTATGCTGTATGCTGTATAGTGCATAGTATGCGGGCAGGTGTGGTGGCACAGAGATATAAGCGGCGCGCGTTTCTCCCGTTTGGGAATATCGGGATGGAGAGTTATGTCGGGTAGAGATAGTCATGGGATAGGGAAGTTCAAGATCGGACAAGGAGAAATGGATGGTGTTCTATTTTTATGGACGACTGCAGAGGAGAATTTCTGGCTGCGGCTCACGTTCGTATTTTACAGGCTGTAGCTGTGCTCGGCTTTTTTGTGGTACTATGAGTGACATCTGTCTACAGAGAACACACCACATATATCTTCTTCACCGACACCATCAAACATATTGTGAATGTTTTACCGATGTATCAAATTATCGTGAAGCAACAAAAAGAAATGAGGAAACAGAGGAATCAAAAGAACAAGACGAAACACAGAAAATCCCATCTGACATCGACGGCCCATTCTCAGCACCGGAACAAACTTGTACCAGCCAGCCCAGCCTCGAAGATCGAGTATGTACTGTAAGCCTGCGTCTCGTACCTGCACGAATATGCGGTATTTTGCAGAAGGGACTTGTACGGTTCTGGAAGGAATCAATCAGATGAATGGCTCCGTGTGTACGCGTTCGTACCTGACTGAACCTTTGGAGCGGCAAGGCGATCTGGTTCGAAGATATGGTAATACCCGTCTTACCTCATTTTCGACCGATCGACTTATTACTCAGCGATACACTAATTAATGTACTCTCCAATATTTATTGTAATCAAAAGTACCTAATTATGCAACGATCGTTTCTAGAAGTTTTCCAATTTCGGAACATCCCAGCGAAATTGGGGTTTGTATATTTTTAAAATGGTGGTAGTCTAAGATGTAAGTTAATAGATATTAGATGAGTAGGTAAAGCAATGGGGGTCGAGTAAAACGTGGGTTCGAGTGGACATGTGATGAAGGAGTGCATGACGCTCTCGTATAGGTACTGTGATGTCCAATGAAATTTCGGTTGAGCACCAGTGAGTAGTACCTAGTAGGTAATAGGTAGGTATGGTACCTTTTCATCTACAATAAGGGTTATAAAACACAGGGAAGAAAAATGGACGAGCAAAGAAGGAGGATTTTGAATTGGAGATAATCGTATGCATGAGAATGGGGGAAATGTCCCCTTGGGGTAAATCGTATCAAGCCCAAGTGTCTAGACTCTAGATTCTAAGGGACGATCGGTACATCCGGAGAACAAGGGTAAAAGGGAAACTTGGGAGATATAAATAACCTTGAAGTTTGGGGTGCCTCGCGGTGAATTAACAAAGTTTAGTAGGAGGAAGGTAACGTATGAGTCGATACTCCACATTATTTAATGGAAATTGTAATTAATGAGTTGATTGTAACATTAATAATTTATGTAAGATCTAGAAATTTGTTTAGCAGGGCCTAGTGACTCGCTTCCTCTCCACCAGCCCTGCTCTGAAAAAGAAAACAAAACTGTATGAAATCATCACCGCGAAATAATTCATATAATCAAGAATAAATTCAAAGGCCTATTTCTTGGGGGCTGTGCCGTATATCCCGAAACAAAAGATTCAGGGCCAATATGTTGTACATTTGAACTGGCAGATATGGGATTTCTCTAGTGATTGATAACCTTCACCCGTGCGTGCCGTTTGTGGAGAATTATCTTCAATTGAGACATATCGCGCGAAGGAGCTGAGGGCGCAAGACGAAACGAAACGAGCTACTATATATCGTAGTAATCATCGTTATGGGGCAGAAACAGTGTACTCGGTAGGATAGTATGCATGGATATAACAAGAATGAGAAATAAAAGTGTGGGTGTTCATGAGATGTTAGACAAGGGGAAAACGTGGAACCTTCAGCTGTCAGGGATGATTTTAGGAAGGGTTCGTCGACGTATCAGGAAAATGGAGTCAACTGTAGGTGTGGGTGGTATTGCGGCGTAGAGCACGAGGATACAGGGTTTCTCCTAAGTGTGACCAGGTTCGAAACTATATCGCGGTAAACAGAATTGGGAAGGTTGACAGGTTGAAGGAATAGCATTCGACTGAACAAGTAATTCGTAAGATCTCAAATCAAATGTGCCGCACACAATGTAATACTGTTATACAATTAGATTGCTTCAAGAATGAAGAACGTAGGGTACCTGACATTCAATCAGATGAAATTTATGTAGTGCTTATTGCAGTGTGTATACGAATACTACACTGCAGCATGGTAGTTACGTGGTTCAATGAAGCATATATATGTATTTAACAAATGCGATGAATGGGATTAAAGCGTTGACATCTTGGCAATTTGGAAAAGACACATGTGACACTCCAGGATAATTCCGCTGGATGAAGCCCTTTCTTGAGAAAGCCTTATTTCGAGTAGTACCGTACATCCGGAAGGAATGAGAGGGTTCCTCGTACTTGTGTAAACATGGCTAGCTCAAATTAAATTCGGTCCGAGGTAGCCAATGTCTCAATCATCGACTGTCAACCGCAGGTGTTTTGTGGCAGTTGTAAATACGGCACAGAATGTTCTGTTATACTTCCGCCCAGGAATCTTTAACAGACTTTCTCAGTAAAGAATAGTGGATCATTCTTCGCATTTGCATGAAGAAACCGGATAGGATAAGCATTTGACTTCCGGTAGTATCCAATGTTGATTGGCTAATCACCAGAATTGACATGGTGTTTCAGACGAACCTCGTGTGAACAAGGATCGAAGCGGGGGTGGATATACCGTGGCGCGATGAGATTGCCGCCGGAGTCACTATGGAGGCCAATCACGTATGTACCGGTCCGTCAATTCCTATGATACATTGCACCCAAAGAACCAGGCAATCCAGCTCTGCCGCGTTGTCGGGGTTTCTTCGCCCTTTCTAGAATCTAAATTTGTGTAGCCTTTCTCACTGGGATCATCTCGATATGGTGTATCGATATTCTCCTTATCTTCTACGGCGGATATCGAAATGATATCCAGGGAAAAGTCCCCTTCTTGGGTTCCGAAAAAGCTTGTCAAAGTTAGTAAAAGTGGTATCGATTTGACTGACATAATTACCTTCGCATCATAATACTAAATCGTTTAATGTGATTTAAATCTAAAGGGACGGCATCTTTCTTTTCGCGTCCCCTATAAGTAGGTTTCAGATCTGTCCACTTTATAAAAATCGATGAATGATCTGCAGGGCCCTCGAAGTCAAACTCCCAACTGATCGTACTTTGTTCTCTTCCATCGGGACTTTTTGGAAGTAATTCATCTTTGAGGATGAAGGTGTACATTTTTCGATCACTCTTTCCTAGATCGAGTAAAATTCCGTCGTACGCTGAGAGATCCCACTATAAATTCAGCTGTTAGCATGAAGCCCAACGCCACTTGATACATTTCTGCTAAAAGGCTTCGTAGAACCACCCAAAATGTATATTCGTCATTACTAGGAAAAAGAAAAGGCGCGTCTGTATCCAACTCCACAAACAGATGTAATTTCCGGCCGCCATACGACATAATCTTGCGTCTGACTAGTGATACAACTCTGTACCTAGCCTTATGCAGAACAGAATTTCATGATGGTGCAATAGGATTGGAAGCCATGTACGTGTGTAGTATTCTAGATCGTGTACAGACAAGCCCCCGTTGTCTCTCAACACGCATGTTTGATGTTCTAGTCGAAATGAGACTCCGGAGGTAGCTTTGAAAATAGCTCAGAGAAGGCCATGTAAAACTAGCAGGTAGTATTGGACAAATGTGACGATAAAGCTTGATCTGTGTGGAAAGCAAGCAACCTATTTGGCGTGTATGCTAAGCGCTTTATTGAGTTCACTTGAACCACCGGGATGGTTGAGAAAACTCATGCCTCGTCTAAACCAACTTACAGTGTGATCTGCAGTCGTCCTTTGAGATGCAAAACCTGCACCTCCCAGAGTTTTAATGTCCAGTGTACCCCTGAATGTAGCTATAGAGGAAGGCGGAGAACATTCAAGATAAGATTGTGAAGCTCCACCTCGAACTCTATCATCACTTGAGGTCCAGTCAAGGGCCGACCAGGGTCTTGGTAAATAAGGCGTTAGTAAAAGGTTGGCCAAATGCTTGTGCGGAGATTTTATGCTTACTTGGAACCGCCAAAAAGATCCATTACCGAAAGTGATACTGATTACCTCTGCTTGGATCTCTAAATACTTCGACTCTTCGGAAATATAGTGTTTTCGATATTATCAATGGTAGTGTTGCGTAAGAACAATGGTTCGATTGATGTCGGATGAAGTTCAAGATATTACCTAGTAGGCTAGTACTAGGAGAAGGGAACTTCCGTTCGGTTCTGTACCTAACTGGTAGATTCCTTCTATGTAAGGCAGGCAAGCTTTTAGATTTAGATACTTATCATTACTAGGTACCAGTATTTACCTACTTGCCATTGAAGATAAGATAGGTAGATGATAATTCCAAATCTCATCCCGTATAAATTATCTAATAGATTTGCAGATATTAATTTTATCTATATTTATATAGCTTACAGTCATGGTCATATAGTTTTATACCAATTCTCTGGGAAATCCTCTTATCACCTAAGCGCGTTTAATGATTTTCTACACTGTATTATTGTCTGTGCGTTCAACGAAGCAATCGCAATTGTGGGGGTAAGATTTGTTGGTGAGTGCCCCATCTTGATATACTTCTAAATGCTTTCCAACAACTCTACCAACAAAACAAACACCAACAGTAACACTGGCACTTCAAGGATGAGAACCGTTTATTTACAACAAATCATGCATTAACCGTACGACTGCGGCAATCTGGTGCTAGTATCAGAATCAATTTCGGTCATGGTCCTTCAAGGAGTATAACCCGAGTTGTACGAGGAAAGAAACTGGTCAGTTACGGATCCTTCGACCGAGAAGCTCTGGCTTTATCCTTCCGTTACTATACTCCAACTTTTATGGTTCCTAATTCCACGGCGTATCTTTGGTGTCTGAACCGCAAATTCAACTGTTGGAATGGGGACGGGTGTCCGCGCAGATCAAATCTCAATGTGTAAAGAAGCATATGTGTACGCTGGTGGCTGTGAATATGTCTATTCTGAGTGTGGCATCTGGTGCACAGCAACCAAAGCCTCTGAAAAATTGTTTGAAATACACATCACAGTGGCATTAAGAATAGTGGGGAGAAATTGTGTAGAGAAGTCGTTTCAGATTTTGCTATACAAAAGAATGAAAGAGAAAAACACTAATCGTACTGGGTATTTACATTAGGATCGTTCCTTCATTTCTACCAGCAGTAAATCAAACTCCGTACGCTCCTGACTCCCATTGATTGTCCCTCCCAATCTTCCGTCATTTCCAAGCAATGCCCAATCCATCTAAAGCGAGTGTCGAGCACTTCGAACTCTGTTTCACATATCCCAAGCAAAAGAACCAAATATCCTGAAATGTTATTTTGATACCCTCTCTCATATATGCGTCATCATGCGGGGCGAGGGAGGCATAGAAAGAGGAGTAGTAGGATATTGATATCCGGACTCGGAGCATGTGGTAGAATGCTCGTAAGAGTGTGACAAAGGTGGCGTCTGCATATATCTGTTAGGACCCAGTCCAAGTGGCTTTGCAGCTTGAGGGTGCCTTACATGAGGATTATCATAACCGTGATGAGAATGAATATCGATCGCTGGCAAGCCTTGGTAGGTCATATTGTATGGGCTCATGGTGTCTTCAGGTTCCCGCTTGATTGCATCGTTGAAATGCATCATGGAAGGTAAGGTAACTGGTACTGGTGCCATGTAATGCTGGTATGCCTCTGATCGTTCACTGTCGGAAACTGCGCGGTATGGCTGCGAATGTGGGTATGGTGGGTAGGAAATATCCTCTGGCGCAGGGTATGTATGATATGTGAATAGAGGTGGCGTTCTAGATTCATCACGATCAAAGTTTTGAGAAAATATGATCTCGTCATCGCTGTTCATTGGAGGTGTGTACTGGCTAGGCAAAAGTCTTGGGGAGACTTGTCGTTGCACATGTTCTGGGCTTCTTCTGTATTGTTGATTCTCGTTTATGCGTTCTGGCTGTTGGTGAAGCTCCGCATGCGCTTGAGGTGGAGAAGCTGAAGATGAACCGGCTCTGCGCTCGAGATCTTCAAGACGTCTCTTGAGCTTCTTGCCTAGAAGTAACGAATCAGTGGCTGTTTATGATTCGGGACCTTGTATGAATGGCTTACGGTAGTTTCTTTGAGCAATACGATTCTGAATTCTTCTGCGCTCAGCAAGATCAGAGATCTTTGTCCAATCTTCATCTGGATTGGCAGAGCTGCTGAAAGCACTGCTGGTGCCGTGGGTTGTCATATGTCTGGCGTTGGTAGCCGTAGAGTATGTGTAGCTGTGTCGAGACATGTTGATAATTTGTTCAAAGTGATGAAAGTGTACTGATTCAGTATCAAAAGCAGAAAAGTTGAAGATATAGTCTGATCTGAGGAGCCTTGGAGGATCTGAAGTTCTGTTACTACAAGGTCTTGAGATGCCCTACACTGGGGAGGCTTCCTCCATATATATGTGAATGTGGGATAACCAAACTGACGCAGCTATGCGGAATTTCCAAACCACTTGGCCCCGAATCCTGGCGCACTTCTTGCTCAGCTACTCTACAACACAAACGACGAAACCCTGTTGAAAGACCCTAGAAGAGGAAACCCCCTGCAATTACTTTGAATACCCTGCACAGCATGCCCCCCTTGTAAGCCACTTTGCGCACCCTGTTAAAAACGGCCGGGAGGTGCGCCGTGCAGCTGGGGCAGTCGATTCTGCCACAGAACACATAAACACACACACCATCCTTCCATAGACACCGAGTCCAAACCTAAAAAGGGTACATTCATCGACATGCATGTATGAGGCGTGCTAAAGATCCAACTTCGTAGTCAAAATTTCCTTAATTGGAAATGTGGATTAATTAAGGGCCATTAATAGATTTCCGCCATATCAATGAGTATTATGAATGTCTATCTCGTAAAGCAGCATCCAACCATCATCCCTCAACCACCAACCGGAGAAATTCATCCAGAGAGGTGTGTGTATGTGTGATGGGAAATGTAGGTAAATTTAGAAACATTTCACAATTGATCAGTTTTGACTAATCTTTTCATTCCAGAGATAGAATCAGCCAATATGTACCTAGGGGTGAGGAGAAAAAAGCAAACTCTATTAACAACTCGCCAGCCCTATGAGCACACATTAGGCGTTGATGAAGCACAAACCCAAACCCTATTTTGAAGCCTTTATCAAACCATGAACCATGCCGTTGAATGAATGAACGCACAAACGAACGAAACACACAGTCGACTAACTGCTCCTAGCCATTTCAAATGCATTTACGTCTTTCCACTTTTCCTTATGAGGTATTCTTTTCGCTCCTGCCTTCCCTCATGATGTAAATGTTAATTATAGACGGAGGACTAATCACTTGTACACTGGGTACTGTATCCATCCTCAACTCATAGAAGTAAAGTACGGTGCAGTGAGTACTACTGTGATTGATGTGTAAATGATTCAGTTTACTCCGTACTAACAAGGCAAGGTCGAATGGTTAGTGATTAGCAACGGCGACGGTAATCTAATCGGACCCATCTATCCGATCGTGGTAAATGGGGAAAATATTTGCACGTTATGACTAGGTAGATTGGAGATAGTTACCATAATGTATCTTTGCTGCATGTTCATAATGGTTGCCTGAAGACTCACGGGAAATGGCAACCCAGTAGAAAATAAAGACCTAGAGACCGATAGACGATAGCCGAATGCGATGGACATTATTCACTGGATTAGTTACGAATTACGGAAGCATTCTCTGAAAATCTCGAGAACAGTCTTGGTCTCTATTCATGGAAGCACAGTTTTCTGTTCTGGGACTGGGAGGCTCCGTTTTGGTACATCGGAAGCCATGAGTAAACATTTCCATCACACACCTAACACCTAACTAGTAGGCTTTGAGCCCGCTCTTGTCTTGCTTCCCCTCCCCTGTTACCATTTTTCTGCCCCAAGAACAATCACAAGATTCTTCGAGGTCGCCGATTTATTAGCATGGCTGAAATATCTAATTATGGCAATAATCGTACATGATACTGAGCATTTACTATAGCTAGCGAGTACTATTTACGAAGTCAAGTTTAAGGGGGGCTTTAGATCAGTAGGTATGTACGTAAATTTGGGTTAACTAATGGGGGGCAAGACTCCCTATGGGCCTGATCTATGGAGTGTCTTTGATGGCTTTAATCACCATCGTCATGCAGTATAAACCATCATTTATCTTGGAAAACACTTAGCCAATTTCCACGGGAAAATGATTGCGGATGTCGCGATATTCTTTAAATATTCTAACTGGTCTTTATTGTTCAAATATAATTCCTTCCCTTACTCCGTCTCAACTAGTGGTGAGTTAATTCGTTACAAACAAGTTAATATCAGTCAAGCCAATCAAGCCAATTAAGCCAAGAGATATCTTCAGCATCTTGGAATTGTCATCGCCGTCTATCACAACTGATCAATAGGCAATTGATTGCGATTTGATCCCATCTAAAACCCTCATACCCATGCCGTGTCATGTCTAGCCCTGGAAGTACACGTGCTTTGTCATATGTTTATTTATCTCGACCGCCGATGAGCATGATGCCTGGGACGAGATAACATATTGATTGGGTGACAAAACGATGATGAACAAGGTAAAATACAAATGCTACCATGATTTTTCTTGGGAACCACTCCACACCACTATCACATCAAACCCTGGAACACACAGACACCCCAACCTCTCCGCCATCAATTAAAGTCCACACCGCAGGAAAATTGGATGCATGGAGCAGATAGAGCCCTGTCATACAGTTTTTGACCAATAACCATTACAGATTCATGCTTAAGCGAGCGAAGTCGTAATTCAACGACGGTGAGAAAGACAAACAGTAGCGGAGTGCCACAATTTTATGCTCAAGTTACGAAAGGGACAAATTCTCGCATCGTTCATTCCGGTACGACCGAAGAACGCATTAGATGCCCAGGTGGCCTTGTTGCGCATGACACCATTGACCGCTCAGCCCTACCCGGTCGCCATCTCCCCTCTCATCTTTACAGATGCCAATTAACCCGAAAGTATAATGTTGTTTTGGCTTTCAACATCATGTACCGTACCAAGGACGAATGGTATTGATTTCCGCAATCATTAGACCTCCAACACAACGATAAAATGACCATCTTAGGCATTTAAAGGCGTCGAGATCTACTATACGAGTTGGTTCCAAACCGGGTTTCTAAAGAATGGGGGCGATCGAGACCGGATTTAGGAGACTGTTACACAATGCTTTGCGGTGAAGACTAATTCGTTCTTTGCCATGAACGATCGACAATGAATACCATACGGATTCTCGGATTTACGACTGAAGTGTTCCAGATTTCATGGCGAAATTAATACCTCCTTTCTCTAACGATATCCGAGTCTTGGATCCGGGTTTATCAACCTGATGAACCCGTTATGAATATTGGCAATGACGAGCCCTGCCTGCCGCGTTTGTTTTTCTTGACATTCCCCTCTCTTGATGCCGAGTGACTCGCACGGAAAATCTCCACATATGTTTCCATTTCTTATTCCCTCGTTATTCTAGTCTGTTTTCGGTACCACAATGGTCGCAGAGTGCTTGCTTCTTCGTATCCTCAACCACTGCCTTTTGAGTACCAAGCGAGCAGACTGAGAGCAAGATATCCATACCAGACTACGAATCTAGTGATGACTGTTCCTGGATCAATCAGCGTATCAAAGCTGACAGAAGCTTGCTCGTGCTTGGTATCCAAAAGCCACATCGGAGAATTAGTCGACTGGCACATACTGTACCTTCAACAGAGGTTACAAAGAGAACCGTTTTCAAGGAGCTTAGCTGGATTTATCGCAGAGATACGATTAAAAGGTTCACGAGGTTCATCGTAGAGGCTGGAAATTACGCTTTCTGAATCAAAAGTATCACTGGGCTTGTCTCTCCAATCTACCATCTCAAGCTTCCAGAAGCGGAATCTTCGTCCGAGATGCACACTCTCAGAGAAAATCTGGCATTCGACTAATGTTTTTGATCCTGATGATTTTGAACCCAAAGTATTGTTTGTGGATGGCCGAAGTTTTTGATAATCTTTCGTTGGGTCTCTCCACATGTGGGTTCTCGATGACCTCAATCTTGTAAGAGAACAAAGAGTATCAGTTCACCCCAGGTACGCCGAGATCCATACTTTTGGCTCCTCTTGCAAAGTGGGAAAATGCCATTCTCCCAAGTCTCCACCCCAGTGAGAATAGTTCATGGGTATCTTATTCCATTTCCCGCGTGGCTTCTAGGATATCTTTGCGGATTACATGATACATGCGAAACATCTCATGTCATTCCTTTCATCACCTCATTGTTCTAGAGTAAAAGTGAGTACCCGGAGCTCCAACATCCAGTCAATTCCCTTTTTTTTATAGGTCTTATGTGATATCTTAAATCCACACAGTGACTTTGTCACCGCTGAAGATGATTCGATCACGCTTCCATGCGTGGCATGCTTGAGAAGATTATGGTAAGCACGAGCAGACCAAGCAATACCAAGTCTCATCGAATATCTTGTCCTCAACCACTGGTCTGTAAACATCTTTTAAGGTGCTGACATGATGCCCCGCTGTACTTTATTGAAATGGGTATGCTGCGAGAATTCCCAGTGACAAAGTGCCGGGATTCAAAAGGGCTAAGCAACTGCTAATTGTGCGATGGCTTGGCAACGAGATTGCATCGGCTGTGTGTGGTATAGTGAACATTGATGTCCTTGGTAATTGGGTGTAGATACGTAGAGACACACTGCATGCTACTGACGATTTCGGAAAAGTACGAATTTTAGTTCATAATTTGTATCCTGCTTTTGATATCTATATTGCGGCGGATGAAAATTGTGCAAAGCACCGGTCGCCGAATTGACTTTTACTCAAGCTTTACTAAACTTGACAGACTGCCTATGCCAGAATTCAATAAGCACTCTTACCAGACCGTTGAATCAAGTTGAGCCCTTGATCTTGGTCCGAGCAATTGAGACAACTCCACACGATCGAAGGCTGAAGAACCCGGGGGACTCCACCGCGTCACTAAATGTGCCTTGGACCTTGCACGCAGACGTCAAAGTTTATGCACAAAATATATCATATCATATTAAATCATCTTACAGTACAATATCATACAAATGTACGGAATATGTCCACGGTCTTCAGATCTGAGGGTCTCTGACCACTCTGAACCGTTCAATCCGGACCTTTTGCATGGTTACCCCATACCTAACCGCGTCCTAAACCCCTGCGGAGTATTAAGAAATTTGAGAAGAAGATCTCGGAGCGATTAGAAATCACCCAATCCCTCTTGTGCAACCGTTGTACGTGAAAATTAACGTGATTGTGCGGCAAGGTGATTGTAAACGTGAAGATCTGAAATACCACTATTGGCATTTGACATTCGCGTAGGCAGGAGTAAGGCACAATGACATGAAGTCGCATTGAGGGTTTCCAATTAAGGCTATCTTGACGTCGAGGATAATCCTTCATTTCACGATTCGGGAATCTTAAGGCTAGTTTGAGACTTTACGTTGGAGCTTTCGTCCGTAAGGGTTCTATTCTCTGGCTGGTGCGGCTTGGGTAAGTCCAAGTGAAGTAATGTTATTGGTTGAGAAGAGTGTTCTTGGTTACGGAGCTGTTATGTCGTGACTTTAATTTAATTCTTGGACTCCTTCGCTTTCCTTGGTAATGAACACCAGTGACCAAATGTCGTTTAACGTTAAGAATAGGCAGTGGGGATTAGATGCCAAATATGGGGTTGTGATGCGCTACCCACTTTCGCAAGCTCCGATTAACGTGTTAGGAAATGGGGGGTTTTGATTGGGTTGGGAACGAGGGGTTACAGGCTAATATATTGATATTGATAGCAGATCTAGATGACTGCTGTAGATGACAACGACGATAATGAAGGGTTCATATTAGATAGTGGATCTAATCGTGTCGCCCTCATTGCTTTGTCATTAAATTATTCATGTGAATCTTTCGACGAGTATCCTGACTAGAAAGAGAGGCTTCAAATCAATGTAGTATAGTGTGTAGTACAGTCGGCTCATACTATAATCAATATCAAGATTAACATACCACACTCATTCTACCGAGTTCGGGAGAAAACATCCATACTGAGGATGCGGAACCACAACTCGTAATGGTATGCATTCTGACTCACCGCCGTGAATTGGATTATACGCATGTTGATTTGTTTCTGAGATAGATGGATGCATGGATGGATGGCATCACCAGCATTGTTCATACCTGACTGATCATGGATGAGAAAGTAACGTTAACAAACATGCCAACCTACGTACATAGAGTCAAGCCTTCTGGTCCCTGAAGCTTGTGAGCCTCCGCAACAACGAAGCACCGACCGATTCCTAGCAGCTAATGTAAAGCTCGCCGCGTAAGGCTGAACGAAATTTGGTATTTGTTTGTGAAGCCACCTTTGGATCCCCTACATAGACACCGAGTAGAATGCTCTGACGAGATTGGTATGTTCATTTGATCATTTGATATCAACACTCTGTTACCACCCACACGTCTACGACCTCTCACGCAATATCTCAAAACCCCATACTTTCATTTCACCGCCCGTCGATCATGTATTTTCGATTTTGTTGTAAAAGCGTCCAGGGCTTTGCTCCAAATGAGGTTTTCACGTGGAAAAATACATGGTACACTGCCCACTTTCCTGTTTGAGGCATTTAGCAGACATTACATGGAATGTTGCATACAGATCAGGACTCAAGCCTAGGGCTGGGTCAGTCGTGCCTGTCTGCCTGCCTGTATTTTCTTTTTCTCCTGTTATGCCCAACTAGTATCTACCAGTCAAAAATTGAACCTCGAGGTTTTTCTTGTGGTAGTGTTCTATTCCTGGCTACTAGTGGATTATGATACAATGGAGAGAAAATTCATTATAAATCCCACAAGGCGTAGGTAGATGAGGACATCTGTGCCACATTTTTGGGGGCTGGTTTGAAAAGCGACAGGGCCCATTTACGTTCTGATTGCCCAGAGAAGTCGTGGTTAGAAAATCATATACTCTATTCGGCCGCATTTCATCGAGATTTCCGAAGTTGTATCCTTGAAAAGATCATAATGGAGAACATCGTATATAGGACCAATGGGAAGCAATTTACGTGTTGTAACGAGGAGAAGTCCTACTCCCTGGATATAGGTTTCGATTCCTTTCTTCATCGATAATACTCGAATACTCGAATACCTCCAAACTCGATGTCCAGGAAGTTGTGTCTCCGCAATAGTACTCGCGGGTCGTCATCGCAATCATTGACTGACGAACTTCATCTGACTACTGGCGAGCACAATAGGTAAGTGCTTTACTCTACATTTATTTTTAGGCATCTAAACACCTACTGATCTGCGATCGATGAAAGTCAAAACCTACTTACAAGCGCTCACCTATGGAGACCCTCTGTGAACGATCCACGGCTACCAGCCGGGGAAGTTAGGCATGGAATTCCACCTACGATGAAATTTGGTTGAATTCCCTCCATAGTACAAAGGACGGACTATAGGAGGACCCTATATATTCCGAAATTCTTTCATCTTCACTTCGAGCCCTCATATCATCACGAAAATATCCCTTGCGAGAGTGGACAATGATGGGAGTCACAGTGGGGAGGGTGGATCGTTTAGCTATTTTCTAGGGCTCGAACGGAACTTATTAATCAGCGATTCAGCGTCCGTCCTCCGTTTCCATATTATATTACGATATTGACTCGTGATAGTTTACATATGTAGGTTACTTAGCAACTTTATGCGCCGCAATGAAACAGACGAAGGAATTGACAATTCACGGTCCATCCGTCCAGATTGTGGAGTATGGAACGGACGGATCTATTAGTGTTTATTCCTTTTGAACGGATACGGAATGCGCAACGGAGTTCCCTTTTCCTTGTGCGGAGGAGTCTTGCCGCATGATTGATATCGACAATACATTGAATGTCCCGTCTTGGTTGCTCGCGCGAAATCAACAATTGGGGAAGTGGTTCTCCAATCATTCAATTTTTCACCGAATTCTGCATTTATTTCCCCCCGGCACCCTACTCACAGTATGCTCCAAACTCTGTAGGTTAAAGATTGAGGGTATTTCTCCGTTAACTACGGGGCTTATTACAATGTAACATCTTATCTCCATCACTAGAAATACCATGTGAAAGACAGGCAAGCCATGTGGTTGCAGAAATTCAGCTGGGGCCAGATTCCAAACTTCCTTGCCAGAGCCCTGCATGGCATAGATAGATAGATGGATGGATAGATAACTTCAATACGCTCCCAATTCGGTAAGTCGTATTTTCAAATGAGGCTTTAATAAACGAGGGAAGGGATTTCTTTACATGAATTCTGGACCATACAGCATAGCAAAACGGCTGTGCATTTGCTGCCTGTGAGTTCGTGACCCTTTCACGTACATGTGAAATAGAGGAAAGTGGGAAAAAGCAGTTAAAATAGTTGTAGTGGATAGCTTGTATTTTGATGGGTTTTCGTTTGTGTTAAGACGCACGAGAAATCCCATTGGAATGAGGGGACTCAGGGAGCTCAGTCTGTAACCGAGCTCTCCTCTATTTGTACCTCTATCTCTTTGTGGGTTTCCGATTTAGGACTCGGATCCGAAGCACAAACTCGAGTCAAGACAATCAGAATACTGTATAAGTTTCCGCGGCAAACCATCAAATATCCCTTAACATCGAGATTCGAGATATCTCCTTTCCTGGATATCTCCGCCAATGCCAAGTACCAATGTTTGATCCTTGCAGCACATTTACCCATTTTACCAAGCCTACCAATATCTAAAGCACATCAAATGACATTTCTCTTCCCAAACTTGGATTGCCAATTTATTTTTCCATGAACAAGCAGGTTAATCTTCATCCGAGTGGGAAAACTTTTATTGAACAATTCTACCAATGATCAGTTCGACCCGATGTTTCGGCAAGCCCAGATTGCCATGTGGATGCATATATGTAAAAGGCTAGTGGATATTATTCGTACGAGCGAAGCACCTTGTTTGTGAATCATACTAGGCTTCCATCAATCTTCAAACTCGTCAAATGCGCCTTCTAGGTGCCAATCAAATGGGAGAGATATCATCACAAATCAAGCTCGCGATCCATCGGGCTCGGGTCAATAATATGCCTTTTCTCCTTTCCCCGGCTTTAAGGAGCTTTTTCCGTATCCAATTTGCAGCACATACGTATGGTATGGTATGTTCGTATGCCCCCATGGTCAAATGATTGAAATCTACCCAGCATTCAGGTAAGTCAAGGCATGGTTTGGATTGGAAGGGCGCAGTGCATACGTGCAGACATTTTGGTGTCTTTTAACGGACACCATTGGAGTAAAGATCTTCGTGCTGGCGGACCCAAAAGATTTTGACAGACGGCTCCGTGGTTCTCGGCCTGGGGAGTGATTCATCGTGCATGCGCAATATTGAGTTTCCATAATTTCCATACTGGCTTGGTTGCTCAATCTGCAATCGCGGGCGTGTGGGTTGTCCAGCCTCGAGCCAGCTTGAGTTGCATGTGCACCGTGGTATAGCAGCTAAGTACTTGGTTGGGATTCGTTCCTTGTCGCATTCCAAATCATTCAATCTCGCAACTGAGGCTCTGCTCCTTTAAGCGGAAAAAGGTTTAAGATATTGGTGCGGTGTGGTGTGATGTGATGAAGATGCGTAATTCACACGTAGCCTGCCATTGCATTCGCCGGACTTGGATATTGGTGTGTAGTAGATTATTTATCTTACATGTATCCAATGTCTGAGGCTCAATTGATATGTTTGATGCAGAGATCTCTGTTGCCCCCTGATCCGTTCTTTTCTGTTTGACGCGTCAACCTTCGATTAATGATCGTAGACCACCAACTGTTATAGGATCTGTAGATGCTAAATCTACATATCCCAACTGTTGTCTTTTATATGAGTGTTAGTACATGCGGATAGGTTATTCTGCATATCCGGCATCGACCATCAAAGTCCCGAATTAAGCTGACTGTGTTTGAACTGCCGATAAGTCACAATTTTGACAGTTTGATAAAGGTGACGGTACAAATAAAGCGGGATCTCGGGACCGATCTCGGTCTAGCTCGATGTACTCTTCTAGATATTTGGTCCGTATTTTCAAAATCAACTGGTTTGTTCGGTGCCAATCCCATCATGTAGACGATTCCTAGCTACAATATACGAAGGCTCTGGCCCCCATAGGAAATTGCAGGATCTGGAAAATCGAGTCAGCAACTTTTATCCTTCACTTTTGGCTTGTTTTGGTTTGATCTTGAGCCAGGTCGGAGGCTTAGCAACATAGCTAGACAGGGAATAAAAATAGGAGGAGCGATGTTCTGAATTGATAATAGAAAACGACCTAAAATGATAGGATAGGAAGGTAATCTTCGGCCACGGATTTTGGCGTCTGGAAGATTCTTTTTCCTCTCTGCGGGTCAAGGAGCTCCTTTGAAAAGTAGCTCTAGCGGATATTAAGTTTCTGCGGTGTCCTCTTTTAGATCTTGAGGCTCAGTCAATCCTTTTCGCGGTTATGTAAGTAGACTCAAATGTTAGGGAAGGTGGGAGTGATGAAGATCTGGAGAGCAAAGCATTTATGCTTGCGAGATGGTATGCTGAGCACAAAAGATACAGAAGATGGTTTTTATGCGCTGTTAGCCCCTGATTGTAAGATTACAATAGAGGTAGATAAAAGCTGTCTTGTGAGACTGGTGTGAATCATGTACAAATCTAGAACCTGTTAGATAATAGACTTACACTTATATTCCTCATTGATACAATGCTCATCCATCTAACATTAGATTATGTTGTTCTTCGATTCTTTCGTCTTCAAGGGCTTTCAATCCCCCCTTCCCGAATTTGCAACTGTATTGAAATAACTTGTGACTTGCAAACAATCATGTGCACCAAATGCTCGAAGTTGGTTGAAGTGGGATCACATTCGTATTTCTGTGTATATTATTTTGCAGAGGCGGTTTCAGCGCTCGTGTCTCTTGCCTTCACTCTTTCCTATGAGGAGGGGAAGACTTCTGGCTCCAGATTGCTGGCAATACTAACAATTAGCATCTTCACTCCGCGTCGATGTTCTGAACACTATCAATGATAGTCTAGAGAGGATGAACAGAGCCCTTGCATTTGGTAAGAACCACGTTGCTCATATTGATCAACAATGCCATGTTCCGGACTCCAGCCAGGCACTTCACTGCTTGCACCGAATATGAAAAAAAGACCTTCTCATGTGTTTCCTTTTCATCCAAGTCTCAAACACTCTGTCGGTCTCCCCTTTTCTCTAGGAAAAATCTTTCTTCGTAAATAGAAACTAAATTCAAAGTCAATCGTATTATATATTATGAATCTTCCTTATCCATTTATATACCAGTAACCCTTGTGAACAAATGATAATTGATCTGGGATGAGACTCTGATATAGTATCTTAAAGTAAGTTTCAACGAGAGAAGTAAAATGAACTGTCGTTCCGTGAGTGTCAATGACTGAGCTTCATAATGGGCTACTTCGCTGTTTCTACCACACCTTGAGTACTCGGGAGATGCCCATCACTTCTTGTTGAACTGACCGTCGCAAAATTGATGTTACGCATGTTACCAGAGCCAGGCACTTCACTTTGGGTTTTCAACGGAGACCAATTCTGGAGCTTACGAAGCTTGGTGCTATGGTAACGCAGATCATCTATAGATTACGATATCTCAACTTTGATAGTACTCTCTAATCATCAACCCAAATTATATATAGCTTTCACGAGATCACTTCCCTTCACTTCAATAAGACCCAGCGTTATACGCACAGCGATGTGGCACATTGGTAATAAGAAAACCTATTCTTGTTCTTGTTCAGAACTAGCCCTATTTATCCTTACTCCGGCCCCCATTGAAAACAATCAATGCTCTAGTTGAGTAAAATGCCTGGCCAGTGTTCCTTCTTGTGCCTAACCCATCACCTTGAAATCACCTAACCATAACCATATGTCATATGTGTCAATTCCTATTTCTTGTTCACCTCGTTTTCAGAGCCAGCGAAGTCCCTGTCAGCAAGCCCAGAAAAATAAACTCCTGTTAACAATCCCTAATCCTTCCCTGAAAAATTTGGTGTCCTGTATCTAATTTTCGTTCTTCAAGTCTTCGAGATGTTCCTTTCGTTCAGCAATCATTACTTGAAAGTTCAACTCATCCTTTGTGTCTTTCCTCGTCCGATCTGTTTCATGTCAGTAGGACGTTTTCGAACCGAGTGACGAAGAATTCTTACCCAAATCTCGCAATTTCTCCAAAGCGGGGAGTGTCTGGTAAAGCTGAAAGTACTTGTCGGTGATCTTCTGCGTGATTTTAACAGAGCTGTTGTCATCGGTATCGCTGACAGAGAGGGGCTTGTAGAATTCTTTGAAGACTTGGAGTTTCTTTGCACATCTCATCTCGATAGTCTCGATTGCATTCTGGCAGATCTTAACCAGATCAGCTGCATCGCCGTCATCTAAGCCTTCGAACATGGCCTCGATTTCCTGCTTGGCTTCAGTGATTCTTGCTTGCCGATACATAATTTCTGTAGCGAATATCCGAGATGCAAGAAATGGCAAAGTTCATGCGATCTACTGTTGTCAGTCAGTAGCAATTACTTGCACTAAGTGGTTCAGATGACAGCTTGCCGCTCTTGTGGACTTCTGTTGGATCCCGATCTTGGGCTATGTATGAGAGAAGACTGAGGTCGCAATTGATTTGTTGTCAAACTCTGTAAAGTGTCTGAATGTGGGGAGATATTTCGGTGAAACTTGCCAGCTCATAAGTATCGATGGCCACGAGGAGGTTTTGCGGAGAATGCGATCGATATTAAAATGTTAATGTGCTAAAGAAAGAGGCTGGGTTATGACTGATGATTTCACTGATGAGGATAAAGGCATCAGGAAGCTACAGCGAGCGAACTGTATAGAGCTTCAGTAAACTGTACCAAGTGGCTGACAACAGAGAATTGGTAATATGGTCTCTTGGCAAGTTTCTAGTAGCTCTAGTTCACTGACGACTTCTGCGATTCAGCTATACTTTATAGTGAAAGAAACTAAGTACGAATTCACCTAAATCTTAAGAGCATGAAGATTCTCTCACTCGTCAGAGATAACAATTTTCCAGGTTATCTGTGCATCCAATGCATATTTACAGAATATCTGTCGCCTGTCATCGATCCAAATTCATTGATCAATCTCATCCGTCCAATGAATAGCCCACTTCACCACTCTCTTCAGCCATGCTCAATAACCTTTTCCTCATTCCCTCCGCTCTCTTCTTCTCCTCTTCGTTCAGTACACTAAGATTGATATCACCAACCCACTGGAGTTTATCAATGATGTCAGCGTTGTCGCTTAATAGCAATTCACTTCAAAGGGTAGAATATTTCCAACTCACCTCCCTCAATCCATGCTGCAGTACGTTCCTGGCTCTCACACCTTTGCCATTCCGATGACCTACACTCCCGTGTAGTGTTGCCCTTTCCTTACCACTCTCATACTTTCCTCTATGTAAAATGTTGTTGTCATAAAACACCACATCTCCCGCTTTCATCTCTACCCTGATCTCACCCTGTACTCCCGTTTCATATTCATTCATATCTCTCTCTGCAGCTGTCCTTGCCCTCTTGTGAGACTTGGGAACTACAATTAAAGAAGCATCATCATACAATGCCATATTCCACTGTGCATGCCATGCAGGCTCCGCTAGTCTCGCGAGTTCCTCTTCAGCGGTGGCAGAAGATGGAATATCATCTCGGTGCCAACGAAGCTCAAAGTCGCGATCAGGACGAATTAATAAATTAAATAGTTCCATGACTAAATCTTCGTTGTCGCATCGCAGAAGCTCCTTCACTACACCTAACATCTTATCCGAGAAGTAGATCTTGATAAACGATGAGGAAGTTGCAAGTTTGGGATTCATGATTGATTGAACACCCCAAATACCATCTTTCGCAGGCGACTCTCCTTCTCCTATGTTCCAAGGTGGGAATTGCTTGGGAAGCGTTCGAACATATGGCCATAAGCCAGAGCGAGCAAGATCGACAGTCTTTTTCGCTTCGACACGGAGAGAATCAACCTCTGCTTGACTCAGAAGAGAGGGGATGAGAACGAAGCCATCTTGTTCGAGAGATTCAAGGAGTTTTGACTTTTGTTCCGGCATTTTAGTTGATACTATTGTTCAGAAAGAAGTGCGTAGGTTCAGGGACAAGAACAGTGTTATATGGTCAAGTGCTATGTGGTAAGTGGTCAATATGCCATATCAGGTGATGATATTGAAGTTGGGATATGACGGGATAACATCGGAGTTGAACATCCGTCGGTCCAACATTTTGATGCGGGGCTGTTTTTGGCGGGGTATCGTGTTGTAACGTAGCAGAAAGTTGCTAATTTCGCGCATGCACGTTCTCGTATTTCTCAAGCTGAAAGAGAAGCTGAATGTGCTATTTTACGATTGATAACTCCAGAGGAAGTAATCATGTAACCAGAAAAGATAAAGAAGCTACTTCGGCAGCTTACTTGCATATGAAATTATAGCTATATACATGTCAAGTGTTGTTCCTCTCATACTGGTCATGTTGATGTGCTCTTATCAGTACGTACACAAGGTAGAATACATTAATGATATTAGGGGAAAAAACCTTTTCCAAATAGTACCGGTTCATTTATTGTCCGATAACATCAATTCCACTAGGGAACCCAAACACTTGCCCGTTGGTTTCAAATTGACATTTGGCCGTCACAACGTCTCCACTAGCCTCAGCCAAACACGACCCAGTACTGATGCTTACGAGATTTCCAGTAGCATAGTACTCCCATCTCTGATTCTTTTTGCCAGAACACGCAACAAGTGATACCTTCCCGCCCCCGAGATCCGTTAGACACTTAGAAGTATCAAATATTCCCTTGATAGTACCATCCTCATCGGTTTGCCACACTTGCTCGTCCGATCCGAGGGAGGCTGCCCATGCTAGGCCTTGACTAGAGTAGGTAAGAAGATTCAGTGATGCTGTGTTGAAGATCATACCAGTCGGTATGACGTTTAGATTTCCATATCCAGCAGAAATGCGATATACTGCAGTACCGTGCGAGGGAACATTGACAGCTGTGACAGCTTTCGATGTTGTTGAGACTTTCCCGGTCCAGAGGTCTTTGACTTTGACCGTTGATGCAAAGATACCAATCCTCTGAAATGGTACTTTATAGCTTGCCGTGAGATTGCCTCGATTGATGACGGTGAGAAGTCGGTCCCCATTTGCTAGGTCTTTGGTCAAAACATCCCATGTACCATCTTGGCTGACAAGTGTAGCCTGTAATGCCAACGGATCTTGGTTTACAGCAATCAGATCTCTATTCGTGAGATAAGCAACCTCATCTGCGCCGAATGCCGGAATATAAGCACTGATGATAAGGGGGGCCGATAGTGAGGCCCAAATAGCGAAATGTGACCTCTTTTCATTGAGCGATAAATCGAAGTGGTCAACAATCAAGAAATCTGGATCGTTGAAGTACCCAGGCTTTTGATATCTCGCTAATCTTACTTCCTGTCCATAGTTGAATAAGATAGAATCCCATCCGGTGATGTCGGGCCAATATGAAGTTGAGTTCCAGACCAATGTATCACGCGAGTGACGAGCAAGCTGCCCGTATTTCGGAACCCAGTCCATTACAGTATACCAATCAGTTAGGTTATCCTGCTCTGCAAAGTATGCCGGAGCAGACTCCGAAAAGATGAGAGGGTTCTCCAATGCACTTAAGACGCTGTGCCAATGGCCGTAAACTCGCTCATACTCTTGCTCAGTTGCTACAGGCATGTTGCAGCCATCAACCTTGAGGTAATCAAAGCCCCACGAGGCAAAAGCTCTCGCATCAAGCTCCTCATACCCATACGAACCTGGATATCCACCACAAGAATTGACTCCAGCATCGGTATAGATTCCAGAATTAAACCCCAGGCTTTTCAAATAGCTGGTCAACCATGGAAGGCCGCGTGGAAATTTCTCGGTGTTCCATAATAGACTACCGTTCGGTTCCCGACTGCCTTGACTCCAACAGTCATCTAGATTAAGTCGATTGTAACCTGCTGCAAGAAGGCCTTTCTCCACCATTGCCTGGGCTGTCTCAACGAATAGCGATTCGTTAAGCCCACACATGAATGCTGACCAATTATTGAAGCCTTAACCCAGTTAGCTATTATCATAAGGATTGCTGCATTGAAAATTTGCATACCCATTGGGGGAGTACGCTGGAGCACCGAAGCACTGGCAGAGACATCGTATAACGCCACACCAGTAAGGAGCAGGTGTTTCAAGGTTGAGGTAAACTTTGACATTGTGTAGAATCGAGAATGCTCAATCACGAAATAAAAAGATTACCCTGAATATTTGCGGCCGACGTTTCTTTGAGGTTATCTCGTTGAAATAGATATAGTAAGGTATTGATCGACATCTTATATGCCTATTTCGAAAGGTTGGGAGCCCACGATAAGAATACAAATATGCAAACAACGATGGGTTGAGCGAATCAGCAAGTGACTTCACGGGACTCACTGTAGCACTGCAGGTCCGAGAGATTATCCGGAATCTTCAGCTTCCCCGCAATTGCATGTTCAAAACTGCGTTTGGCTACCTAAATAGTTCCGATCTGAACGACGATGCGTACGTGAGTGGGATAATAGTCTATGCGGGCATGAATAGACAATTGGAACGTTGCTCTGCAGCTGCAGTAAGATAGAATTCAAGTAACTACGCCAAACCGTTTTATGGGTTGACTAAAACCTGATCCTAGTATGTAGCAAGACAATTCTTGTCTCCCAACTATTGTCAAAATGCAGGAACAAAACGGATTATTAAAAATGCGGCAAGCATGTATAGTTCAATCTTTCGAGATGCAATATTTTGTACCTGTGAGTGGCACATTTGGCTGATCGAATTTATCGACTCTCAATTTCATTCAAATACAAGTCACCAGATGAGAATTTTTGGTTAGTATTGGGCTATTTGTATAGCCGTGAGAAATCAAAACTTTTGTACTTCGTGAATTTCGATGGCGACTTTGAGTTTAAATCTCGAGAGCCTTTGTGTTTGATTGAGCCGATTGCATCAATCTACCTTGAATATTTGGGAATCCCTACTCAGAGAAGGGAAACGGAAGAGCATCGACTAAGTTTGCCAAAATATGTAGAGATGGGAAGGTGATAAGCTCTTAATAGATGTGATCCATCGATGAATGTTTTTCCTCTAGACCAAGGAGGTACTATCTTACCAGTTTGGTGACGAGCACCACGAACCGAACCATCCGTTGTGCCGTTCAAAGCGACCTTTTTCATAGACCGGTTATAGTTCACGTTTGAAGGCTTCCAGCTCATAGCAGAGATCATTGAAAGTGTAGAGCTTGGAATGGAATATGAAATAGTTGCCGGAGGCCAGTGGTAGCTTTGAGGAAGGTATCGAATACCCAGATGGTGAATTGTGGGAAACTTGCTATCTCAATGGCAATTACCAGACACTTGTCACTTAACTTAATATTGCAGTGAGTTTCAACACAACACATAAGTATACCCCTTGGTATAGTAAGTTCGAAAGATTTGAGCAGAGCGTAGCAGCTGTTGCAAACTTCAAGAACACAAAGGTGATGACAAGTACGGGACATTAGAATTAAGATACCGAGGTCTAGACAACAGGATGAAAGTGGCGTCAATAAAAGGATCTCGCTTCAAGAATTGATATGGACATCTTCACACAAACGGCCACTAAAATTCAGCCATTTCGATGCAGCGAAAATGAAAAGGCAACGGGTGCTCGTCACAAAAGAGGGAGAAAGAAAGAAAAGATTCAAGAAATGAAAATTTGAGTGGAAATAGGTTGAAAATCAATAAGGGAATCAATAAATTTCAGCGGTTGAGTATTTCTAGCAGATTGGCTTTCCTGGGCAGTAGACGCGATACTTGGTGCATCTTACCCTTAAGCTAAAACGAAATGCAGCACGCCATGCCAAGATCTGGGTATATCTAGTTTGGTATCCCAAGTGGTCGGATGGCTAGTAGCAACCAATATTTTGATGTCAGAATAATACCTAGCTGATCCTGTTGACAGAAAAGCAGCCTCGTGAGGAGCTTTTTCGCCGTGCTACGACGCTGTTATAACACTAAAACGGTTTTGACCACAAAGAATGCTCAAAAATTGTTGCCAAAAATAAGCCATATTTGCTGAGGTGATGGGGTCTTGCAACAAATAACTGCTGCAGAGGCAATGGCAAACCTGGGATGTAACGTCGTGAACTTTTTTAACATGGTAGTCTCGGAGAAATTCAGCCTTGTAATATCTGTCTACTGTATCAATATTGCGACGATGAAGAGACGTCGCAATTGTGATTCCACTAACTAAGCAGAAAATATAAAGGAACTAATTTCCGAATCCGGAATCGAGATTCAACATCGCGAGGAACAAATGTGTCCCCGGGGTGGGGACGGGACCGAGAAATAAGCAATAATTCAGGTCGTAAGTATTTCTGCATTAGATTCTTGGCCGATATTTGGATGAAAGAAGGAATCATCATTAGACGAGTAGGCAGGTACAATATAATATCTTCCCGTCAAGGCCGAAGAGGATGGGGGAAATGTAGGGGTATAGGGCTATGGGTTTCTACCTACTGCAAGCGAAGGGCTAAGGAAACTTCTTTTTCCCCTTTTTTCCTCAGTTTTATCCAGCCACTACATCCATCTCATTTCCTCAACATTACACATGCCTACCTAAGATATTGACCATGTCAAGCTTCTCGCCTCTGTTCGCTCAGTCCAGCCGCGTAATCGAAGCCAATTTCATACACATTTGGAAGGTATCATAAAAGGCTTGCATGTATATTGCAATGAAGAAACTCAGCCTGAGAAATCCAGTAACATATACTATGTACATGCGAGCTAACTTTCGAATGGTACATTTGCCAAGTATCGTAATTTTCGACCGCATGGCCAGATGGGGAAAGCGAATTTGGTGAAGGAGAAGTCTCCTCTTGTAACGTTTCTATATTTCTCTGCTATGATGCACGTTCTATAGTTTGCATTTTTGGTGTCACTGGTTTTCGTTCATTTTCACTCATTTGGTTTCAAACAATCCGTGTAACGGATACATCCCCGTCGTCATCATGGTTCTGCCAGCTTTCGTGTTACTTCCACTTTATATGTACCCATACAATTCAACTTCGTGGAGTACACTTACTACCTCGATTGTCGCCAATCCAGAACTCAAGTTTCATGTGATTGTTGCCCCGAACTTAGAGTTTACGGACCCAGATGTCAATTATGTTGCAGGCCTTACAAATCTCAGTAGCTATTCAAACGTCCTGACTCTTGGCTATGTCTATACCTCTTACGGAGATCGAGACGTTTTGGAAATCGAAGCAGAAATCGATAAATATGTCGGGTGGAACTCACCAACCCAGCTTCCAATAGGCGGGATTTTCTTCGACGAGTCGCCATCAAACAACTTAACATTCCCCTACATGAGTACACTTACCACATACGCGAAAACATCGTTAGGAGCTGGCAAAGATTACATATATCTCAATCCCGGTGTTGCGGTCGATGCATCCTTCTATACACTGGCTGATAGCATCAACATATTCGAGGAGTCTTATGCGAACTTCAATAAAACTTCATTGACTAGTTTGGATACCTCCTTACTAGCTAAATCAACGTATGCAATTCATGATTTCACGGGAACTACAACAGAACAAACTGCTCTCGTGAGTCAGCTTACATCTGCAAACCTAGCAGGGGTGTTCATAACTACACAACCTGGGTACACGGAGTGGTCAAGCTTATGGTCTTCGTTCTGCTCCGAAGTAAATACATTGAATCTTGGTAATGGGACCGGAGGTGGTGGCGGTGGGGGAGGAGGAGAAGGAGGGGGTAATGGAGGCGGTGGCAATGGGGGGCATGATGGGGGAGGGGGAGGGGTGGGTAACGGGGGACACGGAGGTGGAGGAAACAACGGTGGACATGGAGGGGGTGGGGGATATGGTGGCGGTGACGAGTGCGATGATGATGATGATGACGATGATGACGATGATGACGGTGACGATGATGACGATGACGAAGATGATGCGGATGATGAAGATGAAGATTGGGGAACTGTGTAACCCATGTTATCGTACGAACCCTGATAATATGTGCAGACAGTAATCGCGAAACATCTAGCATTTTCAAGCACCTCTACATGCATGCATTCTATCTGTTCAGAAATCTAATTAATTCTATCATTCTTCAAAAAAGACCGCTTCGTGTTTTTAAAAAAACATGAACCAGTACAACATATTAGGTCATTCTAAAACAATTGTATGGATGAGTAGCATTCATGAGGATCCGAGTGCCAAGCATGAACTTGTAGTCCTGTCCCTCCCCATCAACAATATTACACGACTCCAAGATTGTGCACACACATCAGTCCCTTGAAACGGGAGAAGTGGAAATATATTTTAAGACTCCATCACAACTAATTTTCTTTTTCACAGCCGTAAAGTTAGCGGATGACATCAAATTTGTAGACTGAAAGCCAAACATAGCAGAAGATAGATTGGATATTCGCTCCACCTCAATAATCATCTTTGCGAGCGTGAAAAACAGCACCAGATCCAAAATTTCTATTGAACTCGTTCTGCAATCTCTCTCTATTATATCCTTTTGTAATCTTGGCTCTGCGGTTCTCTATACAAAAGCGAGTTGGGTTCAATCTGGTGCTAACATCATCAAGCTGATATCCAAACTCTTATTGTCATATAACCTTCAGCCTCTTGGAGCTTTAAATTTTCGATTTGGGTATGCAGGGATTCTTTCGTGGATTTGAATAAGGAGATAATGTCGATGATAATCTGGTCCAGAAAGAGATGTTCGCAAAACAACAGCCTTGCGTCATGTAGAGGTAAAAGAATAGTTGTCTAGAACTGAATTATAAATTAGTTGATGATTGTATTTAAATACCCATCACAATGAGAAGGAACTCACTTTATTGTTCACCAATATCACTTTGAGTGATGAAATTCAAAGGGACACAAGACTAATTGCTCAACAACGTCAAGCGTATGTCTGTATAGACCAACTCAGTCTCCTTATTCCTCTTGCTCTTCTCCCCTATCTCTTGATATCGTCATTGAGCTGGACGGCTACTAGTACAGACAGTCTTCTGCGTCATTACTCCTAAACAAAGAGGTCTCCACCTGCAGCTGCTGAGTTGGGACATAAGTAACTACCCCTTTTAAGGGATGGATGCACGAGCAAGTTGACTTCTATGAGTCCTCAGATCTTTTGTACAAGTCTCCTTCTGACACTTTTAGATTCGATTGTGTATGTAAGTTGAAGTTGTGTCTTTTCGCTTGGGAGGTCGGATAAGTGGGACAGTTCGGCTGAGTGCCCCTTTATATGAACTACATGATCCGAAGTGGAAAGTGTATTTGGAGTTGAAGATCCACGAAATATGGCTTTTTGACTTGGAAGTTTGATCAATAGGTTGTGCCAATGGAAGCCCCTTTCTGGACTGTGTATAACGGGTTTTGTAGACTAAGTTGAGATGTGTCCTCTGTAGCCAGGTTAGATGAGTCATGAATTTTGATGATAGCCTTTTTGGGATTATCACATACCTACTTGTGTAGAATAGTTCAGATTCTTTGTCTTGCAGCTGTAAGTTGAGTTTATTGACTGTTTCTTCTGGTCTGCCATTTACATAAGAACCTCTTTCTGAATAGTGTAAGTTCTGCGAAGTCATGGCTATATTGCTAGTACTCTCTTCTTCTTTCATTGCGGATCCCAGACTGCTTAGAGTAGATAGAGCTTTCTCTGATGCCCGGTGTGCTGTTCAAACGAGTTCCTGCCTTTCTTTTTTCTTAGTTAGCACCGCAAAGCCCACTGATCTCTCTGATTTCGTGATGCGAAACGAAAGTTTAGAAGAGGTTGAGCGTAAAATAGTTGATATGCGGAAGATATATATACTAACTTTCTGGACATTGCATGTCGAGTCTAGTACTGGCAGTTGCACTCTTCATTACAGGCGATTCTTCAGCATCAGAAAATTTGATGGGCTTAAGATCGGGTGACTGGACACTGGATGCATTTTGAAATAATGCCAACTTGGGATGCTTGGTCCTTGAAACAGGAATAAATACTTGACAATTTCCACAAAATGTTTGGGTGACCATATTGTAGTGACTTCAAATTGCCGGTTCCTGTAAGTTTGGTCTCATTCACTATGGAGAATAGAATCGCAATTGGAACCCGAAATTGACCCCTTTCGCAGCCACATTCGCTGAGAAAACGACCGTGAATGAATTCAGATACAGATCTATGGAGCCAAACTGATCATAATACATAACATTATGAAACCCTAGAGTACCCAATATGTGAGCAATTATAACAAAGTGTTGACAACAAAGCTAGCTAGTTTGGGTCCATTTTCTTAAGTTGCAAGTCCTGGCAGATCGAAAAGAACAAAAGGTAGAAGAAAGAAAAAAATCAAAATCAGCAGTAGCTGCTCTAAAAGGAGTTTCAGAGAAGAGCGAGTACCGTATTGAAGATTTGTGCTTACCTAGGTAAAGGTACATCGCACGGAATGGAGACCAATAGGACTTTCCCTCTTGCCATTTATATTCAAAGGTCCACTTCCAATCACAGAGCTTAGGAAACTGTTTCTAAATACGTAAGAGATGGTAAATCTAGGCCGAGAGTCGATATTCGCAGTACATAACGGAACGAAACTACTAGCCCCTTCATCTTACTGTTTTGAGGATGCTTGGGGACTTCAATTAAGGTGATATAAATATGTGCTAAACATCCAGATTGGTGGCTTTCGATGAGCTGTAGGGCATTCTTAATAAAGTGACGCTTACGATGTTTTCGATGCTCCATGGCTGCGATCCTATATACACATGTAAGCCTGTGACTCAAATTTTCAGCATGTGAATTTAAAGAAAGATGATAAGCTACTGAGCAGAACAATCGTAATCATAATGAGCCTGTGTGAGGACTTAGTCTTCTCTTCCAGACTCTGTATGCTCTCGACCACCTGTAGTTAGATTTTGCAACTTTGAACGTAGACCTGCAACATGAGCCTGGAAGTAAATCGGAAGTTCAATATCTTAAAGATTCTTTTAAAGCGAAGGAACATCAAAGTAATTTGAAATTAGACGATTTTTGGCAGTATAGAATGGAGACATCATGATCATAACTTGCAATGAAAAAGCTTCTGGGAAGATCTGGACATAGGTCATCATATTTTGACAGGACTTTGGATACCCGAGAAGGATATGAATGTCGCGTGTCGTCTCCGGCACGACAATTTCTAACGAAAGAAAAATTCTTTTCATCGTATATGTAGTAATAGCCGCACACTTTCTTTTTTTTTTGTAGCATACTTTCTCCAGCGTCTTACTTCGACGATTCAAACCATCGACTTTGCGAACATCCTCCTCCTCCACCACTATCTCGAACTGTCGATATGCCACTCACTTCAAGTTTACATATGAGCCAACATACAATAACTTCTCACCTACAATTCAAACTTTCAAGTCGACTTACCCGGAACGCAGATACGGCTTCATTTGGGTATAACATTACAATGGACCTTAACATCTTCAACTACCTCGCAGAATGACAACCTGGATCTCGATCCAAATTGGATGCTGTCATCGATATTCAATTCCTTTGCCAGCAATACCTTCATCAGCATCAGCTCCAACCTAAGCTTCCATCAAGCATCGACCCCTTATTCGATCCTCCCCTTCTGTGTCCATAACTTTCGCATTAGACCAATCCACTCCGACTAGCCACACACGACTTCTGGATCCGTCATGCAGATAAATCAGCGCAGGATGCATTTTACAGGCTTAGAACATGGCGTTGTCCTCTCTTGGGCTATCGGCGTCAAATCTATTCCGGACCATAATATACAGGGTGGAAGGGAAGAGAAGATGGAGAAGCAGCTCTTCCTTCATTCAAATTGTACAACTAGGGTGGCAAGGACCTGAGTATTACAACAATTGGCAAGTTCGGTAGACTACTGAGAAAGTAGGGTGGAAACACGAGGCGATCAAACTATGCGAACTAGGCAAGGGTATATATGATGAGACTAATAACTGTGGGTACCTTTTAGAATTCCGTTCTACTACCTTTGGATCTCAATGAAGCAAGTAATTTATAAGATGCGGGAGCTAGGAGGGAACTATAAGGGGTATGATCAATGCAAAAGAACATATCAAGCTAGAAGTAAACATGTCGATTAGAGATCAACGCTCTTTTGAGGGGTAAATGCTCTAGTAGCTTGACGAGTCTCTTTTAAAGCAGTATTAATACTAGGTCCATCCTTGAATTCGAATCTGTCCGGTCGTCTAAAGCCTGCCGGCATGTTACAACGTCACAACTATCCATTGAACCACCTGCGCGTCCTTAACCGACGGGATACCCCCAAACCTCTCTGTACATAGAAAGAGCACAAGGCCATGCACATCAATCACCGACAGTTACAATACAGACCAATTGCTTTAGTAGAGGTGGTTTAGTATGGAGAAGGTAAGGTCAGCGTGCTCCCACAGATTGCTATTTCCCTCAACAGCAGTGCAATGATCGATACATCGAATATATATTCTGCGAAACACTAGATAAGATGTATCAGAGTTAGTTATGTGAGTATTTACTTCATTCAAATCTATGCATGATGGTCATTATGGCTGATAACTTGATAGTGGTGAAGTGATCGACTCTACCCAGCCCCGACAAAACTTACAACCTACCTCCTACACCCGTTCGACATCTGATACAGAGCCCTTACAATGCTGCGAGTATAAAAGAAACAATCACGTTTCCAGTTCTAGTACTGGTATCGCAATTAGCACCAAAATTCAATTAAAAAAAGCGCCGAGGACTTACAGCTTTATGGTTAACAATAAATGAAGGGGGGATGGCGAGAGAACATGAGTTCCTATGCAGCTCATAAGTGATTTGATTGGCAGTTTACATGAAGGGGCTACGATTCTCAAAGATTGTGTACCTACAACTCGTATTGAGTTTAATTAGCAGCTAGGGCATAGTTTTTCCCGTTCTACAGTATCGGGAATATTGGCAGCAACGACACTTCAGCGTTTAGAGTTCAATTACATTGGGAAATTTACAAAAACTGCATCAAAACTTAGTCTGGCTTGCATTGTTCATTGCGACAAAGATAGGATCTCATTGTAGCTTTGGTTCTATCAGAATATTCAAGTGACACATGCGCATCTTATCCGTCTTCAATGTAAACAAGGAGTCAAAGCTGGGTATAATTTGATGAGAACTACACTTTACCATGCTCAGTCAAGCTTCTATTCTTGCTGATCGGTAACATCTAGTAAATGGGACATAATACAGTACATGCAGATGGTTAGTCCGTATCATTATCTGCCATATTCTGATAATATCACCGGTACTCCGACCGGTAATGACGGCTTTTCTAACACATATCAAGAAGCGTCAAATGCTTACCTAGATAGGAGATCTTAGGAGTAATGCAAGTGGTGAATCCATATTATCGTTCCCCATCTCCCGAAAATATCTTTCGCACTCGGCTCACCATTGGCGGCTCATCTAACGCCTCCCAAGCCGTGTTGAGTAGTAATCTTAGCAGTATCGTGCGAATCGTACGATCCGAAACGTCAACAGAAGCTGGGACGAACTAGTAAATGACTTTGAATGGATACAATGAGCTGTGAATGACCAAGCACTGCCCCATCTGCGCGAATTTCTACTGTAGTCCTTGCACTTAGCTTGATATAAAGGAAATTTCACAGCTCGCATCTGATCACTTCTTCCTTCCATAACCTTCCATCTACAAATATACTCCTCGTCCTCCAATCAGAAAACTTCTCAGTCCCGCGCTATTACAGCAAAACTTCCCGCTAACTTCCACATAACAAGGCTGCAGTACGCTACAGCAACGGAATATTCCTCGGAGACGGGACGGTACCACTTATTCTCAACGTTTTTACCCGCCTAGTCACCCGTACTGACAGGATTTCACGTTGAAAAGGTATAACAAGGTACTGGAATATCCCGCACTTGAAGCTAAGCCACTTTTGTTCTCCCATCTTCTTCAAACGGGTCGAAGACTTTTCTCCAAAGGCCTTTTACTCTTATCCAACACAACCTCAACCTCTCTTCTCCCTTCTCCCTTCTTCCTTCTTCCATTCCAGCAAAAATCTGTTCTCCCCCTACCTGTACTAAGCTCAAGAGAAAAGACTCACAACAACTCACTGGCCAAACACTCTTCTACCTTGAAGTTGTGGTTAGCAGAAAGTTTTGATATTCTTTGAACTTGTGTGGACTTGCAGAAAGACCTTTTTGTTTCTTGAATTGAGCGCCCGACAGCTTGCATCGATCTTCTCAAGAACAAAAATTCCATTCAGGGATCGATCTCGTTCCTAGAACGCGTAGTCCTACATCAGACAATACTGTCGCGTTACTGCTAGGAGAATTAGTTCCTTGTAAGTATTACCTCCCTCCCTTTCTCTTCGAGCCGCCTTGGTTCACAATACCATTTCCATCGCTGCCCACTCAGCACCAAGCTTAACTACTACCTCTTTTTGCTAATAGTAAGCTAACAATATATAAGGTGGTTCAGATCTAAAAGATCGCAAGTTAGTTGCTCTGACAGCAGAGTTAAAATTCTTGTGAGTATTCATCCTCACCTCGTTTACAGCAGGCCCTTGGTCCATAGCATTTTACTCTTCATCCTTCCTCTTCTTCCATCTCGTCACTTGCCTTTCAACGTCAAATGTCTAATAACAGAAGGCGCCGTCTAGTATTCAAGTATTACGCGTTTCTTGCTCTGCTAGTAACGTCAGATCACTTGTAAGTAGCAGCCTCAACCTTCCATCATAACACAGCTTTGAGTTATGGCACAACCAATCTTTCCCCCTTCATTCGATTTGACTCAAATTAATCTTTTCTTGTCACCAATCTAACACCTCAAGCAGTTGTTTAGAACCAAGGGATCATACTCTTGTCACTCTGTCATCAAATCTAAGTTTGAAGTAAGTAAGCAACTCCTCCATTACCTCATATAAGTTGCAGTTAGCAGCACTAAACTACAACCTCGTGTTTTCCCTTGATCCTTTTTATCATCTTTACCGTTAAACTTTACTTGAAGTGCGAAACTAACACACTATTTGTTGCCAGTTTCTCCACCTCATCGACCGTCTACTATCGATCAGACACTACTCAAAGATACAACACTCTCATCAACTTGAACTTTATCGTCGCCTTTCCTATACTATTCGCTGGTGTAATATTGGCGATATAAATCTGCAGTTATTCTCTGCATACTACTATCTCAAGTTGGATCATCTTCTCTAGTGAAGGTTGATATCTTTACGATCTTCCATCTCGAGTATACCGTCCAAAGAGGGTCATTTCCTGTCACCAAATTCAGTCAACACTTACTACCACCTGCCGCTATCCAGAGATCATTGTCTCAATTCTTCTCCAAAGATCTACACTCCGATCTATAACATGTCATACGTCTTATTTCAACTTTTGTAAGATTTGAAAGGCCATCGCACATAGCCAATATGTCGTCTGCCAAGGCTAAAGAACGCAAGAATCTCGAGCCAATGGCTCAAAAGACTCCGGTCAACCGTCGTCGTAATAGTCTTCCAAGTCGAGAGGACAGTGTCGACGAAGACAGCTTTGATGAGAGCAATTACTCTGAAAATGATGATGGTGGAGAGAGTATCTCGGGCTCCTCCTCTTCGTCAGAAGTGGGCTCCAAGTCGGATTTAGCCGCCACCAATACCCTCAAGGCCTTGCTTGTGTCACAGCGTCGATACATCCCTGACTTCGATAGTCTACCAAAAACCGGCGTTTGGATCTCTCCTGCTCCTAGTAAGCATACCGAGTTCAAGCAGGTCGTTGTACGTACCACCAAGTGCGACATCTGCAACCAGAAGGTGGAAGCTCAGGACAAAGAGGAAGACGGTAAAGTTATGCAACGATGCCGCTGCTGTAACATTCAATTCTGTCAGGATTGCGTACTTAGGGTATCTGAAGATGAGATACACTATCCTGTTCTTGCAGAGTTGGAATGGGAAGCCAAAACAAAGGTTAATGCTATAACTCGGGGTCATAATGGTTTTAAAGATCACATGTTCCACAAGCCTCGATCTGAGCCAAAGCCAGTCAGACCAATGACCGCGTCGGAGAGATTGGCCAACTCGAGGGCTATCGCTTCCGGCAAGTTCAGCAACATGGCTGTTAACACGCCAACTCCTTCACGTCCATCGCGAGCCAAGACTACCAAAGCTGCTGCAAAGAAATCCAAGAAGCGCGAGCTTCCTCCTGGATACGCATCTGAAGAGGGAGATCCTCATTATGATTTGGACTTGGACTGGATTCAGAGTCTTCCTATCGAGGAGCAGCGTAAGGAGAGAAAGGAGGCCGCTCAGCGCAAACTTTTGAGAAAACCTATTCTTGAGACAATGGAGTATCCCGGCACCGACGAAGCTGAGATCGAGCCAACTCCAAAGACTCGAACTCCACTTCCGAATGCACCAAAGCGTCGTAAGGTTGCAACTCGCACTCCTGCAACTCGTCGTCGCAATGGCAAATCCACCAACACAGCCGCCGCTACTAGTGATGTTGAAACTCCCCTCACTCAACCACCACGCAACACTCTTGATAGCCTTTCTCAGGCCCATCCAGTCACCGGAGAGAATCTTCAGGAAATGACCGAGCGATCCGATGAGAATCAACGTAGCATGACACCCAGTCACGATGATTTCGACAACGAGGATTGCATCCGAGTTGAAGCTAATGATGCCGAGGAGGACGAGTATGAGCCCGAAAACAACTGATCTTCAATTTGCGACACCTTCTCCTACTTTCCAACTGACAATTTCAGTCAGCCCCTTCAAATTTAATTGTCGTTTTCTCTTTGCGTTGACATATCTCGGTCAGTCAAGCAGGTTCTGCAACTATAAAGCTGCTGCAACTTCACCAGTCTCTTGAGATACCCTACACCACCAGCGTGTATCCGATTTGGTCCTTCCTTCCACCCAATTCGTGCTGCTTTCTTCGAAGAAAGCTCACATAGCATGGCGGAACGGACGAATCATAACTTCTCTTTCTTCTTTTCATTTTCAAAAATTCTCCTCATGTTTCCTATTCTGCCTTGTTTTGACCTGGATATGCACACCAGCGTCGCCTTTAGGGGCACTGTGCATCTTCAAAGATAGTTACAGCATAAATACAATTGGGATGATCGTGGTTTTAATGGGGCTAGAGGGTAGAATAAGTGGTGCTCTGGTACTACTAGTACTGCTCGATGAGCATAGTGTCTCCTTAGATCCTCTCAGATAACTTTCGGAAAATATAAAAGTCATTTTACACCATTTAGATCTTTCTCCTATGTGAAATTGTGAAAGATACCTGTGAACCTAGCTAGATATCGAGTAATAAGACTTGGAGTGCGATCTTATATTAGTTTTCCAGCCTGCCAGTTTCGACAGAACTTTCCAAGAACTTCCAGCTTGCAGGATACCAAATGTTCCATCAAGAGCCTATCTACAGCTACTGTTCTGGTGTGGTTCGCTCAAGTAAAGCGAGTTATCAGCGTGCATCGTAATCTTCATTGTATGGAGAGTGAACATAATATGAAGAGCGATACTTGCACCCCATAGCCCACTCATCAAGTATTCCTTTCCAATGACTCACTGTTTCTCCAAAGTACTTCTTCTAATCTATAATCAACTAGCATGAAGCGTTTGGAGACAGATGGAGCGAAGTCTTCGCGTATCAGGAATGAGAAGAAATACCGGATCATAATTCGCTCGTTCAGCAGAAAGTTATACTCCTCGAGCAAAAATCCCCATCCTGAGTGATACAGAAAAGATTTCAAGAAGCTAACGAAAAGAGTGGACTTCCTATTACAGAAAAGGCAGGTGCCGATTCCACACAACGCAAGAAATCCAGCTCCTGCATCAACTTCCAAACTGCACAAGCTCAATGAACATAATTGATGCTTCGATCCACAGAAGACGAGGCGGATTCTAGACGTGATCCCGTTCCCGTTCGGAAATCGGTGTCATGCTTACATGTATGTAAATCCATGGCCTGTTTAGGCAGCATGTGTAAGAAAAATACAAATATCATGAATCTATCTCTCGAGTTAGATTCTATCATTATCTATAATTTCCCATTCCTTCCCATTCTCTCGTTATACAGAAATTAAGTCAGACAAACAAGCTTTTCCCACCCAGGTAAACAATCTCAATCCCTCAAAATGTCCACCCCCAACTCCGACCCCACATTCCGCAACTACACCAGTCAACAAGCCGCTACATACGCCGCGCACCGGCTCTCCTATCCCTCCAAACTATACGAGACAGTGATAACTCACCACCAGAAAACCGGTGGACAATTCCATCTCGTGCTTGATCTCGGCTGTGGCCCCGGAAATGCAACTCGCGATATCGCGGGGTATTTTGACGAAGCGGTAGGATGTGATGCCGGGGAGGCGATGATAGGGACTGCGAGGGAAATAGGGGGGAATACGAAAACTGGGAAAGATATTATTTGGGTAGTGGGGAGTGGAGAGGAGTTTGTGGGGTTGGATGGGGTGGGAGAGGGGATGGTGGATTTGATTACTGTTGCTATGGCGGTATGTTTTGTTTTGTTAAGTTTGTGGTTTTTTTTGTTTGTTTGGTAGGGGCTTTGATTGATTGTGAAGGTTTTAGGTACATTGGTTTGATATGGATAAGTTTTGGGCGCAGGTTGCGAGGGCGTTGAGGCCTGGAGGAACGGTGAGTTTCTTCTTTGCTGCTGTGTTTCTTAGTGAAATCACGTTTTTACTTTGGAAATTCATACTATGAACCGAGATGAGAGTGTTGCTAATACAGAATACAGGTCGCGTTATGGACACGCGGTAGTACTCTATGTTCCATCCTCCCTCTCATCCCCACTCCCTCCAACCCCCCCCACTGACCTCTCCAAGCATCCTACTATCCCCACCCCTCCGTCCCCAACCGCTCCTCACTCCTCCAAATCTTCCTCAACTTCGAGCGCAACATCCTAGCTCCCTACGAACTATCCCCCAACCGTCTCTCCCGAGACATGTACGACCATCTTCCTCTCCCGTGGAATATCCCTCATCCCATCCCCTCATCCATCTTACCGCCATCTCAGTTTCTGAAACTCGACTACGACCGCGATGGAATACTGTCGAATCTGGAATCCGATGATTTCTTTTTCGGTGGGAGGGAAGTCACGCTGGAGCAGGTGGAGAAGTCATTGGAGACGGCGAGTATGGTTACTAGGTGGAGAGAAGCACATCCGGATGCGGTGGGAACGGAGAAGGTTAGTTGATTATGATATCATGAGATATAATATACACTCTGTCTCTTTTTGAATTAGGCTATCGTACTAATCTATTGATGTAAAGGATGTTTTGAAAATTCACATGGAAGAATTGAGAAAAGCGATGGGCGGGAATGAAAGTGTGAGGACTGGGAGTAGCACTACGATTATTCTTGTCAAGAAGGCTTTGGAGGCTTAACTGTGAACAGATGTCTAGTTGTTACTATTCGCTGTACTGGTAATGTGGCGTACTACCCTTCCTTTCGTGAAAGGAAACTAAAAGTCGAGTAGATATAAATAGAGGATAACAAGTGGATGTGAATATCTAGACGAGATGTGATGCAACACTGACGGGAGTCGATAATTGATGTGCCTAGGTATTTCTGGAAGACAAAATTATGGGATGGCGTAATATGTGGTCAGCGAAGAACTAAACGCACGGAAGAGCTGTATGGACTATCTTGACACTTGAACTTTGGACCGTCTCATCTCATATCCTCACATATCAAGGAGCTATTTAAACAGCATAAAATCTCACATCACCAATAATCTAACGTGGATCTTGTCATGTTCAAAACTCTCAATGAGGTGATACATATTATACAAAGTGCTATGCACTTTAGCGAACAATCAATAGACCATTGAACCATAACTCCGATGATGCAATTCCCCCCTAGCGTAACCCCTATTCTAAGCCCGAATACTGTGGTTAAACGCCATTTTCAAGATACTACCGCTCTTTCCGACCAAAGCATCAAGAGCTGGTTGATATACATGTGACTCCATTCGCTAATATCCTTCCCGGATCCCAATACACCTGTATTGCGATATGGATTATGTCCTCCGAAACAATTCGAATGCATACTGTACTGCGAGTAAATCACTAGACCCTTTCCAATCCCGCGATCCCCCAAATATTCACAGCCAGAACAAAACTAACTCCAAGTAGAGTGTAACTTTGTCCTCGTCTTTCTCCTCCCCTTCAACCCTACCTCCCCAGCACCCATGAGAGTCTTCCACCTCCTTCCTAAATCCCCTCTATCCTTCCCTAAACTCCTCGCGCAATCTTGCCAATCGCTCTTACTCAACTTGAGCTTTTCCAACACCAACTCGACTAACATTCTATCTTCCTCCCTTGACCAATTCTCACCATCTTCTTCTTCCTCGTTTCTTTGTGCTCTCCTCTCACGAGGCTGTGAATCACCCCCAGCACTGAAGATAAATGCGCCATTGTCAGCAGCAGTAGTTTCCATCTCGGCTAAGCGTAGCGTATGGAAATCGCTTCTCTCTAGCCCTAACGGTAAAACTTCTGGTGCAATTCCCCGCCTGCGTTTCGGGGTGCTAGGAGCTCGAAGTGTTGAATTCTCACGCTCTTGTTCCGAGATATCATCCATCCTCTCGTGAATCATATCATCATCGGTGTCCCTCCTCCTCTTGTTGATTCCTCTTGACACTTCTCTCGGTGTTCGTTTCGCAATGCGTTTCCTATCGCTAGTTTCTGGCACAACTCTCTTTGCAGGAGATGGTATGCGCAATCTCAGTCTCGGATGAGAAATCCTAGTGGGAGGTGATGAGGGGATCTCTGCATGAAGTGTGGGTGGCGAAGGTAATTGTGTTGGGGTTGTGAGCATAGATTGCAGAGCGCGACATGATTGAAATAGATTGCTGATGGTAGGTGTGGGAGATAGTGAAGGAGTAGGAGAAAGAGGTGGTGATGCGAATAGAAGGTTGTGATTTCGAGATGGTTGGGAAAGTGCTTGGGATGAATCGCTACAGGCGAATGCGGATGGTAGTAACATCTTTTATGAATTGTGATTTCACAATGTAAGTTTGAACTTTCTGGAGATGTTGATGTTATTTGAAGGTTGAATGTTGTTGTAGGCAACAACGAGTGTTATTTATTTATCTTCCAAGACAAAAAGCAAAGTGATGGTTTGCGACCGACGCCTAACAATAATGCGCCGGAAAGCGTCGAAGCCTTGTACACTTTTCTTTCTCTCTTGAAAAATATATCCAAAGATTCGCGGAGCTTCCTTCTATCGTTACAAGCTTCAAATATTCGTATGCGACCAAGAAAGCGTTGCGATATAACCAATTCGGTTGGTTAATTTTGACCGTTTTGCAATATTCGTTTCCGTTGCTATTTGACGAGAAAGGACGAACAAGAGGGCCAAAGTTGAACAAACGGGGGGGCGGATAGCTGGGTTATGGTTTATGTTAATAATGATCACGAACTGCACAATTCTAACAGGGATGTGGGAAGTTGTGAAGGTGTGATCAATGCTGCATTAGACAGACATTTACGGATTACGGAGAGTAAAAGGTTATGTATGGAGACGCTAAATAATAAACCAATCAATGAAACAGGGATCACAATAAAATGGCGAAACTCAATCCCCCTTCCAGGTTCTGGATGATGATGATAATAATAATGATAAGTTGGAAGTTTGTCTTTCTGCTTTGGCGAAGATTGGAGTGAGGGAAGCATGGGAAACAATCCAGGTAGAAATGGAGTGAAGTGGAGTGAAAGAATGGAAGAGAGAAAGGAAGGATGAAGGAAGGAAAGAAAGAGAGAAAGAAAGAAACAAAGACTACTAGAGCATGACGAGAACTAGCACCAGTATCATTACTACCACGAAATATCCCTCACTCTAGTCTTCCGTTAAGAGGGATGCCTCGATCCTATCCTCCCCCTCTGTTAACTAATCTCTCGATTCCTCTTCGCTTTCATAGTGGTCACTACTAGTCACCATTATAATGTGATACTACCCTCTTTCCCTCCATGCTACACTACACCCCTTACCATTCATCCGAGTCAACTCAAGACTCAAGACTCCAATTCCTCTGGTGAATGGTACCACTGCACCACTGTACCACTGTACCATATAAACATCACACTGTTCCACAACCTTTCCAGAATATCTCATTATTACTCTTACTGGATGGAACGGAAAAGCTTGGAGTGCAAACTTCCTACTCAGCTAACACAAGAATTAAATCGACCAACTCCTTTCTAGATTTTATTTAATTTATATTTCATCAAGCCATTTACCAAACTTCGGGAAGAAGCTTCTCCCCCTTTTGCTCCAAGAGTCGTTTGGGGTAACAACGTCCAGAGTCTTGCTAAGGATTGAAGTATTAGTTAGTAGTCAGGTCATGATTACCTAGACACACCTTTTCCCCTTCGCCCTTCGCCCTTCACGATTCACTTCATCGTATCCCAATTTGTAGATGTAAAGTCAAAACGTCTTTTGAAATGCCTTTTTTGCTACCTAGTCTCCCTTCAGTCAACACACGCTTCGTACGAACACGTTGCATGCTAAGTAAAATAGTTTGTACCCTTCCTGCAGCATTAGCCTCCCTTATACCTTTGATTTATTGGGGGTTTCCGCCTACTCAATGCCGCCTACCAGATAGTAAACGGTATAACTAAGATACCATATGGCTATCAACTCTTTCTGGCTACAGCTCCTCATTCTTAAACGATTTCTCCATTAATGAAAACATTTATCAGACATCTTTAACGGTATTGGGAGTTAATTGAAGTGAAAACCCTTCATACAAAGTTTCCCCTTCTTCTCTATTATCTATTATCTATTATCTATGTAGCTCCCGCACGCACACAACCTCAAGCATCCTCGCATGTAAAACGGGTTTCAACATAATCCATCCCACAGACTTTTTGGAATCCCTGACAAATCGTGGATATGAAGTATCGTTTTTTCCCCCCTGTCATTATAAAGTCTTATAATTTCCCAAACAGAGGGGCACACAAGGAAGATAAAACGCGTGTAGACGCGACGTCGCGTTACCATTTCACGCGTATGAGTCAGCTCAATCCGATCTCTCCGATACATGTCTTGATGTTCTTATCCATTCAACGATACAATCAGATGTCTTGTAGTTTATTCCTCACCTCACATTTACATTGATGATTCTGCTGACTTCTTCCTCACATCCCCATGATTTTATCGGAATCTAATCTTCAAAATCACGCCTATCCTATTCTATCCTATCCTATCCCATCCTATCCCATCCTATCCGATACCATTTCCACTCCATCTTAGAAACATCATCATCCCTTGTCACATGTATCCATCCTCCTCTCCATTTCCAGATCCTGCCGCCCGCGATCAATTTTGCAGTAGCGTCTCGCTCTGCATATCCACCCATCCTGCCGCAGCCTGCGTGACCCCATTCTTAGCCTCCATCCTTCACATGAATGAATTTCCTTTTCACCAAATCAGATAACTAGCTAAAAGAGACAATGTCTAGCATCACGCACATGTTGCATTTGCGGTCCGTTGCCGCAAGAGATGAGAGCCTAGGTACGTTAATTTACACCTAGGCTCCAGGGAATCAGATCATGGGACGGGTATAGAAATTGGTATGCATATCATGAAGATCAATTGTCCACTTTTGTGTTTCCATTGGTTAGACCAGAAGTTGGATAGAAGTACCGGCATATAGTAAATCTGGTACGGTATTTGAGAATGAAATCTTGAACGGATTCCCATGTTTTTGTATCAAAATCCGATTTGCTGCGCTGATTTATTCCAAGTAACTTCTTGCGCGCTTCGGATGAGATGATTGGAAGTTGGTGATACATAGCAATCATAAAGGTGTGAGTTCAGAACGGCCTGAACATGGTCACATGATTCGGCCAGCTGTGTCTGTCATATATCACTAAGCTTACAGATTATAACACCCCCGACAAATGGGGAATGCATCAGATAGGTAACTAACTAATGGGAACCCAATAATAATAAACATAACCTACCTAAGATTGGAATACAAAGATATCTCAACTGGCGAATAAAATTGTTAGTCCTATGTTACCTCATTATGCGCATCTCCTCACTGTTCCAGTCAACATCCTGATTTCAAAGATGCATCTAGTTATATGTTTCGAAGCAGGTGAACACTCTCCAAGAACTAGTAGCCTGAAGTATTCCGAGCCAGTTTTTCTGTTTCCTTGCAGCCATTACTACGCATTTCGACCACCAACTCCCCAAACATCAACCCCTTGTGGCAAAGTCCAAACCGTCCCTTTTTCTCTTTCTCCACCATTGAACATACCACGAGATGACCATTCTCCAACAAAATCACTAATCATTCCACGTGATATGTCCACCCCACGGGACTGCTTCGGCAATCCTAGCCGTCCGAGGCAGATCCCTCGATAGCACAGCGAGCGCCCAAGTACCAAAATCGATATCGACACCAAGACCCAAAATCACCCTTCTCGTGTCTGTCTGTGAAACAATGCTTTCCACGGGTACTTTTCCCCAAAACCTCAACTCCATACACAGCACCGTCGCACATATAATACCAAACCACTCCCTCGGTATTCCCATATCTCTCTTCGCCGGCTTGGCGACCACTTCGTGGCTTTTCTTGACACTTCGCGATACTTCTACTTGCACAACTACAGATATCACCAGGATTGCTCCGACAAAATCAAAACTAGATGCAAAGAAGAATTCTCAAATAAGTCCCAGTCCTCTCAAAACCCAAGTTCCTACATTATCCCACGAAGAAATATCCACACTACCATACCCACCGGATATATTTCCCGGCGCCCGTGACATTCCCAGTCCCGTTCGTTGACTCTCAACCTAAAATTCTCCCTTCTATATCATCACACGTTCTGACAAATAATACAGTACGGCAGCACACGGGCCTATGAATTCGGTCCTGTAACCGGCCCCAAAATTCTGCTCATCCATGGGATTTCCACACCATGTATTGCTCTGCACTCCCTCGCTACCACTCTCGCTTCCACGCACGGATGCAGAGTTCTCCTATTCGATCTTTTCGGACGAGGATACTCGGATGGCGTGAGCGATTTGCCGCACGATGAGAGACTATACACGACGCAGATATTACTTGTTTTGACTTCTTCCTCGCTATCGTGGGTTGGGGATGGGTTTCACATCCTAGGGTTCTCACTGGGTGGAGGCATTGTGGTTGATTTCGCGGTCGCGTTTCCGGAGATGGTGAAGGAGGTGATTTTGTTGGCGCCAGCGGGTTTGATTCGAGAGGAACATTTTGGTTGGAAAGGGATAATGATGAGGAAGTGGTGGTTTCCTGATGGACTATGGGGATGGATTCTTAGGAGGAGAGTCAGAGGGGCTTATGATACCGATGCAAATCCTTCATCTTCTTCTCCTACTCCTCCCCAAATCTCTAATGTGCAACTCGAGGATGAACATTGTGAGAACCAAGCACAAGTAGACTCGGAACTCACAACTGCGATTCCCGCCTCTCCTGCTGCATCGAACTCCGATGCTAGATTATCATTCGATGATACACCGATATCATCCCTGCTACCGCATATAACCGTAGGACAAGTAATGCGATGGCAAACGCAACAGCACCAGGGATATGCAAATGCATTTGCGAGTTCAATCATGTATGCGTCGATTTCCGGATGTCAGGAAACATACAAGGGACTCTGGGGTCCCTGGAACAAAAGCGAAAACCAAGAGAAGAGCGAACATAGCGCGAGAGAGAAAATTTTGATCATAGTAGGAGAGCATGATGATGTTATTGTAGCGGCAGAATTAGAAGAAGATTTAAAGATGGTGGTGGGAGAAAGATTCGGGACTAGAGATGATGGGGGTGAGGTTTTGGATGAAAAAATTACCTGGAAAGTGATCGAGAATGCGGGTCATGAATTCCCAATTACGAGGGGAGAGGAGGTCGCAAGCTTGATTGGGAAATTTCTAGGTATGTGAAGAGGCGCGGGAAAGAATAGAGGGGTTCGCACGTGGTGGTGTTAGTTTCGAGTTTTTTGTATTACAGTTACATGACGGAAAAATATACAGCCAGGGGTAAGCGAGTATGAATTTGTAATACTCTGCTATACAGCGTTAGAAGGTATTGAGACAACACAGATTCCCAAATCTCGAAGCTATGCCGATAAAATCTGCCAATCTCCTAACCCCCTCGAAAGATCCAAAAACCTCAGGACTTCACATTCTACTTTACAGCATCAAGAAGTACCCATCCTGATTCCTCGATTCATCGCTCACAGAATGCCCAATCTACAAAGATTCCTCAGCCCACTTGTTATCTGGTACCTATCCCCAGGCTATCTCTCCATCTCACTTTTGCTTTACATTCCAGCAGAGATTCGAATCTTACAAGACCCTATGAATCTTACTTGTGGACAGTCGAGTCATTATTCGATTCAGCCCAGGTGAATCCGAAGATCTTTCAAAGGTGGACTAAAATCTTTTTCATCTCGGAACTATTCTAGATTCACCAACGTCACTATTTCTCACAGATCGAGAAGCTTTATATACTTTTGAATTCTAGTCATTTATTCCACAGACCAGCATTTCCAGACCAAAGACCAAGATTGAATTTCGAGAATGGCTCTCACTCTAGCAGTTTGACTAAGATTGGGGGGGAGGATGGATTCTCAATACGACGATGGCACTGATGCCTTCACTATTGGTTTCGCTTGCAATTGTGAACTGTATGTCATATATTGATGTTGGGACAAATCTCACGCTAACTACATAAACAGTTTAGCAATATATCCCGCAAGCTACTCTGGTGGTGAGGGTACTTTTCTATATGGACTTCTCTCGTGCGAAGGTGTAGGATCTCTCTCACTCATTGTGATAGTTATAAGCCCACGCCCAAGTTGTTTTCGACAAACGATTGACAATAGAGTAATTAATAACGCTTGAATGCATAACTAATAATTGCAACCCACAAAGAACTTCCAGTTCTTGGTCTTTCAACCCGCACACTCTCTTCATAAAAACTAGCTCTTTCAACCTGCACACGCACCCTAACTAAAACCCTTGCTGCCTATGCCACTTTTCCTCCCACCCCGGAAAATACGGACTCTCAGCCAATGTCTCCTCTTTCCAGACTTCCTCTCCCTCCTGCGGTACCACCAATCCCTTCTCCACCTGTTCCTTTGCCCACATCTCCATCGCCGGTATGACCACATGCTCTACATGCCAAGTCCCCTTATACTCCATCAAACTCTTCTTTCCCTCTTTCAAAATCTTGCACAGCAATGCTGGAACATATGGTTCATCCCTGAATTCCGTCACTGGTGTGAAGAGTGCCTTGAAATTGAACACCACGCCTCCACTCAGTGGCAATCGTCTTAAAGTCTGCCAATCCACTCTCAAATGACATTCTTCGATAGTCAAATCTTCCTTCTGGATTTCTCTCAATTTTTCATGCGGGTGACCGGCTGGCATAAACAACGGAGAGTCAATTTCCAGACCCCAGCTACCACGTTGAATCGGAGCATCGGCGGACATTTTGGTAAAGAAGCGATCCATGCTAAACGACATTTTCTCCTTGTAATCTGGAATGGGCTTGTGAATTGCATCGAGCTTCAATCCAATTTTAGTAGAAACGTTCCAGCCCAGTGAACTGCAGATGACGCCGGCGCGGAAATAGTACATTCCGTCTTCATCATTTCTCATCACAATTGCGAAATCTTCGGGGACATTGTTAAGCAGGACATGAAGAGGATGCGTAGATTTGATTTCAGTTGTAGTTTTGAGGAGAGCATTGTGGAATGTTCTTTTATCGTCCGAAAGGGAGAAATATGCCGGGTAGCGTGCACAATAGAATTGCAGACACATTTCCATAAGTTCTTTAGTGACAAGTTCGCTTCCTGGGAGGTAATCAAGAACCATTTTGCCATATTGTTTGAATAGTGCTTGACGTTCGGCGACGCGGGAACAATATGTATTTTCGACTTCGAGCCACCAGTCAGGTTCCATTTTGTGAAAAGCTAAAACATTATTAGTTTATTTTGAACAAAGGTCAGGGTTATACCTACACATGGTCTGGTGGTATTGCCATCGTATAGGTCTGTATGGTCTGGGAAGCGCCTTTTCAGGGTTGAATCCCTCGTAGGGTTGTGGTAATGGGACTCCAGCTAAGATATCATAAGGTGGGAAATCGCCCATAGCATTAATTTCTTGGGTAGAAAACCCCATAGGTGTATATTTTGGAGTTTCAAAGCCGAGCGTATAAGATTGAGTCATACGTAGTTTATTCTCTGCCATGTGTTCAACTGATGGGTTATTCGAGGTCAAGATGGTGCCGAATCGTGGAGGAATATACTTCGCAACATCTGAGAGCGTAGAACGTCTGGGGGGAGGGAATACATCGTAGTAATTTGGAGTTTTGCTGGTGGAGTTCAACGATCTGTCGGTAACTTTTTTGCTTGGAGACAGTGAACGAGGTGGTGTTGCCGACGTAGACGCACGTCGATGTTTAATATGAAGTTTGTTGAATAGTGACTTGTGCCAATTTTGGGTATACATAAGTGTAATCACTGCGAGTAACAAACCTATTAGACCAAGGCCAAGAGGCCATTGGTTGTATATCAAAGTGGTATCGATCGCGATCATCGTGTCACTTGCGCACCATCGATGAGTGCTAAGCTTTCCGGACTTTTGTGTGATATTCTGTGAGGGGAACAACGTCGATGAATCTCGTTATGTGTTTGGAACGTGTGATAAATACAAGTGTAGACACTTAGTATTTGAGTAGGATGGAGATGCTATAAGAGGACACTTGATAGATAGGTTGTCAACACATCAGGTATGCAGCTATAAACGGATAATAAATGCGACAAAATCAGGCTATATCATATCGCAGAAAGCCTCCGATGAATAGACGGAAGAAATGAGATAATGGCTCTGGAAAGAAGTATACTTTGAAATCTAATATTAAAGCTATATCGAGCGCTGAGGATGAGAATCTGCTCCAGATATAAACACAAGTCATTTCTTGAGATACCTTTGATACCCCCAAAACATATAAGCTTCGACCATGGACAGAGCCATCTCGATTAGGGAAAGGAAATCGTGATAGATGAAGGAAGCATCAAGATCAGATTATAATCCTCGATCCAAGTGGACGAGATCAAAAGAAGAAGTGGTGTGCAGCTTTCTCCACTCACTTCTGTTCCCCTCATTACTATCTATACACGAACTGCGTACAGACGGACCATACAAGGAAACTTCATATCGTACGTAGTATCTGATACCCAAGCACCCGACTATGATATAGCCCAAGTGAATGTCCTAGTGACCCCTCAAACGATAAGACTCCTTATCTACTAGCTCTACATTGAGCCATACAACAGCCACGAGTAACCGACAATAGTCGTTCATAACCACTCATAAACTCTGTATTCCAGCAGTTTAACAGGATAGAATATCCTAGCTTGGTTAAGCGTACATTGGCAACTCCGACATCCCGTGCAATTGGCCCCACCATGGATTCCCGATTACTATATTCAGCGAATTGTTCCCTTTAACTGGATTTTGGCAGGTGCGTTGCTTGTACCGGAGTACAGTACTCGGGATACAAAAGAAGAGAAGAGAAGTCTCGTCTCGTATCGGATCAATCGTACCTATCTATCGTATCACATCAGGTGATGTATTGACATGACAGCATAGACTTTAGATACAATGAGGATGAGAATGAGACATGGTTTCTACTCTTCAATCAAAATCATGATGCTCTAACTAGTATTGTATACATCGATGTTGGAGGCTTGTGATTGGGAGGTTGACCATTAGCCATTGCTTTGTGAGTATTGGATAGAAAACTCTGAAAGGTGTGATGCCTCGGATTGGTACATGGTAGAGCATTTAAAGATATCTTATTGGTGGCGATTTCTTGAACTTGACGTGTACAATACTTTGCTGCGTACAGTATAACATATTAAGAAAACATTTTAAGGGTATACCATATAAGAGAACGACGAGTTCCTCTCTACAACCATCAGTGTTTTGTCGTCCAACACCTGATAAATCCCCTGATATTCAAATCTTTCCAAAGCCTCTTCGCTCGCTCGCTATAATAACAAGAAAACAAAACATGAGAACAACATTAAAATACATATGCTCATACCACCCAGTACCTGTAACCAGAATAACACAGTAGGTCGATCGTATATTCATGTCTCATTTCGTAATAAAATCATTTCATTAAAACACACCAAGTTTCTTAAAACGACCAAAGAAGCCACCAGAAGCACTCGGCGCGCGGGACGTCTCGAAGCCAGAGTCTCTCTGACTTTCTCGTAAAGGATCTTCTTGACTGCCTTCTGAGCTTCTTGTAGGCTTCTCTGTCTCCTTCTCTTTTTGGCGTTTTTTCTCATCTTTTCTTCGTCCTTTATCATCAATTCCCATTTGCCTTGTCCTTCTCAATCGTCTTCTCTCATCCTCTCCACCAACCGTATCATCAACAAGCGATGCTTCACCGGTGGGGATGTTAGGCGGAGGGGGTGCATCTGCATTCTCTCTCACCCAGGAATCTGTACCACTATGAGGCCAAGCTGGAGTCTTGGCCTTTGAACGACTGTAGACTGGGCCATCGGCAGGAAGAAATTCCGGCTCTGGAGCAGGTGCAGACTTGCGACTGGATTTTCGAGGATCTGATGATTTTACCCGTTCTTCATGCCTTCTTCGAGGTGCTTCACCATCATCGGCATCTTTGTGACTGCGTCGACGTTTGGAGCGCGGTGGATCTTCACCTCGTGGCTCGCCATCTCTCTCTTTTCTGGTTCTTCGGCGTTCAGCACGTTCAGCACGTTCGGCCTCTTTCGCCTCTTCAGCACGTCGTTGCTCTCGTTCAGCAGCCCGCCGTGCCTTCTCACGTTCGTCTTCCTCTTCCCTTCTTCGACGGTCTTTTCTCGACTCCTCCATTGCCGCTGGTGCATCCTCCGTATCTCTTTGACCTACACCATGTCCAGCTTTCCTCGCGCGGCGAGCTGCTTTTTCCTGCTGTTCTTCCTCGGAGATGGCACCTGTCATGGTTACATCAATCTCGGGACCTACAACTCTAGAAGATCGTCTAGCCTTTCGTTCATCCCGTCTGTATGCACGGTTCTCATCTTCAGCTGCGGCCGTACTACGACGTTTAAGGTCTGGACGATCCCTCTCTTTATCTTTTTTTCCAAAAACGCCACCAAACATACCACCCAGTCCAGATTTGCGAGCACTCGAATCAGTTCGTTTGAGTCCAGGTGTACCTGGGATTTCAGATGGACCTCCTTGTTCTTCCATATCAAGGTCCTTTTCTTGTCTTCTTTGTTGATACGCTCTAGCACTGGCACTCCAATCTGTGGTAGGCATGGTCTTCCTTCGAATTGGTATATCTATGGGTGGCGGAGGCATAGGTACAGGTGGTAGCGTTTGCCCATCAAACATTGAGTCATCAGTTACCTTTGATTTTCCTTTTCTATCGCGACTAGACCTGTGACGAATAGGATCTGCCACGTCATCATCCACCACGTCATCATCTTCATAATTGAAGTTAGCACAAGTAATAACTATGATACCCTAATGGGTCTACATACCACGTGATGGCCTGGTCTTTTCGGACTTGCTTCTTGAAAGCTTGCCAGGGACACCGATACCAAACATTTTTGCTGCCTTTGCGGACATTGGAGGAGGCTCACGAGAATCATCGGGAATTGGAGTTGCATAGTTGGAGCTATCCATGTTGACAGATTGTCGGCGTGAGCTTGTCCTACTCACACTTGGTCGCTTATCAGATTTTGAATTGGACCTCGATAGTGGAGTAGCGGGTCCAAACATATTCGAAATTCCCCTAGAAACTGGTGGCCTGTTATCTCCCTTGGAGGATTTATCTGCTTTATCCGAAGATGAGTCTTTTGGTGAAGAAGTCTTCTCTTCTCTAGTAGATGATCTTCTAGATTTAGAGTGCCGAGGGTCAGATTCCCTGGTAGATCTTCTTTCCTCTCTAGCGATTTGAGGCTCATCGGATCTACGTTCACGGTGTCTGGATGACTTTTTCTCCCTTTCTTCCTTGCGAGGCTCTGCTCCCCACGCTCCCCAAGAAGATCCATCGCGAACAACTCGAGGGCGTTCTTTCTTAGATTTATGATCCGAGTCTTGTTCCGGTTCCAGTTCTACTTCAGGAGGTGGTGTCGGTGGTTCAATGGGTACAGGGGGTGCTCTAGAAGATTCCTTGCTCTTACTAGATTTGTTCCTATTTTTCTTTTGAATTGGCATCTCGACAATATCAACAATTTCGTCACCAGTTGCAAAATCCGGGAATGCACCAGGAAGTATTTCCGTATCTTCTAACCTTTCCTTGTCTCTTCTTGAAGATTTAGATTTTCTCCTTTCTTCCTTGGTCGGCGCAGGCGGCGCAGCAGGTGGGGGTGGAGAAGGTGCTGGAAAATATTCATCTATTTCTTCTTCAGATTCATGAAGCTCCTCAGGGGGTTTGTTCGCTTCAAATGCTCGTAACCTATCAGCGATGGTACCTCCAACTGGTTTTTTTAATAAGCTTGATTTTATTGATGGTGGTGGCCATTTGGTTGTTGTGTCCTTATTCTTAGATGAGGTTTCTGGGCGCATCGCTTTGTCAGCAATCACAATCTCGTCTGATCCCGTGCCCCAAGCCATGACATCCTTGGTGGATGCCTCGGCAAGATTAGTCTTACCAAATTCACTGCTATCCTTGGTTGGTGACGGCTTCTCGATCACTGGTGATTTTTTAGGAGCTCCCCAAAAGCTAAAAGCTTGATATGCTGGCTTTGTGGTTGTTGTGCGATTACCTAAAGCTAGAATTTCATCTATCTCTTCTTGAGTTGGTTCTAAATCTTCATCTGGTTCTGGCGTCGGAGCTTTGGTTGGTATGGGCGGCGATAGCGGCGGTGGTGGTGTTGGAGGGAGAGGCTCGGGCTCTTTGCTGTGTTGGGACTTCTTACCCTTATTTGATTTGGATTCTTTTCTAAGCCGTCTAGAAGTTTCGGCCTCTTCTCTGAGAGCTTTTTTCTCCGCTTCTCTATTAGCACGCTCCGTTTTTTTCATAGCGGCTTCTTCTTCCTCTCTGATTATTCGTTCTTCCTCCTCTCTTACTCTTTCTTCCTCCTCTCTTGCTCTTTCCTCCTCGGCTTCCCGAGCAGCTTCTTCTTCGGCCTCCTTTGCGGCTTCTTCTTTTTCAGCTTCCAGCTTTGCTAATCGATCGGCTTCTCTCTGTTGTTTCTTTGTCAGTTTGACTTTTGATCTGGCTGCTTCAGCCTCTTCTGCTAATCTTATAGCTTCAATCTTAGCTTGCTCTTCGGCTTCCAAAGCCTCGGCCTCGACTCTCGCTTGCTCTTCAGCTTCGATTCGTTCTTGCTCCTCGGCTTCGAGTCTTTCTTGCTCTTCAGCTTTCAATCTATCTGCCTCTTCTTGCTCTTCTTTCAATTTCCTTTCAGCCTCCTCCTTTTCAGCTTTCCTTCTAGCTTTCTCGGCCGCCTTGTCAGCTTCTTTTTGTTCCTTCTTGCTGAGTTTGACAGGCGGGGATTCTTTCTCCTTGGATTTTGATTTCTTTGATGAAGATCCAAAGCCCCACAAGTTATCTGTTTCAGGTTCTGCTGGCGGTGTTGGGGCTGGAGGTGGAGCTTCAATCTCAAGGGCACTCTTTTTCTTGCTCTTTTTCTCACTCTTTTTATCTGGTTTACTACCTGAGGCAAGACCCCAAATCGAACTCCAATCGTTTTTGGGGGGCTCTGGTTCGGATTCGGATTCGGATTCAGATTCAGATTCTTCGGCCTTCGCTTTCTCTTCCGCTTCAACCCTTTCACGCTCTTCCGCTTCGAGTCTTTCTTGCTCAAGTCTCTCTTGCTCGAGTCTCTCTTGCTCCTCGGCTTCCAATCTAGCTGCCTCCTCCTCTTCTTCTTCTATCAGTTTTCGTTCAGCTTCTTCTTTCTCAGCTTTCCTTCTAGCGTTATCCGCATCTCTCTGCTCTTTTTTGGTGAGTTTGGCTGCTGGTTTAGATGAAACCGGACTGAAAAAGTCATCGAATTTAGAATCCTTGAATGATTCAGCTTTGGGAGGTTCTTCAATAAGGTTCTTTTTCTTTTTCTTATCCTTCGAAGAAGAGCCCCATCCCATGAAATCATCAACAGCTGGTGGGGCGTCTGGTACCGGTGGAGGTGACATGGGCTCTTCAAACTCATCAATAGGGAGTAGAGATTCTTCTTTGCTCTTGGTGTTTTGTCCCCAATTCATCCAGTCGTCATCATTATTTGCAGGTTCTATGGCTTCATATACCGGCTTACCCTCAGGCTCGGGCGAAGGATTCTTGTTTTTGCTCCCCTGCTTCTTGTCCCTCTTGGAAGTAGAAGCAAATCCCCAGCTAAAGTCGTCCATAACAGCTGGAGGTGGGTCAGGAGCCGGTGCAGGTATAGGCTCATCATAGTCATCAATGATTCTGGGTTCCTCAGTGCTCTTCTTGCTCCTTTTCTTATCTTTGTCCTTGCTAGAGATCCTGTCCTTCTTTTTGCTCGAGGTAAGAGCACCCCAAATACCTACAGATTCAACAGATTTCGGGGCCGGTTCGGGTTCTAGATCTTGGAATTCTTCTTCCAGTGGCTCCTCATCTTTCTTTTTGTTATCAAATCCCCAATCAAAGCCACCAATCGCTGGAGCGGTTGGCAGATTTTCATCCTTGGATTTCTTTTTCTTGTCCTTCGTAGAACTACTAAGTGCCCATGAGTCCCATCCTTGAGTTTCATCTGCAGGTTCATCTTGTTCTAACTCTGGTTCGGGTTCAGGCGGCGGCGGTGTTGGTGCCTTCACAACTTCAGGTTCCATAACAGCGTTCCTACCTTTCTTCTTCCTTTCTTTCTTGGACAACTTGGCTCCCCAGACTGTTTCAGGTTGCGGTGGTTCGATTACCGGTTCCGGTACAGGTTCGGGTTCTGGTGTGGGTTCTCTTTCGGGCTCTGGGGGATGAAGCGGCTCTTCTGCAATTTTCTTCTTCTTCTTCTTTTCCTTTTTACTGAGTCCCCATCCCCAGCCACCCTCTTCTTCTTTTTCTTCTTCCTCTTTATTGTCCTCAATTACAGGTTCGGGCTCCGGCGGTTCAATGACTGGCGGTGGTTCTTCTATGCTTGGCAGTTCGTCAATAATTGCATGCTTCCCCTTTTTTTTCTTACCCGATTTAGTATTGCCCCAAGCAGAAATTGACTCTTCCTCTTTCGCCCATTCGCGAACAGGATCGGGCTCTAGGTCCTTTTCGGGCTCGGGTATATGATCCGGCGGAGGTGAGTCTTCTGGTTTTGATGTTTCAGCAAGTTTTCCCTTTTTCTTCTTGGTCTTCTTGGATGTTGTTTCAAAGTTCGAGGCTTCTTCCACAAGGGCAGGCTCAGGAGGAGGAGTAGGTGATTTCTCTTCTACAGGAGGTTCTACGAGAGGCTCCACAACAGGCTCGACTACGGCTTCCATTTTGGGGGGTTCATTGGATTTAGGGGTTTCATTGGCTGTTTTACCTTTCATCTTTTTGCTTGTAGCGCCCCAAGCACCCCAAGCAGCATCGTCCGAGACAGGAATATTGATGGGTTTCGGAGGCTCCACTCTGGGTTCTTCTTTTGGGGCCACTTCAAACTTATCTATCGCTGAAGCTACGGTGCCTCTACTTTTCTTCTTCCTCTCTTCTTTCTTGGAAATGCCAATATTAAACCCAAGGTCTTCTTCCGGTATAGGGTCAGGTTTCTGTTCAGGCTTTGGCTCGGGCTTTTTCTCGATTTTCCGTGAATCTGTTAAGCTGCGTTTAGTTTCCTCCTGGTCAAGGGCACCGAATGTAAATCCCAGGCCTTGATTTTCGGGCTTACCACGTTCATTACTCCAAGGATTGTTGGCATCCTCGGTGGCCTTGTTCACTGGAGATGGTGTCCTTGCGCTGGTTGCGCTTCCAATACCCCATTTAGATACTCCAGTGATCCAACTACTGCCCCAACCACCTAAAACACCGGGTAATTTTGGGCTTGCAGTACTTCCACCAGAGTCTACATTCAGGTCGGGCTTTGGCTTATCATCCAATTTGATGTCGTCATATGTTTCGGCTATCTTGATCTCGGGAGCGGGAGGGGGCGGAGGTGGAAGAGGTTCTGGTTCCGGCTCGGCATTTCTTCCCTTTTTCTTCTTCTTCTCTTTCTTCGCCGTTATAGTGTAGCTGTCCGGTATGTTTTCGGTAGCCCGCTCAGCAATCTTCTTTGCTTCTTCTCTCTCCTGCTCTCTCCTCTCTTCTTCTTTCTTCTCCTCTTCTATCCTCTCTGACTCTAACCTCTCCTCTTCTTTTCTCTCTTCCTCTTTTCTTTCCTCCTCTTTTCTCTCCTCCTCTCTCCTTTCCTCTTCTCTCCTTTCCTCTTCTCTCCTTTCCTCTTCTCTCCTCTCTTCCTCCTTTCTGTCGTCTCCCCCATTGCCAGTACCACTCCCATTAGCGCCAGCATCGCCATTGTTCCCATCACCATCATTTTTCTTCATGCCATCATCTCCATCGTCTTCCTTGGGTTTGTATACTGGCGCATTGTTCTTAGCATTTGCCTTACTCTTCTTCTTCGCAGCCACCTTGAATCCATCTTGAAAGTTGAAATTGACAGAGGGGTTTAATCTAGGATCGTCAAATGGTAATGGTTCACGTAATTTTTCTCGCGGGGTTATAGGGGTAGCGGGGTGATTGATGTAGTTTGGCGACCGTGGTTTGGCGAGAGAAGTAGTGTCGTGTAGGTCTACTATATTCTCTTTGTCGCCCTGTGCAGACCTGTAACATTGCCACCTTGGTAGTAAGCTTGCGGTTCTCAATCTTTTGTTTCTTCCTCTGCGAGAACTGGCTTGTATCGGATGGAGGTTCTCGTCCTGTAAACGATGTTAGAAATCTATGTCGAAAATACCAAGATAACCCAAGCACAAAAGTCGCTACTTTTGATTTGATATCTTGCAAATAAATGAAAATCAAATATTTTCCACATGAGCTGCTTGAACTTCAATAAATGCAGTAGGCTTGGGCTATTTTTAATCCCGTCCATGGTGCTCGCGACGATTGTATAAATTCACCAGTTGCACTGCGCCAGCCTGATCTAGTCACAGACATAGAAATGAAACCATATGGAAACTATTGTATACATACCAATCCCGAATGCCATATTTCTTTCTGTGTTTGCGAAGCCTCCCAAGCCTTTGCAATGAACCTCAGCCTTATGCGAATATCCCCCTCATCCCATCCAATCGTCCAAGGAAAGGTCGTGTTCAATCCGCAATCGCTTCCGTACAACAAAATCTCAACCGCTGCCATTGTGGATATTCAAACTTTGGTTATGGCAGGAAGATGTCAAGTTCATCGAAACTGCGTAGTACTCGGCATGGGCGCAATCTGAAGGGGGGCTGGCAAAGTGGGATCCGCTTCGAATGCGTGGCAGAAGGGCAAGAGAGATCGCGGAAAATCAAGAAAGCAAATTGAATAAGGCTGAGAGGATATAAGTACAATTCAACAGTATTGCGAAGTGAGGGTTAATGTGTAGTTAGTAGATCAGTTCAAAGAGGGTATGTATGATATGGTATGGTATGTGTGGTATGAGGAGAACTTCGGACGTGGTCACACGTTCAATATTGCCCTGGTCGTTTGTATCCTGCGTTAATTCTGAGACATTCAATCAGGTATCTGCGCTGAGAGTGATGATCCCCCCCCAAAGGAACCCTTATCAAGACCCCTATCCGTGCCACTTCAATGTACCTAGATGTAAAACCACCGACGTTTATATATGTTCATCTGAAAAAGTAAATCGTTCTCGAGGTTAAAGAGTTTCTGAAGAATAGATCAAACGATGGATTCAGACCGATAAAAGGATGTTTACATTGACCAACAAGACTTCATGGAACCAGATTCTCGCATTGGATGACACTAATAGAGCCATGTACAGTTAGTTATAGTTATGCATTGTGCAAGTACGCCTTCACACACCTGCAGTTGTCGAATGGGACAAGAAGAACACAAGAAGAACACACGATGACTGGTAAAGTTTCCACTTTTTACTTGTGCTTCGTAGAGGGTGCGGGTACAAGCAGGAGCGGACAGGTAACTAATAGGCCCAAGTTAAATCGGTAGGGCAGGTAGATCTGTGGCAAGCGTGCTGCGTGTGGATATTGGATCATGATTGGTATGACTTGAGAGAGATTAATATGTGATGTAAAGGTGGTTGGTGGTACAGCATTGCCTTTGACATTGCTTTCTAGATGGTTATATTGATACCAAAAATAAAAATAAATGTATGTATAATCACTTGCTCTACAGTGAGCGTTGACGAGGGGTCAATTTCATGTATATCGATCGTTGTTGTCAATTTGTCTTGTCTGGCGTACCATCTCAGGCTCGTTCTTCATTAGTTCTGGCCCTGGGCACCTTTTTCGCCATCTCCATCTCACTCTTCTCCACTGTTTGAGACTCTTTTACATATTTACGAATAATACCTACGGGAAGTAGGTGTATTTGCTACACCGCTCCTTGATATAAAGTACGAAGAATTAGCATTGAGAGAATGAATGGAAGTGCGACCACACAACGGCACATACGCGGTATCCTTCTCCTCAATCCCTCCGTCGCTGTGAGAGGCTGAGCGAGGGTGAAGAAAGCTTAGATAGAAAGCCACAAAAAGGAAGAGCTGATTGAAAAGTAGAAAGGATATGAAGATTTTCATCAAAGTACATTATACAGTTGGCTTCATGCATAAGGGGATGTTGGTAGGTATTTCTCTTTCCTCGCCATGGGTTTGGTTGGCTGGTGACACTGCACATTTCGAAATTGGGTCGAGGTGGCAACGAGAAATGTGATGCATCGTGGGAAAACAACACTCTGATTCGTTTGAAGAATATGCACAGTATAACAAACCGCGGGTACCGACGTGCCTTTGATGTCTTCTTTGGTCCGAGTCATCATAGATCGGTACGCTACGAAGTATTGAGGCTGTATTTGTGTATAGAGGGGAGATGTATCTAGTGATCAGAAAGGCCAATATCTGTAATTCTTGTTCATGATGCAAACCACAACACTGTAGACAAACCATTCAATGCTTCGAGAAAGGCCCATTCCCGAGTCAAGTTTGAGATAAATCACCATCCACACCGTCACTGAAGTAAGTCTACTTTAGGTGGCTTAGCTAGCAGTCATTCATCCCAATATCATGGATTTCAATTTCAGCCTGAAGTAACATGAAGTCATCGTGTAGAAACATTATTTTGATATATGCCGCGTTTATCTTTGAGTATTTCATGCTTTTGTAGTGGAAAGTGTATACTATTTTATAATACTTTTTCTCCTCTCATTTCTCGAAAATCAACCAAAGTTCCGAGTCCACAAATTTCGGGTCAATAATCTCGCCGTGCTTCTAGCAGCACTTTGACGCTCTTATACTTCGTAAAAACTACAGAGAACTGCCACACACACAGATCTGAAGAGAAATCATATCGCCGCACAAGAGTGGAGTTCTTCGGACTTCAATTCGAGTGATTGATAAGTTAAAGTCCTTCCAGACCAGGCATGTTACGGAGGATGTTTTTATCCGCAGAAGATGCTAGATGCCTCTGATGCGTTTCACTTCAGGCCTTGCAATTTGCAAATAAGATTTTTACGCAAAAAGTAAAATCGGGATACTCCTCATTGCCGAGGTTCAACGGCCGTTACCACGTTGTTTACTGAACTTTTACCTGTCCGTTGACTATGCGAGATACGTAGTCATGTACATCATACCTAGACAACCATGCTAGAGAGGGGCATAGTGATGTCAAAGTAAAAATTCCCAGCCAAACAAACTTCCCCCCCGCACCGATTCCCATCTTCAACTTGTCCATGATGAGGATCTAATTGAGTTTTCCGTCTCCACTCTATGAGCTCAAGCTCCGTTCCTAGATCATGATTATTATCAATCATGTTTTGCAGACTACCCGCTGTGTGTACTTCAAAAGAAGTCCTGATCCCCTCCTACATCCCTTCCAGAATACCAATTGAACATTCCCATACCAAATATACCCCGTTCACAATATAAAAACGTACTTTCTATCAACATACCAAATTCAAAATGCCATCAAACACAGCAATCGTCGTTCAGAAGCCTGGAGAGGCCAAGGCAGTTGAGGCCTCAATCCCAAAACTTAGAGATGATTACCTCTTGATCAAGACCAAGGCTGTTGCTTTGAACCCAACCGACTGGAAACACGTTGAATGGCTTACCAGCAACGGAGCTAGAGTAAGTCCATGCGATTCCTTTTTTTTTTATACCAAACCATGCTAACAGCTCTCTCTAAAGGTCGGGTGCGACTATGCAGGTGTCGTCGAAGAGGTCGGAAGTGCAGTTACCAAAGACTTCAAGAAGGGCGATCGTGTATGCGGTTTCTGCCACGGAGGAAACGAGGTTAATCACGAGGATGGAGCGTTCGGAAACATCATCACCGCAAAGGGTGACAACCAAATCAAGATCCCAGACAACCTGAGCTTTGAAGAAGCCGCTACCCTCGGTGTCGGAATCACAACGTAAGTTCTCTAGACCCTTCCGATCTTCCCAAATTCACCCCTCCATCCATGAATCCATTCATCTAACATACTCCCTCCCAGCGTCGGCCAAGGCCTCTACCAATCCCTCCAACTCCCCCTCCCCACCTCCCCCGCCTCGAGCAAATTCCCCGTCCTCATCTACGGCGGCTCCACCGCCACCGGTGCCCTCGCCATCCAATACGCCAAACTCTCCGGCCTCACCGTCGTCACCACCGCCTCCCCCCGCAACTTCGCCTACCTCGAAAGCCTCGGCGCAGACAAAGTCTTCGACTACAACTCCCCCACCTGCTCGCAAGACATCAAAGACTTCACCAACGACAACATCAAACACGCTTTCGACTGTCTGTCCGAAGGCTCCAGCACCCAGATCACCGTCTCAGCCATGTCTTCCGCCGGCGGCGTCTACAGCACTCTCCTCCCCGTCGCCACCGAAGAAGTCCACAAGTACAACACCAAGGTCGAAAATAAATCCACCCTCGGCTACACCTGTCTCGGCGAGAGATTCACCTTCGGCACCACCGAAATCCCCGCCAAGCCCGAGGACTTTGAATTCGCAAAGAGCTTTTGGGAGATGTCCCGGGGCCTCTTGGCCAATGGAAAAATCAAGGTTCACAAGGTGACCCTGAACAAGTTTGGCCAGGGCTTCGAGGGTGTTTTGAGCGGAATGCAAGCGATGAAGGAGGGTAAGGTCAGTGGGGAGAAGTTGGTTTATACTTTGTAAAATCAGGAAATTTGGATGTACAATACGGTTAATAAAAAAATGGAGTAGTAGAGTTGTTAGCTCGCTTATAGGAAGCTGAGCATATTTATATTATAAAAAGTTGGATATGATTAATGAAAACCTTACTTATCCTTTATTGTGCATTTTTTGTCTATTGACTCAATTCCTTCCCATGGTCGTACAGAAATGTAAAATATTATCATGACTTATTGAGGGCTCCTTTGCCTCGTCTTTACCCAATTCATGTTGTTTTGTCATGCAAATCCCTATAGCACTTTCATGTACATTCGTCTCAAGTACGTTATACAAAATCATACACGGAATGATAGCCCCAAGTTCACATACCACGTAACGATCATTATGCATGAATTTAACAGTGTATCATTTCTAGATTCGTTCCCTGGAACCCTCACAGAATCGAATCAACTATCTGAATCATCTCAACCCCCTCAAAATCAAAAGAAAACTCCACCAAGATGACAAACGAAGCGACTGCCGCTCACCGCAGAAGCCATGACATAAAACCCAACAGAAACAGAATTCGTGGTATCTAAAGCGCCAAATGAAAAAGACTCATCAATACCTAAAAGTCCCCGCCCCCTCTAGAATTTGACAGCCGTGAAGAAACAAAAGGAAATCAATGCATATATGCTTGGTGCTGATTACCATGACAAAGAGTCTATCGACCACTCATATCACTCGAGTAGCCAGTATTGTATGCGTCCGTCATTTGAGGTTGAGGGTAAACATGTTGTGGACCGGGGCCACTAGAAAGGTATCCTCCATCGTCACCCTCATCATAATACTCAGAGCCGCTGGCATCGAAACTGCTTCTGCCACTATGATCATCATCGATATTGTTGTCACCTTGAGGAATCTCTGACCAGCTTAAGTTGGCAAGCGCAGGGTATTGTGCGAGAAGTGCAGCAGGTAAGCCGTAATTTCCACTCGAGTCGACGGCGAAGCCATTAGCATCTTGACCCATAGGTTGCTGTTGCATGTGCATGTTTTGCATCCTTTGCTCTTGCCACAATCTTTGTCTCTCAAGAGCCTCTTCATCTAATAAAGGTTTAATACAGATTCTGCCAGCCTCAGATCTAAAATGCCGACCCAATGCATCAGCTCTAGCAAAGCGGCGACCACATCCCCATTGGCCGTGTTGCTTAAGCTCGCCTTTACAAACGAATTTTTTCTCTCCAGAGTGAAGGCCCTCGTGACGCTTCCGGTCATGTTGACGTGCAAAAGCTTTGCCACAAACTGTACAAACGAATGGTCGCTCATCAGTATGTGTACGCAAATGGGAGCGGAGATTGTAGGCCCTTGTGAAACGCTTTGGACAAAGGGTACATTGGAATGTTGCCGGGTGTTTTTGAACTCGCTTTGCACTGCCATTATCGGATGATACAGCTTGGTAATCAGGATCTGCAAGACCAAGAATATAATCTCGATTTGGTAATGACGATGTAGACTGTCGACGTCGGCCAGGCGAAGTTGCCCCAGATCGATCATTTGGCGATAATGAGCGCGATGCCGATGAGTCATGACCTAATGGAGACAGAGAAGTTCTCATCAAAGGAGAGGCGTTTGAAGGACTGTGAGGACGCGGGCTATTATATGGATCCGAGACAGCTCTCCTACGACGACCTGAAGGAATTAGCTATAATCACATGTAGGTAGTATCAATATACAACTTACCTCGGTCAGGTGGAGTTAATGCGTCTTGATCAAGAGCTGATTTGGGAGGGTCGAAACTGTTCTGTCTTGATGCTGGGGCAAACTCGACGTTGATCTCAGGGGGTACCATCTGTTGCGCCTGGCCCATGTCTAGAGAACTGTTGTGTTGCATTTGTGGAAACGATTCTTGGCCTTGATTGTAAATGTTTTGGGAGGGAAAACCATTATTCGCATTTAGCATGAATGCATTTTGTTGATCCATATTTGGTATTTGCTGAGGTCCGAGTCTAGGTGAGATTGCAGGACTATGAGCAGGACTAATTCCGGCGTGAGGACTTGGATCAGTCAAAGAGAAGGAGCCGATTGCGAGAACGTCCTGATAAATTGAATCTTGAGGATGTTGCATCGGTGAGTGCTGTTGGTCTATTCCTTCAAAGCTATCGTGGTGACCTAGGTTAGGGGAGTGGGCGGCGGAAGAGATATCAGAGTATTCCGATGGAGTTCTGCGATGGCCTGTGAATTGCGGGGGCATCATACTCCAGTCACCAGGATTATGTACTAAAGGAAAAGCTGCACTCTCTGGACCAAGCGATGCGTTTCGTGAATGGCCTGGTGATGGTTGAAAGGGACCTTGATTAAAAGAAGGAGATTGGTGGGCAGAAGCTGGTGATCGGATATCAGGTTGCAACAAGTTTGGTGGTGTTGGTGTATGCGCGGGGGGTGACATGGACAATTCTGCAGGATTGATGGATGGATTTCCAGATTGAGGCGCAAGCTCATTCATAAAATAGGACTGGTCAAATTGCTCGTTTTGTCCACCATTGGGATACAATGAGAAGTCTCCGTCAAAATTGGCACTTAAAAGCTCTTGGGTAAAACTTCGCTGCGGGGGAGCAAATGATGATTGATCTTCTTGTTTAAATTGAGAATAGTCCTGTGCTTGGCTTGGTGCAAAATTGGCATCACCGAGCCCACTTTGAGTAAATTGTTGAGTTGGATTCAAAAATTCGTTGTTATCAACATATGTAGGGAGTGTTGTGTTTTGGGTATTAAAGTTATTCTGAAACTGTTGGTGGTGGTTGATACTCGAAGGATCCAAAGCAATGCCTAATCCATTCATACCATCTTGGAAGGCATGTGGAGAAGGAGAATGATTTCTTATATGTTGGTGACCTCCAGATGGAGATCTTCCACGTTGCGAATCCATGCTGAAGGTTTGTTTGCTCCTCTTCTAAAAATATCAAAATGCTGCGAGGTTGTCGAGTATAGCAGTGAGCCTTACAGGCACGGTGGCAGTGCAAGTCAATGAGGCTTAGCAGCGGATATCCAACCAGATCGCAAGTAGTTATTGGTTAAATTGATTGAACTTCCAAAATAGCTATGAAACTTTGTTGAATTCCTGTGTAGGCAAGGGAGCTATGCGAACATGCAGTTCTTTGTTCGAGCTTATGGTCGTTGTTTTTAGAGCTTTGGAGGGGAAATCCCGCGGAAATCAAAGGCGAAATGAGGTAATCTCGATAATGGGATTGCGATTGCGCTCTGCACTTGTGCCGTAGACTACTATCGAGACTATTGATGTAAGTCGAAAGAAATGATTTCGAAAGTGCGGGCTCCTGATGTAGAATTCCCTTTCAAAACGAGTATTGTAACTCAAGAATAAGCGCCAACAGAATGTTGGATGTTGTTTCCAGACTTGGTCGCGGTAGTAGATCTTTTCACGCCTAAAGTCAAGTCGTTCGCGATGGAGTGGGGGGTTATTGAATCTGCGTTTGTGAACCGCTCCTTCCTCTGGGACCACATATATGTGTTAGCAAACTTATTCAGTCATATCTAAGGCCAGATGCCTGCGACAATAACAGTCCTTTCACGTATAGGTGAATGTCGTTGAGCGCATGGTTTGAGAGCCAAATGAGTTTGCCTGTCGACTCGAGTCTATTTCGACTTCACGACCCAAAGATGGACCTAAAACACTACACCAACCAACAACCGACAAGAGACAATATCGACTTACATGAGAATGGTAAGATGTCCAAAATTTCGTGCGTCTCTAAACCTTGGTGAGACAATCTTATTCACACTGAGTGTGTCTGTATGAGGGTCGCAAGTTGTTGATTTTGTTTAATACATTTGATGACCGTGAAATGCTTATCGTTTCGGGGGACAGTCCAGTTCTACAATCGCTTAGAGCCTTACCGCAAACCTCCGTGTGTGTAGTATGTACGAGTATGTATGTAGGTCGCTCTACTGGAAGAACAAAACAACAAAACCAACTCATGAAATAATTTTGGTTTGATATTGCTTCACATATATATACTAACTTCACTTATTGGGTAGGTACTTACATGTAAGAGACACAATACACCATTTTCTATTATTGTGAATCTTACAACCGTGTGAAATTGTGAATGAGTAAGATTTAAAGGACAATAAAGCTATGTAACTTTACATTCACATTATTCACAGAGCTTGGTATATTGGTAGTAGGCAAGATAAGATTATTATATCAATTTTATACATGTAGGTAATCATATTCAAATTAAGATCTGATATCCTACCCAGGTATTCCCTATGAGCTTCTTTCTTTGAAAAAGAGTCAATTCAAACCTTGAAGTAACATTTACATTTTCACTTAACTATCCCAAACCCAACCAGCGGCCCCCTCCCGCTCATCGATAATGCTTGGGATTTGCCTTATAGTTACAGAGCACGCAAATCATCATGGCCAAAGCTCTAGACCTCGTACGAAAACACGCTTTTTGTCAAATATGTCACATGTGGAGATGTAAAGTACAAGAAATCATTTGCTTTATAAATGGTTTGTTGATTCACTTGTTGGTTGATGTAGGAAATCTTCCTTCAAGAGTTAGTGCACAAGTGTTTGGTAGTGATTCATTGCACACATATAAATTTGATTTGGATTGGTTGCTTCAACGATCAACAAGTAGGTAGGTAGGTACCTTTTCTCTCGTGAATGAATGTAAGGTACAAGGAACATTTGCTACCTCCCTATCGAATCTAATTGGTACGCACGCTTCGCAAGCGTCCATCGCGTCCAACTGTTGATGAAGTTCCCCCTCCGTACTCGCTCGTATTCCAATACCCATTCCATTCCCATTACCTCAACATCCCTTTTCGCCAAGATATCAATAGCTACATGAATACATTTTATCACTCTCATATGGAAATGTGGATAGAACTAAACTCGTCTCTTGTGTCATTCAATGTCCAACTGAAGTTGACTGGCTCACTCGAATCCAATCAATGTTGATTAGTCTGGCGAAGGTCTGGTACGAGGCTATGGCAGATGTATTTATATGTATCTGCAATATGAAACCTAAATACTAACAAGCCAACCTGCTAGACGGGACTGACTGGCAACGCTTCAAAATATAGCTGAAGAAAGTGATCCACCAACATGCAGCTTGCTTATCATGAACCAACCCTCTTTTCATCAATTGACTCATGATGAGCTGTTTGAAGAGAGTCTCTGAAAAACGTACTAGCTAACACATACTGTGTGTTCTGTTTCTGAATCACCATGAAACTTTTGATGGTGTCATCATGTCTGCAACAAATGCTCCTAGTGAAAATTGGTCTTGCATGTAGAAAAGTGGATATTTTCCGAAGACTTATTAACTCTACTCTGTATATGTAGATTGAAAATCGCAAACACCATGATAACTTGGTAAGAATATATATCCTCAATATACTTTTCTCAAAGAGTAGGTAATGCAAGACTGTAAGCTTACCTATCAAGTTTTATAGCTAGATACTGCACATCATCATTTCTTTGCTCAGAATGTTGGTATGAGGCTTTCGGCAACCGCGTTTCTGCAGCATCAAGAAGATGGCCCCGTCGCTTGGCAGTTTTGACAGTTTCTTTGCCATGTAGGTAGGTTCTTTTGTAGATTCTTTGCGGTTCACTGATCCGCGCATGTTTGATCACCATATCTTACAAACAAACTTAACCCTTCAGTATGACCATAAACTCATGACCCCTTCATACTTATCATCAACATAATGACGGACGATAACCCCCCATCCTCTTCGAGCGCGCCAAAACAAATTGGCAAGATTGGACGATACCAAGGACCCTCGGGCTGGCTATCACTCAGTACAGAAAGCACAAGCCCTATGGCAACACATGGGCAGGGCATCTTGACCAAACTTATCAAGAATCAATCGAACGGATCGTTGGTAACCATGCGGCGGCAGTCTGGATCAATACTAGGTCGAGACTCGTTGGATGATGAAGAGCGCCCGCGTAGCGTATTTGACGACCGCGATGATTTCAGTGAGAGACGTTTGAGTGCTGTGCTCAATGGACCACAGATGCGCAGTCAACGCCTTATTGGCAATAGCAATCCTCGATATAAATGGGAGAGATATTGGAAAACTGAGGAAGAGTTAAAAGGCATGAAGAAGCCGATGTACGTCACTCGAAGTGTTACTCAAGCACAAACAATCAGCCTTATGACCAAAAACTGATAAGTCTCACAGACGCCAGTACTATGAACGAACCAATTCTCTCATTCAACAATACATCTATATTGATCGGTTACTCGATTCTTCAATTCCTCATGATCTCCTCAATGAATACGAACACAATGCATGCAGTGGACGATTTGAAGTGCCCACGACGATATCAGAAGAACCGCGTACACCCCCAGAATCAGAAACCCCCACCACTAATGGCAACGGCTATGGATCTGTCCCGAGAAGAATCAAGCGGACACCCCGAGAGATCTATAAGGTTACGGAGGAGACGCCTCTTCTTCTCTCCGAGGAAGACAGCGAATGCGATGGACCAAAACCTGAAATCCCCGGCATGGAGGACGACAGTGTGGAGAGTGGTGATAGAATTGTGCAAATTGCGATTTATATCAATCTAGTAGCCAATACAGTTCTTCTAGCTGGAAAAATTGCGGTCATTGTGTTGACAAGCTCTCTTTCGGTCCTTGCTAGTCTTGTCGATGCGGCATTGGATTTCCTCAGCACTGCCATCGTTTTTACAACTACCAAAATGATCGAACGTCAAGATCAATATTCGTATCCTGTTGGCCGCCGGCGCCTTGAGCCAATTGGTGTTCTTGTGTAAGGCAGCCCTCTCTACTCATAGCTTTCGCTTGCGCTCGAGTTGATATAATCTCATCTTTTCGATCAAAGGCTAACCTAATGGCGATATAGCTTCAGTGTCATCATGGTTACATCTTTCATTCAAGTGGCATTAGAGTGTTTCAATCGACTCTCTTCAGACGATCGTGTCATTATCGAGCTTACTCTACCAGCCATAGTTATTATGTCCTCAACAGTTTTTATCAAGGCACTTTGTTGGCTATGGTGTCGTCTAATCAAGAACTCTAGTGTCCAAGCACTTGCCCAAGATGCCATGACCGACGTTATCTTTAATATTTTCAGTATCATTTTCCCCCTTGGTATGTTCATCAATATCTTCCCTACCCCTTCATAATCTAATAAGCATACAGTCGGCTTCTACGCTAAACTATGGTGGCTCGACGCTCTCGGAGGTCTTCTCCTTTCCCTCTTCGTCATCATAAATTGGGCCGGTACATCCGCCGGTCACATACGTAACCTCACTGGTGCTGCTGCCACCGCCGACGAACGCAATGTTCTTCTCTACCTCACCATGCGTTTCGCACGCACCATCAAGCAAATCCAAGGTTTGCAAGCATACCACGCCGGCGATAAACTAAACGTCGAAGTCGATATCGTGCTCGATGAAAGTATGAGTCTTCGTGATAGTCACGATTTGGGTGAATCGCTACAGTATGTGTTGGAGTCGGTGCCCACGGTTGACAGAGCGTTTGTTCATCAGGATTATGCGGGCTGGAATTTGCCCACGCATATGCAGCAGCAGGGTGAATGAATGAATGAATCAAGCATAATTAGGTGGTTGCTACTCTTTCAGCATTGTCTTTGAGATGGCTGTGGACATGATGCCGATAGACTTTTCTGATTCTTGAATGATATCACAGGGGAGTATGCCTGCGGCGTAGCAACCTGTATCGTGATTATCTTTTGTACAGATTATTATCAATTCAACATAACAAAACACGATACAGTAAAACACAATAATGAACATCATCTCTATCTAAATTGAATAATATAACTCTCGAACATTAACTACAGCGTATAGCCAACCTCACAATGGAAGCGATTCAAGCGAATGATTTCAATCCCCCCTTTTTGGACCCATCGACATGTATGTATGGGTATATGAGTATCTAGGTAAGTGTTACATTGTAATGCTATTAAGGGTATGTAGTCATGTATTCATGTATGTGAATACTATGTGGTTATTTTATATCTTATATCTAGGTATAGGTATAGGTATAGGTCTGGATAGGTCTGGATAGGTCTAGGGTAGAAGATTCAGTATTTCTGGCAATGGAATGATGATTATGATTATGATTGTGAGAGGGATGTTGTTTCATCTGGGGAGGGATGGAGGGATGGAGGGATGGAGGGATATAGAGGGATTTGAATGGAGAGAAGTGGAATGGGTAGATGATTGGGTAGGTAGGTAGGTAGGATGTAGAATAAAAATAAGAATGACAAGAGTCGCTTTAAAGATATCTCAAATAGTAACTAGGTAGTATAACTATAACTTATATCGATTCTCTAACACTATCCAGTAATATTTTATATAACTTATCAAATAACTCATCAACCCATCAACCATTCATTCATTTGTTTATTTCGAATATCTCCAATGCTAATCTATTCGTCTGATGAGGAGAAAACGGGAGGAGAAAAGATATATATCCACAGCAAAACCTCTCTATAAGGAACCCCCCTATAAGGATACCCTCTATTATCCTTAATATTTTTCGGTCCTCAAAATTTTTAGGCCTAAAAATGACCTCTATTTTTAAAACCCCTTCATTAGGATATCCTTATATTTTGTAGTCTCAGGATTACGTGTATTCTTAGTGGACTGATAGAATCGTCAGGATCAACTATTATATGAAAGTTTTGAAGAGATTTTAGAGAGATTTTATTGAAACCTAAAAAATGTTACTGTATAGCCCGATCGGGATTAATTGGAACTAAATTATTACTGGGTCGGGATGAGTCGGATGCCTCTCTATCAGGATACTTCTATATATTCTTAAAAAAGATTACAAAAACCGGTATTCTTATAGAGAGGTTTTGCTGTATTTGGTGGAGGGGCTAGGGTTAGGATTGAAGACGCCGGCGCGGGGAGAGGGTTAGGGGGGATTAAGAATATTTAATGTTCAGTGGTGGTGATGTTAGCCTCGAGTTTTGGAAACTGGGATGATTAGATGATGGATTTGATGTTGACAGGAATCAAGCAAGAATATGTTGTTGGGTTGATGTGCACACAAAAATGGAGTCGATTCGCATTTCGAGGATCGCGAAGTTTGGAGTTGAGATGTTTCGATGGAGTCGTCTCCAATGTAAGTGGATCTTCGGCGGGTGTGATACCCACGGATAGGGAACAATAATAGGCAAAGCAGGGTCCTGGAGTGTTTGATGGACACACGATCGTACACAGTCCAAGGAGAAGGGGCCGGCCAGTCGTCGTAAGGTTGAAGAATTTCTTCGAAATAGATTGATGTTGATCCGATCCACAGATTTTCATCCACAATAATCAATTGAGAACCATCTATCGGGCGAATGATGGCGATGTTGCAATAGTGCAGCAGGAAAAGTTAATAGATATGAAGGAGTAGATATATGAAAAGGAGATTGGAGGCTCCTTGATGGCTTTTCATTCGGGTATCAATTTGGGATGGGATAAAAGGGTTTTTGTTTAGACGCTGGGGGTGGACGGTTGGTTGTCTAGGTAGCAGCCAATTGTGGTGAAAGACGACAATGGGAGGTTTGAATGATTTCTATTTTCGGAATCGTATGTATGTACTGTGTGGCTTGTTTGCGCGTTTCCCGATTATTATTTGAGGCTGTGTCGATCAATTCACGTGTTATTGTTATTGTTATTGTTATTGTGAATGGAGGAATGAATGTTCGGTTGGATGAAGTTTGGAGGTTTGAGGTTCTAAAAAAAGTCAAAAGGTCTACAAACTCGTATTACAGCAGCCATTGATTGCATGGTGGTCCAAATTATTATTAGTGGAATGCGGAAAAGACGTCATGTCGAAAGGGTTTCAACTTTCGAGAAGATTTCGGGTCCGGCGAAGATTCGTATTTGTGGGTTCCGATTTGATGGATTTTCTGAAATGCGCGGTGGTGGAGTTCGAGCCCCTTAAAATATGTAGATAGCGAAATGTTATTTTTAAGTTTGAGGTCTGAGATTTGAAGATATCAAAGATATTAATGTCTAGTAACTCGAGGCTTTTCGTAGGCAGGCTCGAGGTAGAGTTGCTATATTAATCTGGCTCGTAAAAAGAGTGTTGGACGAATAAGTAACAGAGTAGTAGTGAGGTGAGGTGAGTGCATACCCAATAGTAATAAAACAGGGAGATTGGATAGGTGGCTGAATGTTTCCTCGCGGCACGGCATTGGCATTGATCATACAGAATTCAAGGTACTGTATTCGATTATTGGGATTGAGATTGGGATTGGGATTGGGAAAGACTTCTCTTGGTGCAACAGCCGAAAGGAACCAGGGGTCAGAGATCTTTGGGAAAAGCGTCATGCAAGAGGATAGAATAGGAGTAGAAGTTCTGTTTCCCTCGACCTATCCAGTCCAGCATACTCTACACATGCTCAAGGATGGAGACATGATGCATTTTTGGTTTACCATTGGTGTCACGGTCACGAACCAAAGAAGGACGATACATGAGGGCATACATAATGATGGATGTAGAGATGCAAAGAAGAGAAACATGGACTGGTGATAGAGGAGAGAAGAGAAGAGGAGAGAAGAGGGGAAGATGTGATGGGAGATCTTGGAGCAAGGTTGGAAGCATTCATGTGATGGTGATTAGGAGGTGGCGGGTGACAATAGATGATACATTGTAGTCTTACATATGTCAAAATGTGCTCGGATTACCTTTTCTATATAGTCAATGACAGAAGACCTTGGGATGAAGGTGAAGATGCAGATGAAGATGCAGATGAAGATGCAAATGCAAATGAAGATGAAGATGGGAAAAGTTTCTTTCGGTCAAGAAGATCAATCCAGCCTTTTTGACTGCATTGATGTCAAAGGACCAAGTAATATTTTTAATTCTTGTGCCTGGACTAGCAAGTAATGACAACCCAGCGTTTACCTGACTGCATCAATCTAGGCATAATGAGGAGTAGTGGTCGGTAATGCTTTTGCAGATATCACGAAACATATAACCACATATAACCACATATGACCACATATAATTGATTAATCCGTTCCTGCACTTACACAGTATAGATGAGCAACGCCGACTTATCATTATGCCTTCACCTCCCCACCTAGGTAGTTGGTAATAAATATGCTATGCGTTACGGTAACCTTGAAGGGGAACACGGTGATCATTTACAGCTCAGGAGATATAAGGCCAGTCCTCCGTGCGAAATATGAATAAACTTCCTTGGGTCCCACGGTCCCTGGTGAAAGGAAGGAGGCAGAAAAGAAAGAAAAAGAAAAGAAAAGAAAAAAAAAAAAATAGTATTAGTATTACTCGTCGCATTAGAATTTATTAGTACCCAGTATCTCAGTATCTCCTTGAGTACTTTGTAGCAAAGTAATAAACTATCACCCAGTCATTCACCCATTCACCCATTCACCAATTCACCCAAGCAACCCATGAATTTCTCATCTCCAAACATTCCAACCTCGATAGCATTTTACTCGATTACCTACAGCACTAATAAGAAAATAGTCTATACCTAGGTACCTAGTGGTTCTCTCTAACCTTAACATTCACATCCGTTCTCCATTATCCATCCCCCATTCATTAACAGAATTCATTCTTGTCTTGTTTTCTTTTACCTACCTACTAGGTCCTTTGAGCACCTCATCCTGCCTGCCCTGCCTCGTCTACCTAGGTACCTACATACATACCTAGCTGGAGTACCTACTTTATCATCCTCCTCTATTCACACACTCACTCACTCACTCACTCATCCTCTCACTCACTCATCCACTCTCTCCCGATCATTTTATTAATAAAAAAAACATCACACCACTTCAACATATTGAATTGAATTCTTCAATAATTGATTGCCCTTTTACATCTTGCTAATTTAAAGACATTGCATTTTGTCTAATCAAGTCCATCGCTCTCTTTCCATCAATCACTATTGAATTTTCTGTTTCATCTCCAATCTTTTTTTATTCCTTTCTTTTTCTTCTTTTTGCGTCTTATCGTTGCACTTTGGCTCTCATTCTCTCGTTATTATAGTAAGTAAACATCACTTTGGTTTTCAATTCTATATTTAAATTGCCGCCTATAAACATCAACAATCCCCAAAAATTTCCAGCTCTACTACATACCACGTACCTTTCCCCAAACGCCAGACGTCCAACTGCAAAATCCATTTGGCAGCCATAAGAAAATATGTTTATTTAGGTCAAGGTTCATTCACTACCCATTTGTCCATATTCAATCTTTGCTGTGGCTTGGAAGAGTTGTTCAGCATCTTTCCATCACCACCCTTCTCACCCATCCTTGCCCTCCGAGGATACACTCGGCGAATAACACCACATTGGCTTGCTTCTATTCAAACCTACACTACACCGGTCTCTCTTCACAACAGCATGGGCCTTTGATGAATCGGCCGATCTATCGAAACACTGGAGACTTGCATTTTCATCTGTTCTAAAAGGATCTTGCTAACCTCGCCTGTGGCCATTGCAATAGACCCGTTTTCTCACAATTTTCTCGCACACGTCTTTGCCAACGAAAACTTGCCTATTCAGCTCAATGTTCATGACTTCTCTTCTGCAACATTGATTCGTGAATTTTCCCTTCCAACACTTCAATCCTTTGCAGATCAAACATACCAACGGCATCGAGCCTAGTATCCCCTATTTGGATACCTTTTTTCAGTCCTTACTACTGAGAAGCTCGAGACCGGCAATCTCGTCTTCCAAACAATAGATACAAACTACATGCCTTTAATTCCGAAGAGTTTTGGGCGACGCAAGTCGACAGCAAATGCATTGGATAATCCCGAACCTCCCGTCGAATCGTCCTTTAAGGTTTTCGAGCGCCCTCAAGCTGGGGTTCACAAGTCCGGTCCATCTTTCGACGGTGGAGTCAAATTTGCTAGAGCAAGCGGTACAGCCGACCCGCACAAGGAGGACAATCTTTTTGAGGGCATGAAAGTTAACACTGTCAATCGGTTAGTACTGAAATTCCACCTGGGTGGGAGGTTCAGGGGACCTCCAACTAGGGTACACCCTTGGCATAATAAGCTGATAAATTTCAAGTGGTAGTGGAGCGTCGAATACGAACACCGCATCGACCACAGATAATTCTTCAAGGTTAAGTGCAGCATCTACAGCCCCTTCATCGATGGAGACACCTGGCCACGAAGACTGGAGAACACCACATGATAGACACAGCGACGCTCCCCTTCCGCCGTTACCAAAGACATCGTCTGGATTTTCTCTGAAGAACGCTGGAAGAACACTCTCTTGGGGTAGAAACAAAGCCACTCCTTCTCCATCAAAAGTATCAGACGAGCTACCACCTTCCCCAACTATTCGCGACGATAGCGCCTCGAGTCGAACGCGCGCAGTGACTGCATCCAGCTACGCAAGCACGGCTACACCACCAAAACTCGGAGAGAGAGATCTGGATCTGACAATGGGTGACGACTTTGGAGATATGTTTGCTGGAATGGCGCACCGCAGAAATGCTGTTCCAGATTCGCCTGGCGTCAGAGGATTCGCCAAGAGCCCTGTAAGTCGAGTCTCGACTATTAACGTCGACTTACTAACGTGAAGCAGGAAATCCTCCCACCCGAGCCAGCATTGAAGTCGTACTCTGCTAGTCGTGCTAACCAACCTTCACCCCTCATACTTGACAAACGGAAAACCGTCGAAGATCCACCATATTCATGGGGATCAAATGATGGACTCATGAAAAATACTAGTCCACCTCCAGTGGCCACTCGTCATATGGGACCTCCTGCTCACCAACCTCCTCCGGTTCCAAGACATGGACCTTTGCATCAAACTGATGGAAACCAAGCCATCCCAAGACCACGTTCAAGTGCGCCTCGCCCCGACTCGACACTTAAGAGAAGTAGTGCTCTTTCCATGCGCCGCCATTCCACATTGGAATTTGATGGTGTCGACGAGGACGCTGCACTCCTGCGCGAGTCTGTCAATGCGAGCAGACATCTGGGTGAAGCACCAAGCAATCCGCAGGCCCGAAAAAGCTGGGCACTCCCTTCTCAAGCAGCATATAACGCCAAGGCGACTGCAAAAACACAGCTCCTCGAGCCAGAGGAAGATGAAGATCTCTTTGAATCCGCCGATTTAGCTCAGCAATTCCAGGAGAGGTCAGAATCTCCCCCTCCTTCGAGGCAAGCTCCAGTGAACAAGGTTATGACACCGGCCCAATTCGAACGATATAGACAAGATCAAGAGCGTTTGAGAAGCGTTGGGGGGCGCCCGAAAGATGAAGAAGCTGAGGAGGAAGAGGAAGAAACTTACGATGACGATGAGGACGAAGCCGAGAAGAGCAAGAATGCTGCCAAGCAACGACGAAAGCAGGAGGCTCACATGTCAGTATACAGACAACAAATGATGAAAGTCACCGGAGACTCGACACCTTCGCCGGGCCCATCCCGCCCTTCAATGTTTAGCAGCCAAAGTACTCCCAACCTAGTACTCGACGGTGCGACAGAGGATGGAGAGGAGGAGGATGAAGAAGTTCCTTTGGCCATTCTTGCTGCTCACGGATTCCCAAATAAGAACAAGCCACCTACAACCAGATTAACTAGCGTGGGATCAAACCCTAATCTTAGAGGTGCTGCTCAAGGTGTTCCAGGTATCGGAGGACCTTTGCCTGTGTTTGCTCGCAACTTGCCTCAAGACCCCTTTGTTGGTGCAGGCCTCGTCTATCCAGCAAATAGAGAGTCGCTAGCATTCGGAAATGGTGGCCCAGGATCTATCAACGGCACTCCAAACAGAGTTGCTCCTCCAGGAGGTCTTGTAGGTGTCATTGCCACGGAAGAACGCTCTCGAGCCGCGCGGAGAGGAAGCCCAAACCCTGGATATGGTCAGATGCCTCCTGGCGGTTTCACTGGCATGGTTCCTCCACCAATGATGGGACAGGTCCCCATGGGAGGCGGCGCATTAGGTATGGGCCAGATGGGACCTATGGGAGGAATGCCTCAGCCACTGCTCACTCCTGGCGATCAGGCTCAGATCCGGATGACGGAACAAATGCAATCATTTATGCAGATGCAGATGCAATTTATGCAGATGATGGCAACAAATCAAGGTGGACAAGGTACCCCACCCCCCAGTGGCGCGCCACAGCTTGGTCCACTGGGTCAATTGGGACCAATGGGTCACATGTCTCAGCCAAACTTTGGTGAGATGCAACGACCTTCAAGTCAGCAATTGCCCACTAGCAACTCGGGCCCAAATCTGCGACCAGGAAGCGCACAACGTACTATGAGTATGCTTGAGCCTGGCGGAATGCCTTGGTTGCAGCAACAAAATGGACAAGGATTCGCACCATCACCACACGCTCAAGGCAACGGTTATGCTCCATCAATAGCGCCATCCGAACGAAGCAATATCGGATTGCCTGGTCGATATAGACCAGTCTCACAGATTCCTCTTACCGATGCCAAATCAAGAACCGCGACCATGTCTGGTGCCATTGGTGGTTGGGACAGCAAGCATGCCTCGACAATCAAGACCGTTCAGAGAGTAGATAATGATGATGAAGATGATGAAGAAGGATGGGCGGAAATGAAAAAGAAGAGAGAGCAGAAGAAGTCTATTTGGAAATCAAAAAAGGATACTAACGGTCTCTCGGAAATGCTTGGTTACACGCAATAATAATCTCATGGGTGGATAACTCGCTATTAGGTGCTTCTGCATGTGCATTTGAAGGGGATAGCTTTGTGATATATAGCATGAAAACTTTGGCGTTGTAAGACTTGGGGCATTGAACTGGAAATCATACCTATGGCATGACTGCTTGTATAGTAGTAATATAATTTTCTTCAGATTTGGGCGGGTTTCTTTTTTGATCTTTCTTTTTGTTTTAATGATCGAACTCATACCGCCAATTAATCAACGACTCTTTTTTGCCATTCTTTTTTCAGTGCAAACGCGTGCGGTCCTCTGTGAATCAAAATCAAATCTAGAAGCAAAGCGTCACATCAAATGCTCCAATCATTCAATCATCCAATCGTCCAGTAATCCATACTCCTCCTTTCCTTCATCACTCAAGCCAAACTATGAATAGCATCACATTCCCCCTCATGCAATCTTTCCGGCAGCCCACTCCCTCTTCTTAACACCCAATTCCACAGCGGCAGCAGCCCAATCCTCTCCATGATTGTGTCCCTTCCCCTTCTCGGTTGTCCCTACACCCGCTCTCATGAGCGCCTGATCCTCCGTAAGAACCGTCAAGAGACCAAAAATAAGAGGCACACCGGCGTCTAATTGAATGCGCATCAGACCTTGCGAAACGCTCTCGGCTATGTATTCGAAATGCATGGTTTCGCCTTTGATGAGGCAGCCGATGGCGATGATGGCATCGAAGGGCGCGGTGGAGGCGGTACTTTGTGATTGCGTGGGGAGGGAGGTGAGGTCGGTGGTGGAGGAGCCGAGGAGGTCGCCGGCGGAGAGGGAGGAACTTTGCGTGGATTGAATTTGAGAGGCGGAGTAGAGTCTGGGGAGGTGGAGGGAGGAGGAAGTTAGTTTTGTTTGTTTGTTTGTTTGTTTGGTTGGTTGGAGTTTGCGGGAAGGGAGGAGAGGGGGTTCATAGGGGTTTGGAAGATGCGAGTCAAGGGATGTACATAGGTATGTATGTATGTACGAATGAAAAAATAAATAGCAATAGGATAAAAATATGCACGTACTTGGAACACGCAATTGGCAATTCCCAACTCCCGGGCACGGATTGCACGACAATATTCGCTTTCTTGACGCCGCTGGCCAAGAGCGTCTTTTTTGTACCGGCGAGCAGCGGCTCGATTATGGCTAAGTGTGTGTGTGGTTAGTGGATGGATGATTTAGGTAGTGTGGTGAGATTTGCGCTATAAGCTGGGATTGAAGAGAGGAGAGGGTGGACAATTCTGGGAGGAGGGGAAATACTTACAGGTGTTCCAGCGCGCGTGGACGATTCCGATGCGGAGGGCGCTGCCGTCGTGTTTTTGGGCTTGGCCGGGTCCTTTGAGGGAGGTGTCCATCTTTGGGGTTGAGGGTTGAGGGTTGAGGGTGCGTGGATGGGTTGGTGGGTAGGTTGAAGGTTGGGTTGTTTGATTGATTGATTGTTTGTTTGTTTGACTGTGAGTGTGGAAGAATGAACGATTTATTAGTTGTGGTCTGGAGAAGTCGGAGGGGTTTTTGGTGGGGTAGATAAAAATGGGAGGGATGTAGGTGCATTGATCAATGGTGCCGCAATCTCTCCTGGTTAGCTAGTGGGTAAGTAGGCATGTACTGTTTGTAATATTCGATTACAAATGGAGCATTCATTATTTTGATTCGGAATTTTTGCAATCTTGATTAGAACTGCTACATCTACTCGATTAACATTAGGAGATATGATTCTAAACATTATTAAGGTTATTGTATGGTATCACAATGCTGGCATTTTCAATCATCCATATCAATCAAGGAGCTTGGACCATCTACACCTCCCGCCACCCCAGGGCCGTTTCAGACCCAATTCCAGAAAGGGCACGACGGTAAAATAGTAAGGTGGTACTTTCCGTGTAGGAAGGGGTTGTTTTGATATGAAAGCTGTAGAGATACTTATCACATACGCTTGCTCGAGTTCCTTCGTTGACCAGTGGTAATCTTACTTGATAGCAGAGTTTCTCCGAGTCTTATTTCTAATTGACTTTAACACAATGGCGTCATCTACCAATCCTACTCCTGCGTCCCAACCCACCAGTGTTTCTTCCAAACTGGGACCTTGGATACGACTGAATGGAATCTCCTATTCCCAGTTGCCCGAGGCAGGTATAGGTATTGAAGTAGCCAGTGGAGCTATAAAGGCATTGAACGGTAGTGGTCATCCTACTAAAAATGCGAAGGCATTTATAACGGCAGTGCTCGAAGAGGCAAGCCCGTTCTTCAATGGAATGGTCCAGAATGCACCACCTTGGACATTTCTCAAATCCAAGACGGGTGTTGAGTTGTATAAACGCGTCGTTTCCAAGGAAGAACTAGATTATTGCAATGGAACACACGATAAAGCAATAAAGAAAGCAAATGAGGAAGGGGAGACTTGGTTTGCCAGAAGAAGTATTCATGAGAATAAAGCAGAAGCAAATACAGCTTCTTGGGACGAATTTACTCTCCACATCAAGCAAGAACACTTCGAGAGAGAGAAGGATTGGTGTCACTCTGTGCTCGCCAGTAGCAGGAGAGCGATGTACTGGGAAACGAGCGACTTGGAGATTGTGGCTGGTGACAAGCAATGGAACAATATCTCAATGGAAGTTGTAGAAATGGTTCATAAGCCCCCGGTTGTCTCTGAACGAAAGTTTCCTGAGGTACTGATTACTGCATCACATAACGAACCTGGAAAGAGTGAATTCTTGGTTATTTCAATACCCATAACCGATTCAGCCAGTGTCCGGTCACAAAATCCCAGTTTTCAAGAATCCGGTTTTGCCTCCGCCAAAAAGAAGGGTCAAGTTGTGGGGGCTTACGCATCGATTGAACGATGTTGTCTTCGTACTAACCCTAGTGGTACAGCTGGGGAGATAGAATGGATAATGGCTACTGCTGTAGGAATCCTCTGTACACATTTGTGCTGTATAGTTTGCTAACAGATGCATAGTCGGATGCCAAAGGTTGGCTACCTCAATTGATACAGAAACCCAGTATACCGGGCCAGATTCAAAAGGATGTGAGCATGTACATGTGTTGGGTCGAAGACCAAAGGAAACCAATACCTGACGTTCTTCCACGATGAATAGAATGACAACAATGATTGTAGACGAAGCGTCAACATTGATCGAAAAACTCCAAGGACCGATTTGGTCAAAAAATGTTCCTGCATGACGAGATCAATCCTCCAATGGCGATAACAGAGTCTGATGACAGTGTTCCCAGCATCATCTAGCATTTTGTTTGGGTTTGAGAAATTGAATGGTGTTAGGCGTGGATGACTTTGCTTGCTGGATAGCAGCATGAAGCGATGTGCGAAAGGGGGAAAGAGGCTTCGTTAATGATTGCTATTCTTATAAATAACAATTCAAGCGTTTACATTACTCCTCTGAGCCCAGAGCTCTTTTATTGCCATCGCTGTTCCCTCAACAATAAGTTTGTGCTCCTCTGCGTGCATTCTTGCTTCAAGGTCCCCTAAAGATTCAGAACTCTTGCACTCCACTTCTTTGACTACTATTGGTGTTCCACGATCAACTTCACTGATCACATAGTGAATCATGAGGCCCGTCTTGTTATTCTCCAACTTGCCCTGTTGGAAATCATTGAAAGCCCTTCCGATAGCATTAGCGCCATCATATTTGCCTGGAAGTGCTGGGTGAAGATTTATGATTGGTATCTTCTTAGCAGTCAGGGGGTCAATGAATGTTGGTGCGAGAATATGCATCCAACCAGCACAGATAATCTAATGATTGTTACTACATAAGAGATGTGAAAAGTGATTTGAAACCCGAACAAGGTCAGGGTATTGAAAGAATCAAGGGGAACAGTAATGAAAATGGTTACTCACGATATCAGGTTGTTCTGAAATCACGAGATTCGCAAGGTCCGCATCATACTTTTCTCGCGCAGCTTTTATCACTGCGGGGCCCTTCTCATCCTTTTTATGGTACTTTCCCGTCAACAGATTGTGACATGTTGTTGGTATGCCCGCCTCTGCTGCACGAGTAACTCCATACGCCGCCTTTCTATTTGTGATAACTCGGATTATCTTCACATATGGCAAGGTGATTTCCGCGTCATTGGTCCCTTGCGAAGCATCAATGAGTGCTTGTAGATTGCTGCCATTTCCAGAGATGAGAACTATAGCTTTAGCTTGAGGAGGTGACATTTTTGCGTTGAGATGGAATTGGCTGGTGAGGAGGTTGTTGTGTTGATGTTAAGTTTTGTTAATATGGTTGATTATCAACTATATAGAGGGTAAGGTTATGTTACTGTAGAAAGCGAGTGTGGGCCTGCCTGTGAAGAGGGGTGTAAAATGAAATAAAAACTGTGAGGTGGGGAAATGAATTATGAGAGTTGGGGGATTACTGGGTGGAGTCTATGGCGATTTAGGGCTGGACTAGTCAATATAAATATAGCCAAGGTTCTTTTTAGATCTATAACTATCCGCTTCAAGACTCTACAATATGGGTGATGGTGAATAGACCTTATATCTCTCTTACATATTTTCTACCTTAACAATTCTTACAATTACCCACAGAACTCCTTGATACCTGCGGGAGAAAAAGTCGACGAGTTCATATCGATGGTGGGGTCGAGGTTGCCAAGGAATATATTTTGCTAGCTCGTTATCAGGTTATGTAAGATGAATTCAGCCTTATTGAACGAGAAGGCTGCACTTTGATTTCTCTCCAACAATTAATCCTTGAATGCAAATCACTTTACAAGTTACACCCTCAATTCTTATTTCAATTCCAACTCCTAATAACGAATACCAGCACAATGGCTATCGAAGAAATAATCACAGACCCATCCCTCAAGCTTGCACTTGAAACTTCGAATCAGACGCGGGAACAAGCAATTGCTCTCCTAGACTTCGTATCGGCTGCATCCACAACCTCCCCTCCGTCGAACGAAGTTCTACTACAGATTTCTAAACAACAAAAACTACTCCTTACATATCTCGCACAATTGAGAGGTCTACATCGTGATGCTCATGCCGGCGCACGAGAAACAAAAGCTTTAACCGCGGAAGCGCGTCAAGAAGTAGATAGGCTACATTTACAACTTCAGAATCTATACTATGAACAACGACATTTACAGGGAGAGATTGCTGCTTGCGAATCATATGAGTGAGTTTCCGGTCAAATTTAAAAGTATAAACCTAGGCAGTGTCGTTAATGCTATCTTCTACAGTCATAAATATCAGCAACTTCCCCTGATACCCGTCGATGAATTCCTAGCGCAACATCCTGAGCACGCTGACGCTGATGAGAATGCGCTTATGATTGCAAGAATAGATCATGAACATCAGGAACGATTGAAGTTGGAAGAACAAAGACAAGGACTTTTGAAGAAGAAACAAGGCTTGATTGCCGATAATAAGAAGAGGAAGGATGATCTAGCCAATCTTGACAAAGATTTGGAGAAATTTATCGATGTAAGTTTGGACTTTGTTGCGCCCATTTTTCGAAGAATGGAATTCTCATACTGATTGATAATAGGCTGCGAAACCAATACAGAAAACTTTTGAACGTGTGGTATGAGAAGGTGGATGATTGGCAGATTAACATTGTGTCTGCTTATGGTAGAAAATTCCCTCCTTCGCGGAATTAGGGACGGTCATTGAGATGTCGTCGCAAGCTGTGCTTCCGGTATGGTAACAAAAATAGGTACCATCAACTCAAGAAGCGTAACACGAGTGAGACTTTGCAGAGGTTGTGGATAGTGGAGAGCGATGTTAGGGTTGAGGGTACCTGTCATTGGACTTGGATTAAATACATAAATTAATGTACGATGTAATATAAACATCAAAAACAGTTTTGGAACCTGACTAACATTTTTCTTGGGACTTTCTGGTACCTCGGAGTGACATTTCAATTTTCCAAATGTTATATACTCATCACCCCAAGCTTTCCTAATCTCAGCTTAACTTGGCAATCAGCACCGATTGGACGCCGGGCTCGTCAAATGCTGACATTCGCATTCTGGACTTGAATTTCAAGCCACGCATCTTACCATGCTCGAGGAGTCAAGAGGAAATTACCTCGATAACGTACCTGGGGGGATCAACACCGGTGCAACCCGTATACTAGGAGAACAAACACAAGCCATGTCACACAAGAGGAAGTCCGATATTGACATACAGGAAACAGATTATCTGAATTTAGCGGTGGCGGACAAGGACATTTTCCCGAGAGGTCTGAATATTAATAGGCAAAAAGCTGACAGCAAACAGCCATGAAGTCTTGGCTGGCTGTTCAGAGAAGCAAAAACTCATCCTGGGCGTAATTTTCATGGAAATCTTGTTGGTCTGCTCGATATTAGCGATTGTAGGACAATGACTCTGCTTACCTACTTACCATGTTTGCCGTTTCTACGATCTGGATTTTTCTTTCTGTTTCTGCATTTCGCTCGTGTCTTGTGTCTTGGTTTAAGATCTTTTCTGGAATACAGAACATTCGATGTGATTGTTTGAAATATGTTGAGAATCTTAATTGCGTGGTTTGCGCTACTAGTTCTAGGTGCGGATAGGGTTGCGGCGCAGTCGAGCACGTCGTCGAGTGCAGTGCCGACGCATGTGGTTTCGGTTGGTATCGAAGGATTGCAGTTTACGCCGACGGAATTGAGTGCGAATGTTAGTGATGTGATAGGTATGCATTTTGAGAAAGGAGTCTCCATGTTGAGTTTGGTATGGAGAATGCGCGTTATACTAATCGATGACTGGATTGTTAGAATTCCGATTTTATCCTCAAAATCATTCCGTGGCGAGAGCAGAATATGGAAGCAATAGAGCGTGTATTCCATATGAAGTTACGGGTATCAACAAGAAGGGGTTTTGGAGTGATTTTCATCCGATCAGTGTGGTTTTAAATGATGTTTGTATATTCATTGAGAATATTTGGAAAATGTCATTGCATGATCTAACTTGAGAGTGTTTAGCCTCCGAAATTCCAAGTCGTTGTTAATGATACGAATCCAATCTTCTTTTATTGTTCGGCTCCAGGGGCATGTCGTGAGGATGGAATGATTGGTGTAATTAATGCTGTACGTTTGACTAATTTAATGTCACTGGGCAAGATTTGATTCCGAATACTGATGATTCTTAATCTTAGAACTCAACTCAAACGTTCACAAATCAATTGGAATATGCGAAGAACTCCTCGTTACAATTTAGTCCTGGCGAAAACTTCCCCGTCGAAGCCACTTCACCCTCATCTTCGACTGCTCGTCCGACGTCTACCTCATCCTCAGGCGACTTCCCCAGCACCACCACCTCCGCTTCCACAATAATCGTCACAGACTCTTCTCCCTCCTCTTCCTCATCCACCAAGCTATCCCCAGGCGCTATAGCCGGAATAGCCATCGGCGCATCCGCACTCGTCCTCCTAGCCAGCGCCCTCCTCTACCTCTGCGGCCGTCAACGCAGCATCAGAGAAATCATCCAACACAACTCCCGTCCCTCAAACATGACTTCCCATACTCACCCCAATCCGCATCATCCCGGTGGTCCCAACCCCCAATCTTACATCGCGCCCTCGGCAACTCTGTCCGAAACAACATATTACAACAAACCCCGACATCTCATGACGGAAAATGAAATTCGCGGGCTGGGACAATTTTCCGGCGCGGGGAGTGAAAATCATTCGCATCTTTCGGATTCGAATATTGGAAGTGAGGGGTATAGACGGACTCGCAGTCGCAGTCCGGGGGCGGATGAGTATGGGATGGTTGTTCCGCCGTTGAATCTAGGAGGGAGTGGGAGTGGGAGTGGGAGTGGGGATGGAAGGAGAGGAGTTGAGGGGAGAGCAAGTCCGAATGGTCAACAAGCACATGTGAATTCGGGTGGGAATGTGAGTTTACCGAATAGTCCTGGAATGTCTGGATCTTTAGGTGTGCAGATGGGGATGGGAGAGAGGTGGGAACGGGAAAGGGAGAGTGAGAGATTGAGAGGACTGAGGTGCGTTATTTATTATTATTTTTCACCCTTCTTTCAATATATCCCCATTTGATATATCATCCACTAACCCACCAACCACTTCAAGACCCTCTCCCTCCCCGGGAACTCCAAATCATTTCCACTCCCACGCTTCATCATCAGGACCCCACGAACTAGCAACGCATCAGGATCGAGAGAGTTTGCGCGGACATGGCCATGATCGATACGATGATCCGGAAATGTGAATATTGAGTAATTTTTTCTTTCCCTTTTCCTGAACTGTGGGTTTGTACCTACCTACATTATAATCCATTTTCTCCTTTTTTTCCCCATGTGCTTTGGGAGGTTTCTTTGGGAGTTGTTTTTTGGGCATCTTCTGCAGGGTGAATCGTATAGTCTGGGAATACATCGCCTAGCATGGTATGGCACAGAAACGAACAAAGGCTGATTTTTAACAGAGATAGGAGGTTAGCGAAGCAAGGGGGTGCGGACACCTTCTTTTGGGATGAGGGAGAGTCGCGATGATGTTTGCGATGAGGAGTTTCGTTTTTGGAAGGCGTTGGAGTTTGAGGTTTGGGGGTTTGAAGATTCAAAGAGAATGTCTGGATCCGACTGTGGGAAAGGGTTGGGTTGAATGACTATGCAAAAGTCTCTAGGTGGGATAAGATATGCAATAATAACACCGTGTTAAGAATAAATTTCGAGTCTAGTGGTCAAAAAATGAACGAAATAGACACTTCTGATCATTAGATCTACGTCTTGGAACATTGTAGCGTAAGGAAAAGGGTATCTCTATCTATAATTCTTTCAGATCATAAATTCATCTCCGAAAACAACAGCAACTTAAACGGTCAAAGCCCTTCAAGCAATTGGTTTAACATCACTCAACCATGGCAACCCCAATTTCTTCATGTCAACCGCAATTTGGAAAAGGTAATCCAAGCTACATGGGATATCAGCATCATTTACATCACTCAAAACAAATAGTGAAATCATAACCTACCTCTCACACTGAGTCTTCGCCTTGTGTACCGACTCCCCCCAAACATAAACTCCATGTCTCCTCACCAAAACCGCATACGTATCCGGACACTTCTCCATTGCTTCTTCCAGATACTCCGTCAAATCTTCTTCATGGGGTGTATTTTCAATAACTGGAATGCGCAACGTATCGTGATATCCCAGATTTCCTGTCTTCGTGTAGCCTTTTCCAAATGCTTTGATTTGTTCGATGTTATTGATTTCAAACATGGTGGTGTTGGGTGCGGATTCTAGGAGGAGGGTGATGAGGACTGCCCATTTTGAATGCGTGTGGATGCAACAACCTGCGTTTCGCTTGGTGAATGCAGCCATGAAAAGGGGGGTGCATTGGGAAGGCTTGAGATTGGGCGGTGAGCGGAGGTAGATGCGTTGTTTGGGATCAAGTTGTTTGGTTATATCGAGCACGTAAATGTGTTCTGGTTTCATGAGTTCTTTTTGGACTCCAGATGGCGCAAGATATACTAGATCACTGGGAGGGTTAGTTTATGGTTGGAGTGAGAGGGAAGAAGGGCATACTCTTTACGAATACTGGCGCCGCCTCCTGTACCTGTTACCCATCCTAGATGCCAAAACTTTGCACATAGTTCTGGGATTAGATTCGCGGGATGCTGAGAATCTTCTGAGATAATAAGATGATCATTATTTTCCGATTCTGGAGTTGGGTTTAGGGTAGTCATGATTGCTGTGTAGACTAGGCAACTCTTCCGTAATAATACTACCGTATATGTGAAATGTACATGAATTAGGATGAAATCTAGCCGTATAATTCCAGTAACCTCCAAATAAAACGTCAATCTTAGATTCCGAATGGAGAAAATTAAATCATGCTATATAATTTGTTGGTTAGTGACATTTTGGTGGGGAGATATCAAGTAGACCCTGCACTCAGCCTAGGTTAACTGTGGATGCTAATCCCAGATAAGGTATCTGATAGAAAGAAATCGAACCGCGTCTTAAGTAAGGTAGTACCGGTATTGTAGCTGACGAAGAGGAGGTTGGGAATTGATCTAACATTGAGGAAGAGTTGGCATTGAAGTTAAAGAGGAAATGAGGTGTCCTTTTTGGCTACTCAATTTGTGTCATGTTAACATAGGTAAAGTGACTGCTATGTAGATATCTACATCGTAGGTAGTAGTTAGATAATAGATAAGAGGATGTGGACAGCTTAGTGTATCCATGGATTATGTAGTGCTGGCTCAAATCGGCATTGGTCACTATGCCATCCATATCCATTTGATGGTTATATAGATTATGACATGTGTACGACCAGTACCATCAGAACCACCAGTACCACCAGTACTGGTCATACAAAGTATCAGTGCTGGGTGACTCGGTGAATGATTTGATAGGTATTGTCCAACACAGCTTTGTCGAAGCTCTACGATAACCCCCTACAATGGAAAACAATAAGAGGGGTCCATGTTGATATATATCCAATCCAAGAGGTCTCGCTTTCGGGTCTTGACTCCATCTCTGCCGGTATCTGTAGACAAATCAATATCTGCTGTAATCCGAACACGTATTCTCATATCAATTGGTAGGTATCTTTGGATTCCAGTTAGCAGACTCAAATCGAGCATTCACTGATCTATCGTCATATAAAATATTCCAATACTGGTGTACTTCGTACTTATCGTAAAAGCTGCCGTAATCCATTTCGTGAGGGGAAACTTCAAACCTTGTCACTACCCAGCCAGTCACTAGGTGTAAACCTTACCTAAACGAGTAAACGTTAAAATATAGGACACTGTGGCATATTCTTAATTCCTAGCACTTTCTCCAGGACCATAAAAGTCGTATCAATCGCTTTTCATCCTCTCTGCTCTTTTAACATCCATTGAGCTCTGGAAGCAATTATCAAAAGTCGTAGAACTATTCTTGTCAATCTAAAGGTCGATTAGAACTCAGTTCTCTTCTATTCATCATGCGTTTCCATACTACCACAGCTGCCTTTTCAGCAGCTGCTCTCTTGGCTACTTCTGTCAATGCTGATGCTCAATCTGTACTCAGTGAAGCAAGCTCCTCAGTATCAAGTGCTGCTACTGAAGCTTCCTCATCAGTCTCATCTGCCACCTCGACTGGCATTGAGCTTCCTACCTTCACTGTAAGTTTCTATTAATCTACACATTTCATGCACCTCGCCAGCTTTTCCCAAAATAGTTTCTAATAATCAATTCTCACAGCCTACCAAAATCACTGCCGATTTCCTCGAACAGTTCACCGATGACTGGGAGACCAGATGGAAGCCATCCCACGCCAAAAAGGACACCAAGGGTTCCGACAAGGAAGAAGAAGAATGGGCTTACGTTGGAGAATGGGCTGTAGAGGAACCCCACGTCTTCAAGGGTATGGAGGGAGATAAGGGTCTTGTTGTCAAGAACCCAGCGGCCCATCACGCCATTTCTGCCAAATTCCCCAAGAAGATTGACAACAAAGGAAAGACCCTCGTTGTTCAATATGAGGTCAAGATGCAAAGTCAGTATCAATTGTTTCCATCCTATCAATTAGCATTACTAACATCTAGCCAGATGGTCTTGAGTGTGGTGGAGCATACTTGAAGCTTCTCCGTGACAACAAGGCTCTTCACCAAGAGGAGTTCTCCAACGCATCTCCATATGTTATCATGTTCGGACCAGACAAGTGTGGTACCACTAACAAGGTTCACCTTATCATTAACCACAAGAACCCCAAAACTGGTGAATATGAGGAGAAGCATATGACTCCTGCACCAGCAGCTAGAATCCTCAAGACTACCGAACTTTACACCTTGATCATTCACCCCAACAACACTGCCATCATCAAGTTGGATGGCGAGCAAGTTAAGGAGGTTAACCTTCTCTCCGACGACTTCGTTCCAGCATTTAACCCACCCAAGGAGATTGATGATGCTAAGGATTCCAAGCCAGATACCTGGGTTGACGAGGCCCGTATCGCAGACCCAGAAGCTAAGAAGCCCGAGGACTGGGATGAGGATGCACCATTTGAAATCGTCGATGAGGAAGCTACCAAGCCTGAGGATTGGTTGGAGGATGAGCCTCTCAGCATCCCAGACCCAGAGGCACAAAAGCCAGAGGATTGGGATGATGAGGAGGATGGAGATTGGATCGCCCCAACCGTACCAAACCCCAAGTGTGACGATGTTTCTGGATGTGGTAAATGGGAGAAGCCAATGATCAAGAACCCAGCTTACAAGGGCAAGTGGACCGCGCCATTCATTGACAACCCAGCCTACAAGGGTGTCTGGGCTCCACGCAAGATCAAGAACCCAGACTATTATGAGGACAAGACCCCATCCAACCTCGAGCCAATGGGAGCTGTAAGTAACTCATTTTCTCGTTTGAAATCATAACACTAACACTAACATCGTCACAGATCGGTTTCGAAATCTGGACTATGCAAAGCGATATTCTTTTCGATAACATTTACATTGGTCACTCTGTTGAGGATGCCGCCAAGTTCGCTGATGAGACCTTCAATGAGAAGCACCCCATCGAACAATTGATTGAACTCGAGTCCGTTCCAAAGCCTGAGGACAAGCCAAAGTCTCCATCTGATCTTGTTTTCGCTGATGACCCAGTTCATTACGTTAAGGAGAAGCTCGACTTGTTCCTCACCATTGCTCAAAACGACCCCATTCAAGCTATCAAGTTCGTACCTGAGGCTGCTGCCGGTATCGGTGCCGTCTTTGTCACTCTCATTGCCATCATTGTCGGTATTGTTAGCATGAGCGGATCTACTCCTCCACCACAAGTCAAGAAAGCAGCCGCTAAGGCCAAGGATGCTGCTGCCGATGCCAAAGATAAGGTCTCTGAGGCCGTCGCATCAGGAACTGATGCTGTTAAGGCAGAGGTCAACAAACGCTCAACCAGGAGCCAATCGTAAATAGGAAGGGACGAAATAATGAAAGCTGGGGAGAATAGGAAGAACGAGTTGACGAGGAATTTCTCAACCAATGTGGGATCAGAAACCTCCGTATTTGCGTGCATTTTGCTATATTTTTCAGAGTACCTCGCAGTTACCCTTGAGTTATTGTGGATGGACTGGGAGTTTATGGTTGAAAGTTGACATGCAAATTAGGGAGCTACAGTTTGTATTTTAGGCGCACAAAATAATTCGAATGAATATTTGACTTTACTTTTTGATATAGATCCTTATTTTGATGTATTGATATCTGACTGAGACATTTATCTATCAATCTATGAATCGTACAGCTTAAGCTTCTATCACGTCTTCCCATCTTCCCGTCCTTCAGTCTCCCTTTTAATCCCTTTCACCTCTGTGTCACTCCCATCTATAACCACAATGATTTTCCAAGCCAGCTAAGTAACTGTCGTTATACGGTGTCCATCTAACATTATACTAATTCATCCTCGTCTACCACAACACCCCATTCATGTTCTACATTCCCATACATAATATCGTACAACCAAGCTTTGATCATCTGGGCATAAACGCCACTATCGCTAGCTGCGTTTTGCATAGGGATCTCGATGTTGCGATTTCGGAATGAAATGGCGGATACGGGAGTTATGAAATACTGTTGAATGGGAGGGAGAGATTAGTTTCTTGTGAGTAGGCAAGGACGAGGAGGTTGGAGTCACAGGTGCGAAGGGACAAAAGCATGAGAGATGGTGAGTGCATTTATCCCCGTTTGTGATGGGACAGTGAGCGCGAGAAAATGGAAAGAGGAGGGAAGAAGGGAAAACTTACAGCAGTACCGCTCAAGAAAGCCTCGACGATTCTTCCTTCCTTATGTGCCTCCTCTACTTCTAACATAGTGTATGTTCTTTCTACTATTTCTAGAGGTTTGATATCGGAAGGTAGAGCTTTTGAAGATGGGGATAGACGTTCGTGAGCGAGATCGAGGACGCTTCGGCGGGTGACGCCATCGAGGATTAGTTTTTCGGTTAGAGGGGCGGTGAGGAGCTGGAGGGCTTGGGTCTTGGGGTCGCGGAGCTGGTGGGTTGTTAGGGTATAAAATGAGAGGAGGGATTGATGAGGAAAGGATGAAGGGATGAATGAAGAGCGAATGGAAGATATTCAAAGAATCTATGGTTCGTGGCGAAGATACGTACAATGAGGAAAGAAGTTACTTGCTCCGGCTTCAGTAACTTGATAATCGGGACCGAAGAGCCAAAGGATTTGATCATAACCGAGCTTGCGACCCGCCATCTAAAAGGTATGATTAGCTTAGACCTACACAAGGTATTTTTCCTGGTGACATAACACACGGATAGGTAAGAGAGATAACTAATGGTGTACAATTGAATGGCAATTGAAAGCCTTAATGGATCACTGAGAATAATGAGAAAAATGTAGTCCTTCGGATGCAAACTAAGTATCCCATGAAGCTCTAAGCGAACAAAAAAGCGATGTATAAACCAAGGGGCCTCCAAGACACAATGCTAATTTTGGGTTTCGATGTGAAAATTACACTTGAAGATGGAATACTCCCAATAAGCATAAATATCAAAGCAAACTTACATGAGCTACAAATGCTGGGCCGTAATTAGCTCCCACTTTAGCATATCCAAAGCCACCAGGCCAAGCGCGAGTGTCCTCTTTACTACAAAACTGTTAATAATAGTCTAGTCATCATGTCCCAACAACTTCATTGAGATGTTTGTTAATAACGTAGTCCAAGATGTGACTTACGAAGCAAGTAACCTGAGTCCCGGAGGTTTAGGTTGTGTCCCAGGAGGAGTACCCGATAGGTCTGGCCATGAAACAGCTATGACAAATAGTAAAGCTTCAGAAGGAGAAGTAACTCCAAGTTCTTCTCCGTCCCCAATAATAGCAGGGCGAACATAGAGAAATGTTCCCGGTCGGGATTTGGGAAGCCAACCTAATACATATCAGTATCTTGGCCCACTGAGTCGGATACTGATGGAAGCCAGAATCAACGCTTACGAGGACCGTCAACCGCCATAAAAGCCAAAAGTAACTTTTCCAATTCTACGGGTTCGAAAGCTGGAAGTACCACTCGTTGAGCAGACATCAACAGACGTTTTGAGTTCCTGTCTGGCCTGAAGAGTCGGAGCTTCCCATCGAATCCACGGTAGACTTTCATGCCTTCAAAACATTGAGTTGCATAGTGAAGACAAGATGCTGTGGGCATCATTGTCAGTGGCCCATACTATCCCTACATCAGTATTGCCCCGTGTTTATATAGGTACTCGAGAAGGATAAGAACAACGAAAGGGAGCAAATTCACGGGTTTGATCTCAGGGGTCTGCCATCCTTCGTCGGCAGTCCATCGCACAGCAATCATGTGATCAGTGCAATTTTTTGAAGCCCATACTTCTTTACTGTCAGGTTCGGGAACGGGTCTTGGAGAGGTAGTTTTGGTGATGAGGATGTGTGATGCATTCAGGTCTTTGGCCTTTGGTGGGTCTGGCATGCTGGAAATATGGGAGGAGGTGAGATGGCTTATGGATTCAACATTGGCTGGAGGGACTGCTTCTGAGGCTGTCATTTTTAATGAGGATTGGGTTGTGGATGAATGAGAATTCTCAGATCAGTTCACAAAGAAGTAGACAGATGAGAGAGGATAGATTTGATGTTAGGACGAGGCTAATTCGTGGAGTACATGGACAGAGATAAGAGTGGATCGTAAATTGGTGGAAGTGAGGGGTTTGAACATCGAAGAAAGGGCGCGGGGGAAAATGAACCAATGAATGCACTTTGAGCTGTTGAGAAAACACCTAGTTTTCACCGCCCTTGCCTGACTTTTACCTCATACGAAGATGAAGATTGCATGTTGCTCCGACTATAGAACAAAACGGGAAGGAAAGAAGGAGACTTTCACTTGAAAGCTAGCACAAATTCTGCTAATCTTACCTACCTAGTGAGGGGTAAGTTTCATTGGTGACGAGTCAAGAGTCATCTATCTATAATTGATAGAAAACGCATATATAATGTGTTACTAGATGTCACCTCTTTAATGTATCATGCCATCAGTAGATGTGATTGTTGTATTATATTCTTGTAGGAAGGAAGTTTTGTTTGCCGTGTAACGAGTTATGCTGAGTAAGCAGAGATGGTAACGAACAGCAACACGAAGGACGATACTATTCGACAATAATCCTCCCAATACCACCCATCGTTGATACTGTAAGACAGAGTCAGGAACGTAATCAGAAAGCTGAAAGACTATCCAACATGCTGATTAATTGACGCCGTTCGGAATCATGGCTACAAGACGTTCACAGGGAGACAGGTGCGCACCGAAGGAGATCCATGGTCACAATGAATTTGACGACGAAGGATGGCATATATGACATATGGGATGACTATGTTCAACATCTACAATGACGGAATACTTCCTTAGGTTATGATCCCGATGTGAGGTATGAGTTCCAATAAGAAAGCAGCTCACCGGGAATATCTTCCGATGGAAGAATGTCATACAGCCGTCCATAAAATCGAGGTCATAGGCTAGGGGGGAACACAATCTTCTACAAAAGGAAGTGGAGAAAGGATTCAGCTACCGGAAGTGTGAGCTTCGTGGGGGAGCTCACACGCTAGAGCCGATCATGTTTAATTCTCGACACCCTTTTTGATTTCTGCATAACACATTACTCAATACATATGCTGAGGCACCCGGCGACGAATACTTCAGCGAACCAAATTGGTTCGATTCCATGTCATTGAATACAAAGTGTCGGTTGACTAAAGATCATCAATCCCACCGGATAATTGCACCAACTGACAACGCACGCATCGTTGTAACCATACTGATATATCAAGCCCTTGGTAGCCACATTCAAGATGTTTTCATATTCAAACTCAATCTCTAAATTCATTCCCAACTCCAATCAGCTTCACAATCATGTCAGACTATCAAACACTCAAAGCAGAGTACACTGATCAAGCACACGGTTACGATGACATTGCTTTACTTCCATCAGGCATCTTAGAAACACAGCTTTTGGCTTCGGCACTTGGGGACTGTACCGGACTCGAGATATTGGATCTAGGCGGTGGCTCTGGACTCAGAGCACGCCAAGTTCTTGATGCTGGCGCAGAGTCTGTCGACCTCGTAGATATAACCCCCGGAATGTTGCAAGCCGGACAGGAGATCGAAGCATCGCTTGGTCGTGACAAGATCAGGTGGCTCGAAGCCGATCTGACTGAACCCCTTGGCAATCTTCTCGAAGGCCGCCAATATGATCTTGTCATGGCGAACTGGCTTTTTGATCATGCACCCAGTGAGAAAGCCCTTGAGCAGATGTGGGCCAATGTCGTGGCGAACCTGAAGCCCGGCGGACGGTTTGTGGGTGTTAGAAGTGGCGACCCCAGGGGAATCGTTCCCACCACCGGCAAATATGGTCTCAGGTACAAAGATATAGAGAATATTCCTGGAGGAGTGAAGATGCGATATGTGCTCGAATTAGAATCACCACTCGAGTTTGAAGCGACTTTGATGGAAACTAGTTACTCGGGCTCCACAAAAATGCACGAAGCCTTCGGCCTTGAGGATATCAAAACGGAACGCCCTGAGGATACTGAGGTTGTTAAAAAGGATCCCGAGTTTTGGAGTACGTTTTTGGAGAATCCCGGATTTGCCGTTGTGAGCGCGAGAAAACGCCGTGAAGGCTAAAAAGGGGAAGATCGAAGTGTTGAAAGGGCTATTTTTGCTTTTACTTTCACTTTTTTCTCTTCTGGCAATGGGTATTAATGCCGTGATCCATGCCGTACTCGAACGGAATGCAAATACTGGCTCATCTCCAAATCTTTATGTACCTGCATATCATTCTTCAAAAATACGTAACAGTTCATTTGGATACCCAAACCTTGATACCAACTTGTTTAAATGAACAGTGCTGCGTTGAAATATAGGACGTGATAGTTCGCCAATGCCCATATAATATCCGAAGACACAATAAGTGAGCAAAGTGATCTCATATTTCAATCCATGAGCGGAAATGGAGAGGACTTAATCTCTACATTTCATATTTCTATCTATGAGTCCTTCGGCTGGAGTCACAACTACAATAACATGCCTACCAAATGTCTTTCCAGCTTCTCTACTTACTATACTCAGGATGACTTCACAGGACTTATAGAAGATCGAGTCACTGGACGGTACATTGTGAAAGTTTACAGACGGTAAATTTTCACGGTGTAATCAAGATTTTGAATATATAAAGACGCTGTTGCCTATGCACCAAGTATCGTGCTCCGCAGACGCAGGATCAAAAACGAGCTAGTGTGAACGAAAATGTACATAATAGAAAGCATTGAGGTTGATCATGTAGCTAGCTTTGCTACGGAAAATCATTAATCACACAAGAGAGGGAAAAGTTCTGAATACAACTCCTTCCTAAGAATATCAAGAACATCTTTCCCAACTTGATCTGCCGCATTAAAATGTCTGGGAAATTACTCCACCGTTCCTTCTCATAGTTTTCAAATCCTTCCCAAACGATGTCATTTTCAAGACGGCCAGCTCACTCCTCAACAGTAAAATATCTCACCGCGCCAATTCCCGCATCCCCTTTCTTGATGAGTATTCTGCATCCGTATCTCAATAGCATCCATCAGAAAACCATCTTCCAAACACATAAAATATACAACCCTAACCACCCAGTATGCATGCACACATAAATTCTCCCTCCCTCCCTCAAACATAGCACTACAACAAATTTCAAAGCAGCACCCCGACATTCTACTCCTAAAACAAACATAAATCATCCCTCATAAGCAGTCATATAACTATCCATCGTTCCTCGCAACACAATGATAGACACCTCTTCCATTAAAACCCTGTGACCATCACATGCTCGTCTCGCTTTTCCCCAATTCGATATATGAGATATGAGTTCTTCATACTAGACTAACAACTTTGAGTCCCGAGGCCATCAGCTTGCCTTGGTATTTTTCGTGAGCAACGAGTATGGAGGATGATGAGTCGCTAAGTTGTGGATTTGTGAGCAAGAGAAGGATATTGCCTCCTTCAAGGGTTGGGGGGAGAAATAACAACATCTCCTTGGACACAAAAGAATGAAAACCGAATTTATTAGACTCCATTTGAATATAGGAAACAGAAGCCAGCAAGCGTTGTGATATTGGTCGGTTCGGCGTGTCCTCAACATGAAAGATCTTTGAGAAGAGCGGCTATAACTTTTGGGAAACCTGACATTTGAATGAAATTTGACATTATTTTACCACTGGGTAACAACAATTATACCTATACCCCTAGTCAAACCTTTCGCCATATAGTTATAAGTGGCTAGAGCACATAGAGAATGAGCAGTAAAAATTATTGTTATCATGAAAAATCTTCTCATTAACGTCCGTCGAAAGATCTATGATAGCAATTAACCAATTGCTTCTCTATCCCAAATTGGCTTGATATCTAAAGATAAATTGAAAAAGAAATTCCCATCAAACGCCGACCATATTGATGCAGTGAATCCAACTACACGCTGATACTTTGTGTGATGACCCAAGTACTGAAATTGTCATTACTTCGTCCCAACATCCGCCCCTTCCTTTCCCCATCTTGTTGTCTCATCACCTCCCTGCCATTCCTCTTCAACATATCCTAAATCCTTTTTAACCCTCAAAACAGTACTCTCATCACCCATATTCTTTCCAATATTATCACTGATCTTGATAGCCGGTTTACCATCAGCAGAGCTTAATTTTATGACAATATTTAATGGCGTCGACTTTTTGCCTGATTTTGTGTGAACGAAATCATTTGTGAAGAATGTGCCCACGCCAAAGGTAGGCTGGAATCCTGACTCTTCGGCAATTTGTTTGTACTTTATGCAAAGCTCGACATCTAAAGAATCGGAAAAGACAATTGTTTTCTTGTCCTTGATGCCCTGTTCATCGTAGAACTGACGCATCTTCTTTACAAAGCTTTCCGGATCGCCGGAATCTTGTCGTACACCAGTGAAAGCTTGCGCAAATGTTGGGGTATCCTCGTTCGGTTTGTCTCCCGCTGCATCCAAGGGTGGATTCGTACTAGCCGTTCCATTAGTTGTAAGTGTAGTAGCCGACGGTAATGTAGCAGCTGCCCCTGAAGTGGCAGTTGTGAGAGATGGGATTTTCTGGGAAAAGACCCGGAGAAAGTCTTTAGTACCAAAAGTATCTGTAAGAGCAATACCCAAAACACCTTGACCAAAGCATCCAACCCAATAGTCCAACGCGGTGGCAGTAGCACTTCTATAGTTGTCCGTGATAGCTGCGACACCCATAAACCATTCATGTGCGACAGTTCCTATAGGAGGAATTCCAAATCTCATAGCCAAATGAACATTACTGGTGCCCGAAATCTTTCCTGTCAGCTTGCGCTCTTCTCCTACTTTCTTTGCCTTGACCAATCCGCGGAACACAAGAGCCTGAGTGTGATAATCTCTTCTTCTTCTGGTTCCGAACTCCGACACAATGCATCCAGCTTCTAACAGTGATATTCCCTTCTCTTGTGCCTTTTCTTCTTGTCCATCGTATGTCCAATCCGTA